GTAATCACAATACTAGTAATTAGTATTAGTAATTTTGGTTTGCTTTTCCTGGATTGATCAAGATGTCAAACTTTTTCTTTATGTATTTGTTGACCATCTGTATTTTTTCTTCTAAGAAGTATCTGCTTAGTTTATTTGCCCATATATTTATTGGGTTGGTTTTGGGTGCTAAGTTTTTTGAGTTTTTTATATATTTTACATAAACTGTCAGAAGAGTACCTGGGAAATATTTTCTCCCATTCTGTAGGCTCTCCACAATTTTTTTTTTCCCTGAAGGATGTAAGTTTAAAGGGGAAGTAGTATTTTGTTTTTATTGGCATTAATTTATCCAATAGAGAGTTCAAACTATCTTTTAACATGTCCATTGGCCATTTCTTTTTATTTTTGTTTGAGGTATCTCTTTATACATTTTGACCCTATTTCTATTAGGTCATCATATCTTAGTGACTTATAAAAGATTTGTGAATTACATAGTTTCTTCCCTATTTGCCTGTCTTTTAACTTGGTTAATTTTCTTTCTTTTTTTTTCATCAAAACATTTTTACTTTCATAAAGTAGTATAAGAAAAACTAAAATTCTGGCTTCAGGGCAAACTGGCAGAAATTTTCTGTCTTATGTGATTAAAAAAATACTTATACATAGGAATACATTTCAGGTTAATTTTTACATTTAAATCTTTAATCCATCTGTGATACATTTTTTTTAAGTTTAGAAAAAAAAAGGAGGAGGAGCTGGGTATGGTGGTGCATGACTATAATTCCTGTGATTCAGGAGGCTGAGGCAGGAGGATCCTGACTTCAAGGCCACCCTCAGCAACTTTGCTAGACACTGAAAAATAGTAAGGATTGGGGATGTAGCACAGCGGTAGAGCACCCCTGGGTTCAATCCCCAGTATCACAAAAATAAATGGGGTAAAAGACCCAGCTTATCATATTTCAAGTGATTTGCCTATTTATTTATGGAGAGAGTCATGTTTTGTCTACTGACTAGTAATGCCACCCTAAACATTTATTATATTCCTCTATATGCCAAGATTCCTTTCTGGAATATTTATGCTGTTAAATTTTTACTTATATATTTTTGTGCCAATGTCAAACTATTTTAATTATGCAATATTATATTTTAATATATTAGACTAATGACCCCTTATAACTCTTCATTTTCAGAACTTTATAGTTATTTTCTTCTTCTTTTTTTTTTGTAATGGAAATTGAATTCTGGAAATTCAGTCCAGGGCCTCACACAAGCAAGCACTCTACAACTGAGGTACATCTCCTGTTTTATAAAAATTTTAAAATACATATATTAATATAGGGTCTGGCTAAATGGCCTAGGCTGTTTTTGAACTTTTGCCTCCTGTCTCAGCCTTCCAAGTAGCTGGGATTCAAGGCATGTACCACCAACTGGCTTGTTTTTTGTTTGTATATATGAAAGTTACAGATTATTTGTTTATTATAGTACTGAGGATTATTTTTAACAAACCAATGATCTTCCTAAATTCTTCCATTGTTTCTAAAAGTTTTAAGTTGATTATATTTGATTTTCCTGATCATATGATTAGCAAAAAACTGAAAAAATACATACATTAGTTCAAACTGAGAAAATATATTATCTTGTGTTATATTTCATCTTACACTGAGAAAACAGAAGACATCACAGTGAACTTCCCTCAAGTTTTCTCTACAGTATTTATGCCCAACTTTGTAAGAGCATGTGTACTCAAATATAAATGCTTTTCCTTCTCCTGATTTTTTCTTTTTAAAATTCTAAGTGGAGAAGCTGTTGGGGACAGCTATGAGGGGTATGGGAAGGTACCACTGGTGAGGCCACAGCGGGGGTGAAGACAGCATTAGAAGCAGGTGCAGGTGGGAGGCAGTTATCAGGCATCTAAACCACCCCCTCCCAGGCTTAGCAGGAGGGATAGGGGAGACTAGGCCCTTCCAGCTTCTCCCTCCTATACAAGAAAACTAGTCTTGCAATTTCACTCCTTTTTCATCATTTTTTCATCTACTGGGTTATTTTTACCTACATGTAAACATGCCATTATTTTTTCTGATCTTAAAGCTAAACTTTTCTTGGTCCCCTTCACCTTCTAGAGTGTCTCACTCATCTGCTCCCCTTGGTTGCAGAATTCCTGCAGTCGGCTCTGTGCCCCCCTCCAATTCCACCTCTCCAGTCTCTCTTCCATGTCAGAGAGCTCTGGCTTCCACCCCTGCCTGAAACAGCTGCTGCAGAGCTCACCAATGATCTGCCTGTTGGTGAGTGCAGGGACAGATCTGTCCTCATCTGCTTGCACACAGCAGCTGATGGCCTCCAGGAACAAAGCTCTACCTTCCTCACACCACACTGGCTCTTCCATTTAAGTCTCTTTTGTGAGCTCCTCCGCCTCTTCCAACCTCTCAATTTGGACAGATTGAGGGCTCTAGGGCCTTCATCTTTTCCCATCCTGAGTCCTTTGGGAAGCTCCCCAAACCTCATGCCTAGGAGTACCACACAGAGGCTAATGGCTCCAGACCAGATCTCTGCCCTGAATTTCCACCACTACTTGGCATTTTGATAGGCATCTTGACCTAAAATCAATCTGCTGACCCAGCTAGTCCTTCCTCCCCCAAATCTGCTCCTCAGAGAGTCCTCATCATTTCCATGACCCAGCATCTGACAAGTTCTGACACCTTCTCCTCTGTGCCATGATGACTTCTTCACTGGCCCCTCAGTTTCCACCCTGGTCCCCTGTAACAGGTACAAGGTCATCATATCAGTGCTCTGTTCCCAAATACTCAACAACTTCTCACCTTCCTGAGAATCAAAGTCAAAGTGCACAAGATGCTCACAAGGTCCTTCAGTCCCAGGCCTCTTGTTGCCCATTTCTATGGTCTGAAGATGTATGTTTTCCCTAAATTTATACCTTGAAATCTATTTCCCAGGGTGGTGATATTAGGGGGTGGGGACTTTAGAGGTGATTACTAACAAAATGAGCTCTCCTATAAAAGATAGCCCAGAAAACTAGATATTCCCTGCCACCATGTGAGGAACAGTGAGAAGACACTATCTATGAATCAGAGAAAGAGATCTCTCCCAGGATGTTGAATCTTTTGCACCTTGATCTTGGATTCTCAGCTTTCAGAACTGTGAATAATAAATCTCTGTTGTTTGTAAGCCACCAGATAATGGCATTTTTGTTACAGCAGCCTAACAGGCTAAGGCATGGTCTGATCTCATTTTCTGCTTCTCTCCTCTTACTTACTCCTTTCCTGCCACACTGACTTTGGACAGACTGGGAACCTTTGTACTTGCTTTCCCTTTGCCTGAAACTCTCTTCCCTCACATCCACATGGTTCATCTTTCAGTGTAAACTTTGCAAAGATTCCTTAGCTACCCTGTTTAAAGCTGCAAATCCTCCCAGCCCTGCCTTTCCCTATCCTCTTGCCTTTTGCTAGGTCACCAGTAATTTTTTATAATCTTCTTATATAATAATTCATTCTAATTTTATTTATTACCTGCTCCCTAAACCTTAATCTCCTGAAGATAGGAACAGATAAACATACAGATATATAGTTTTTCATGCTCCTTCACTTCATCACATATAATAGTATCTGGCACACAGTAACTTCTCAACAAATATTTGCTTAAGTTTTGCACAGGATGATAACAGTAAGCTATAGGTACTAAGAAGAATGAAAATGCTGCATAATTATAGTATGAAAGGTGCATGGGAGAAACTTAATGAAAGTTTTCTAAGGTATATTGGTCTGGAGGGAGATTAGTATATTAACTTAGAATTTATTAGGTATGCATGGTAAAACAGAGGGGATTAAAAACAAAAAAGATCACTCAGTCACTTAAAAATATGAATGTCAAAAACAAAGAATAATAGAAAGAACAGGATGAAAATAGAAAACAAAGAGTAAAATAATAAAAGCTAAAGAATCAGTAATCATGATAAACTTAATGGATAAAACTTGCCTTTTAAACCATTTTCATTATTAGGGATTTTCATTATTAAGTATTAAAAATCAAGAAAATATGACTAACTGTTCTTTAAAAAAATAACCCTATAACATAAAAATACAGAAAGGTAGAAATCAAAGGTAAGTTAAAAGATACTTCAGGCAAATATTACATAAAAAGCTATAGCAATATGACATGAAAATTACCACTAGAGAAAATTAAGATCCCTACACAATAAGAAAAGGTTCACTTCACCTGGAATACATGATGATTCTAACGTGTGGGCAGTTATGGTTTAGATGTGGTGCCCCCAAAAGCTCACGTGTAAGGCAATGCAAGGAGATCTGGAGGAGAAATGATTGGGCTTTAACCTAATCAGTGGATTAATCTCTGATGGGATTAATTGAGTGGTGACTGGAGGCAGGTGGGGTGTGGCTAGAGGAAGTGGTTCATTGGGGATGTGGCTATGGGGTATATATTTGTATCTGACAAGTGGAGACTCTGTCTGCTCTCTGATCACCATGTGAGCTGCTTCCTTTGGCCACACTCTTCCACTATGCTGTTCTGCCTCACCTTGAGCCCCAAGGAATGGGGCAGGCCTCTATGGACCAAGACCTCTGAAGTTGTGAGCCCTCAAATAAACATTTCCTCCTCTACAGTTGTGTTGGTTGGGTCATTTAGTCACAGCTGCAAAAAAGCTGACTAAAACATAGGCACCAAATAAAAGAGTCTGAGCATATATAAAGAAGTGAAGGTGGGAGAAATAAAAAAGAAATGGAACCACATCGCAGCATATCTACATCCATGACCTGCCTTTAAATTTGGGCATAATTATTTGTACTTTCTTTTCCCACAACTGCAGTTCTTATGTTGATGGCATCAAGTAATTCTAACAACACCTATTTTAAAATCTGTGCTGAAGTCAGTGTAAATCACATAGCATGCTGACGGGTCAGTGTGGTAGGTGTGCATCCTACCCCACCTCCCTCTCTCTACCACACACCTGAAGAGACCCTCCAGCAAGCCTCTGCTGTGGGCCCTGCTGCCCTCACCTGGATGTTGAGCTGCTTGTCGTGCAGGGCTCTCTGCAGCTCCAGGAGGCTCCCCTTGAGGGTCCTCAGCTTCACCGCCAGCTGCTCAGCCTCATCCTTGGTGTGAGCCTTGCCCTCCAGCAGCAGGTTTTCATTGTGGACGGACAGCTCCGATAAGGCCACCACCTTCTGCTCTATTTCCACCAGCATATTCTGGAACAAGAGAAATAAGAATGACATTCGCACATCCTGCCAGCTTCTGCAAAGACTGTTTCCCAAGGCAAAACACAACTGTCTTTAACACAACGACCAGGCGTCCATGACGTTTCTGTCCTTTTCCCACAACCTTGAAGAATGGTTTATAGATTTTTTAAAATTGCCTAAGCTTTTGTAATTTTTCTCTTTTTGAGGATTAGATATTATACCAAAAAAAAAAAAAATACAAGGAAAAACCACATGGGAAGTACATTTTATATCTACCAACACACTGCCTCAGTGTTACCACATTTTTATTATTTTATTATTTTAGTGTTAGATTGTGACACTAATGATTGATAATATAAACAAATCACATGATGCACATTTTCCTTGCCAACTTTAAAAAAGGAACTTCTGCTTCTCTGGGTTGATTCTTCTCAGGTTGCTGCTCTAATTTCTTGTTTTAGCTTCATGGATTTTTTTTCTTTTCTTTTTTTTTTTTTTTTGGTAAGGAGGATTGAACCAGGGGCACTTAACAACTGAGCCACATCCCCAGCCCTTTTTTATATTTTATTTAGAGACAGGGTCTCACTGCTTAGGGTCTTACTAAGTTGCTGAGGCTGGCTTTGAACTCACTATCCTCCTGTCTCAGCCTCCCAAGCCACTTTGATTACAGGCATGCACCATCACACTGATGCATCATGGATTTTAACCTTATATTTCTAAAAATGTTTCCTTGTTTCTGTGAAAACCCTAGTGCTATAGGGTTTTCCTTTAAAATGTGAAATTAAATCCAGGGAAAAAGCCAAATAATCTCCTTTTTCAAGGTAGAAGCTCGATAGTAAGAAAAAACAGCATGGTATTAACACCAAAACAGACATAAAGACCAATGGAACAGAATAGAAGACAGAGAGACAAACCCACATGAATGGAGTTACCTTATACTAGACAAAGTGGCATAAACATACATTGGAGAAAAGACAGCTTCTTCAAATGGTGCTGGGAAAATTGGAAATCCATACGTAGCAGAATAGAAAATTAACCCCTATCTCTCACGCTGCACAAAACTCAACTCACAGTGGATTAAGGACCTAGATATCAGACCAAAGACCCTACACCTACTAGAAGAAAATGTAGGCCCAACACTCCATCATGTCGGCTTAGGAGCTGACTTCCTCAACAAGACTCCTAAAGCACAAGAAGTAAGATCAAGAATTGATAAGTGGAAAGGTATCAAACTAAAAAGCTTCTTTACAGCAAAGGAAACAATCAAGAGTGTGAAAAGAGAGCCCACGGAATGGGAGAAAGTCTTTGCCACCTACAACTGAGATAGATCATTTATCTCCAGGATAGACAAAGAACTCAAAAAAAACTTAACACCAAAAAGTCCAAATAACCCAGTCAACAAATGGGCAAAGGAACTGAACAGGCACTTCACAGAAAAGAAATACAAATATATTGTTGAACACAGGACAATTACCTCAGATTTGTTCTATTCTCTTTCCTATTCCTATCCCCTCAACCTTCCTTCTTTACCCTTTGCCTATGGCAAACAAATATATGAAAAAAATGTTCAACATCTCTAGCAATTTGAGAAATACAAATTAAAACTACACCAAGATTCCATCTTACTCCAGTTTGAATGGCAACAATCCAGAATACAAGCAACAATAAATGTTGGTGAGGATGTCGGGAAAAGATATACTCATACATTGCTGATGGGACTGTAAGTTGGTGCAACCACTCTGGAAACTCTGGAAAGCAGTATAAAGATTCCTCAGAAAACTTGGAATGGAACCACCATTTGACCCACTCCTCAATATATACCCAAAGAAGTTAAAATAAGCATACTATAGCAACGCAGCCACATCAATGTTTATAATAGCTCAATCACAACAGCTAAGTTATGGAACCAATCTAAGTGCCCTTCAACAGACAAATGGATAAAAAAAATGTGGTATATATATATACAACAGAATATTACTCAGCTATAAAAACATGACTTTATGACTTTTTCCAGTAAATGGGTGGGTCTGGAGACTATCATGCTAAGTGAAATAAGCCAATATTGAAAACCTAAGGTCTAGTGTTCTCTTTGATATGTGGACGCTAAAATACAACAAGTTGGGGGGAGACAGAAGGACATTGGATTAGACAAAAGGGAATGAAGGAAGGGAGAAAGGATAGGAACAGGAAGACAGTAGAATGAATCAGACATAATTTTCTTAAGTTTATATATAAATACACCACCAGTGAAAGTCCACATCATGGACAACCACAAGAATGGGAAGTAATATTTCATGCATGTATAATATGTAAAAATACACTCTACTGTCATGTATATCTAAAAGAAACACACACACACACACACACACACACAATAATTACCCCCCCTTGAAAAATTATTTTTACCTTTGTCAACTTTGAACTCCTTGAGGTGTACTTTCTAACTTTTATTCCATCAAGTAATTAACGAAAAAGAATATTTTCCTTATACAAAATTAGAATTAGTGCTATCCTAACAACTTCTTCTTTTTTTTTTTTTTTTAAGTGGTGCTGACCCAGTGCCTTGCACACAGCAGGCAAGGGTTCTACTACTGAGCTACGTCCTCAATCCATTTTTATTTTGTATTTTATTTTGAGACCGAGCAGGACCTGCCTGAGATGCCCAGGCCTGCCTCGAGCTTGGAATCCTCCCACCTCAGCTTCCTGAATTGCTGCAAATGGCCCATCCCAATTTTAAGAAACTAACTTCAAATCAAAGAACTGGAACCAAATGGAAGAGCAAAACTTTATAACTTAAATGGGGATTAATAAATGATTTCTTGAAGATTATTTTTGAGAAATTAATATAATTCTATGCAGGGCTGATTTTTCCATTAGGCATATCAGCCACTGAAGGCCCATAATACTTCTTGAGGTCCCCAAAGATATTTAATTTTAATTTCCTTAAAAATCAGAAGCAAAAATAAATATAATAATATGAATATATAGGAATGACTCCACCCTAGTTTGTACTAGTCTTTGCGGCATTTTTCATGAAGAAAAGGGTTTACTAAGGAAAGTTACCTGGTGCATAAAAGCCACCCAGTGGCTCTAATTCTATAATTATTACATAGAATAATAGTCACAGTATTAATTATTATACCTCTGCCATATACTAGTTTTTAATCGTCTAGATCTTTAACTGGCTTAATGTTATAGTGTATTAATTGATTAATTAATTCATTGATTGCAGTACTAGGGATCCAACTCAAGGTCTCACACATGCCAGGGAAGTACTTTACCACTGAGCTACATCTCCAGCTTAATATTAAAATTATAACTAACTAGGTTTTAATTGGTTTAATTTCTAAGTTTCAACTAATTTAAATTGAAAATCTAATTTATATAGTGATTTTTAGATTTTAGTAAACTGTTTGTTGATGTGATTTCAATTTTATCTGCTTATAGTGTCCTAAAATAAGGCCAAAACACTACTTTAATACTTTGTAAAAGTCTTGAAATATATGCTAAATTTTTGCTTTATGCCTTACCATAAAAATAGATTTATACCAAAGAGAAGAGTGGCAGTAATGACAAAACATAGTTTGAAATCCCAGTTCAGATGCTAATTTCAAGTGCTAAAGGGAATGTTAAAGATAGACGTCTATTTCCAGAATAGAAACAGTAGGAAAGAAGATACACAGAACAGAAAGCACTCACATAGGACTGCCTCTACCATCACGACAGAAAAATAATGTTTCAAATATACACAGATAAGTTTCCTAAGGTAACAATAATCAATATTATGAATCTCAAATTATAAACAGGAATGACCAATGTAGTATATTACATTTTAAAAATAAAGACAGAGCATGGATGGTAAAAGGAGACCCTCATCATTATACAAAATACATGTATGAAGATGTGAATTTGGTGTCAACATACCTTATACACAGAGATATGATAAATTATGGTATAAAGGTGTATTAAGAATTGTAATGCAAAAATAAATAAATAAATAAAATCAAAAAAGAAAAAAATAATGAACTTAAAACAAAACAAAAATAATAATAATAAAGACAGAGCCAGTTGTGGTGGTGCATTCCTGTATTCCCTGTGACTCAGGAGGCTGAAGCAGGAGGAAAGCATGTTGGAATTCAGCCTCATCAATTTAGTGAAATACTGTCTCAAAATAAAAAATAAAGAGGACTGGAGATGTAGCTTAGTGTTAATGCAACCCTGGGTTCAATCCACCCCTATCAAAAATAAAAATAAAAATAATAAAGGCAGAGTTAAAAAATTAAAGACATTTGCATATTTTCTCTTATTTCAAATGGGAGAACTATGAAATTGTGCATAGTGAAATTTAATCCTGCATGCTATGTTGGGCTTTCTGGACACTTCCTTGTTATTTCAATGAAAGCATACTTCACCCATATGTGAAGTCTAATATACTGACAATCATTAAAGTTGGATGATGAATGCATGAGAGTTCATTATCTATTCTATAGTTATTTGTGTGTTTGGAAATTCCACAATAAAAAGGAAAGAGAAAAATATTAGAATAAAAATCTTAATTACCCCTCACATTAATTTCTAGAGACTCAACATGGAAGGAAGAAAATGTACAAATTTTAGAAGACAACCTTCTCATGTTTGGTTTCCTTGTCTGCCTAAAACTGATGGTTGGAAACATTTTCCAAATAACAAATCAGGATTAGAACCTACAACAGGCTCCTAGAGATGCTTCTTGTGTTTATTCACAGTCTGACTCCATGATACCAATTGTTCTCATTAGGTTTGCTTTTCTTTTTACCACAAGCATTCGTACATCTATAGTCTTTAAAAGTGTCCTTTTGGAAACAAACTAAAGATCTTCTAAAGTAGATCCTTTCAATAAATCTTTTTGAAAAACTAAGTCCAAGTTTGGGTTTCATTAAGTTCTAATGAATTTGTATGCGTACTTAGGGAGCACATTTTATATCCACACCAAGACTTTTTACCAGTAGGCCTCTAGTTCAAAACTGTGCTTTGTGGTGTTGGCACAGTCCTTTGAGACCACTTTTGTACCTGGCAGTCCACCAGCTGGGCCTCCATGTCCATGGGCTCTTTAGGTGAACCCAGTGCAACATCCAGGGTGGCTTTAGTATTCAAGAGCCAGTGGTCCAACTCGTCTGCTTCGTAGCGATACCTCTGCAGGGCCTGCTCCTGCCTCTGTTCCTCCAGCTGATCATTTAACTTCTCCTAATGGAATAAGCAGAATGTAACTCGGATCACTGGAAGGTGAACTTTTTAAGATTCAGCACAAGAGAGTTCTCAGCTCTGGCTGCACACCTGGAAAACTTAAAATACAGTTTTTTAAGTTGCTTGCATCACATCCCAAAACAAAAATTCAGAATTTCTGGAGGTGTCTCTGATAATTTTATTTTTTAAGATTACCCAATGATGCTAATGTGCACTGAGAGCTGTTCGAGGCTCAAATCAAATCATAAGGGTCCAGATCTGTCCTATAGGACCAGACAATAACTTAAATGATGCTGCTGATTATATCAGTTCAGTTGCTAAGGCTGTCCTCAAACTTGCAACCCTCCTGCCTCAGCCTACCAAGTCACTGGGATTAAAGGTGCCCAGCTAAATATCTTATTTTTAAAACTATCTTATTAATAATTCATTATTATTATTTTAAATAATAATTTTATACAATTGTTTAACATGGAGATTAGTAAGTAGGGCACACACATTAATTTTTGAATAGCTCTTAAATTAGAAATACTTGAAGAGATAATTTAACTAATCTTACATAAGTAAGTTTAGAAAGAGCTTACACAATAGGGTCATGGTAAATTGAATTATGGTATAATTAGCTGCTAAATAAAATGATCTTCTATTTATATAATAAGAAATGTTTGAGAAAGAATTATGTGCCAGAGAAGTTGATGGACCCTGGAGGTACAATGAGCCACACATTATAGGAGTCTCTGTGAAGTCTGTGGTCTAACCAAATCTTAGGAGCAACAATACGAAAATGCAAACATCATATATACTCTTTAAAGCCAAGAGTTACAAGAGAATAAATAAAAAGAAAATTTGCTGATTTTAGCATATATATAGTATTAACACCGAAATCTATGTATTGAATAATATTTAAATTAAGTAACGTGAAAACCAGAATTGCAAGAGCATTTTCATGAATTATTGTGTTTGAATTGTTAGCAGAGACTAAGAAGAATTAGTCTTTATAGTACTAATAATATTCGTGAAGCGCCCCTATTTAAACACAGCAAACCCTCACACAGACCTACAATGGCCCTCCGCAAGGCTCAAGTCTCCTGAGTGCTTGGTGCGGTCTTCACAAGGTCTTTGCCTGCAATGAGTCAGAGGGGCTGAAAGGACTCATTCATGGCTGCACCCTGACTCGCACTCCATGCACAGGATCCTGCACAAACACCATGCACCTTCTCAGGAGTGGGGGACAGTGGATCCTTGAGCACCACAAGAACTCGCACACCTGTTAGCAGGACCTGCAGAGTCAACTCAGAAGCACGAGGCAAGGTCTGCCTCGCCTTACCTCCAGGAGCTGCCGCTTCCCAGCCGCTTTCATCCTGATGGTGGACATTCGCTCGGCCAGGACGGTGAGCGTGGACTGCAAGGCCAGCTGCTCTGCGGGGTCACACTCCCGAGACTCAGACACCAGCTCGTCCGCGAGAGCTGACTGCAGAGCATTGATTTCATCCTGGAGCATGAGGATCTCGTCCATCAGGGCCTGCAGGAAAAGCAGTCATGCTCAGGCACGCATTTTCAGCCCGGAGGGGCAGCGGCACTGGCAGAGGCTCACATCCACTGACACTAGTGAGAGACGGTCCATGTGGACGTCATATGACCAGCAAATTGGGGGACTACTCACCTGAGTGTCAAAATGAAATACTGACTGAATGCCAGGATGTTTCTGATTTTAATACTGTGTAGGCCACTACCTAAAGTGACTTTGAACCAGTTAATTAAACTTTCTGACTTTCAAAAGGCTCATCTGTAATGGGGTTGGGGGGCCACAGGAATGGGGGCAATAGGCAAGGCTCAATTGTGTCAAGTGTCTGAGTCAATGCTGAAATTAAAATCCATCATAAAGGACAGGAGAAGTGGGTAACCTGTTTCCGTGTTGTGACACAGTCCTGGGTTTTCTCCTCTACTCAACTCTAAAAGGTCGTTTCTTTGGGGCTCATTTCCCACCCTGTCCTCTCTTCACAGTCTCCCCCAGGCTACCTCTTTAATGGGGGTCCATACCCAAAGTTTCAAATGCTAATGCTGCACACCTCTGAAGGCACATCCCTAACCCAGACGTGTGTCCTAAGCTTCAGACTTATGTGTTCTACTTACATAGTTCATGGGCATTTCCATCACATTAAGTGTTGTTAAGTAAAAATTGTGCTCCTGAACTGGCCCAAAAGAGACTAAAAATTGAAATGGAGTCACTCATGCTAAAGTTCCAGGACATCCAACCTAATCTAAGGCATATATCTCACCTTCCAAGAAACGAGAAATTAACAGAATTTCTCAAGTAGCCTAGTCTCGATCAACATAAGGAAGTTGTATCTGTTTTAATTCTTATACTAAAGAAGGGACCTAAGTAACCTGAAGTTCACTGATCAGTTGTTTTCCTATTCTGCCTCCTTGTCCTTGTCTTACAGGGAAACTGAATTTGAAATGACAATCCCAGCTACTCAGGAAGCTGACTGAGGCAGGAGGATTTCAAGCTTGAAGCCAGCCTGAGCAATTTAGGGAAACCTTGTTTAAAAAATAAATAAATAAAAGTATTTGGGGGTATAGCTCAGTGGTAGCGGAAAACTGGGTTCAAGCCCCAGCATTGCAAAAATAATAATAAATAAATAACCAACCCACCAATCAGTTTTTATTCTTTCTTTTCTTTTGGACATTCTTGGTCTATAAAACCAATCTCTTCTACTCAACCCCTTTGAACATTACTGAGTTTTATGGAATGAAGTGTTGCTGGATTCTAGAATCCAAAATAAAACCAACTAAGTTTTTAAAACTAGATTGTTGTGATTTTGTCCTTTGACAATATAAAGCCTGGTTTCTCCCTGACTTTCCCCCTCACTGCTCAAGCTGTAGACTTGGGAATAACACCACCGTCTCCTTCATTCACATATCTAATCTACCACCAAATCCAAAATACATCCTGCACATCTACATTATCTCCATTCTATCTTCCCACCTCCAAAGTCAAAGTCAACTTCCTCTGTTGTATAAATGGCTATAATGATTCCCCATGGGTCTGCCTGCTTTCACTCTTGTCTTTCAGGCCTCTCTTTACAAAGCAATTACGATGGCCTTTAAAAAATATCCCTTAAATCCTCTCATTCCCCTACTTCAAAATATTTAATGACTTCCTGTCAGTAAAATAAAATATGAACTCCTTATCACTTGCATGGCCTCAGGCTTCCTGTTTCTTGTACCACCACCCACCCCCTTCCTGCTCTCTGAATTCCTGCCTTCTTCATTGTCTCCAGGGCCCCCAGCTCTTTCTGGCCTCACAGCCTTTGCACATGCTGTTCCCTCAAGCTGGAACTCTCTTCCCACTGTGTGTGTGTGTGTGATAGCTCTGCTCACTCTTCAGTCTTAGGTTAATGTCACCCCTCAGATGCCTTTCCTGACACCCCATCTAAAGGAACTCTACCATTCTGCCAATAGCACTGTTTTCCCATTTAACATCTACCACAATTATACATGGTTTTCATTTCTCATTTTTCATATTTTATGACTTGCTCTTCACCTGAAACCTTTGCAAGAAATTTTTATTTGGAATTTGAATGGCATGCTAGAAATAAAGGCACCATAATAGGAGAGGTGACTGGGGCCAAGTCAAGTAATGTAAGTTTTATATTAGTTAACGTTTGACAGTTTCCATATCTCCCATGGACTGCAAGTTTTGCTGTAGACAAGCGCCTCCTCCAAGTAAACTCTCAAAAATATTTTAAAAAACCCCCTTCTCTTTCTCTAATATTATGTTCTGTCCAATTGATTTCTAAGAGGCTATCACACTGACAATATTACCTACATTCAGCGGTGTGTGTGGCTCTGTGAATTTTCACAAAATGCACACACACATGTTGCCACCCAGATGGTGAAATAGAGCATCCAGGACTCAACATGCCCTGCCCCTTTGATGTCCTCCCTGTGGCTCCTCCTCTCCTCCCCCACCAACTGGTTGACCTGTAAATATGGTCGATGACCTTGGCCTGCACTTCAGCTTAATGGAAATGGAACCATAAAGGAATCATTGCTTCACATCTGGCTTGGTTCACTCCTACCACGAAGGCCAGGCTTGATGGTGCTGCACACAGAGCTGCTTACTTTCACCTGTATCATTCTGTACTATCAATTGGCTTGTGAATCTTTTTAATTTAAACCTTTCTAGTGGGTTCACAGTGGAACCTCATGCTAGTTTTAATCTGCATTTCCCTGCTGCCTGACACCAACCACTTTTTCAGACACTTGTTGGCCATCTCTTCTTACTGCTGGCTAAAACTCTAGTGCATTCTCCATTAATTATTAATATTATTGATCTGTAAGCGCTGTTTATAGATCTGGAAGAATTCTGTGTGCCTGTGTTTCTTTCGTTTCTGTGTATTGCAAATGTCTGTTCTCACTCTGGAAATATCTGCTCCTATTTTTTTTTTTTTTCTGCTTTGGGAAAAAAATCCTTTAATGGTGTCTTTTGATAAACAAATTCTTAATTTTGTTACAGATTGATGTTTTCCTTAATAGGGTTGTCAGTGTCCTACTTTAAAAATACTTTGCCTACCACAATGTCATGAATATATTATTATGTTATCTTCTAAAGAGGTACTGGACTCGGGGGTGTGGCTCAGTGACACTGGGCATGCTTAGAATTCCTGAGGCTCCCTGGGTTCAACCCACAGCACAGGGGGAAAAAGGAAGGAAGGCTGGAAGGAAAGAATGGAGAGAGGGTGGGAGGGAGGGTAAAAGGAAGGAAGGGGGAAAGGAAGGAAAGAAAGGAGAAAGAGAGGGAGGGAAGGAGGGTGAAAAGAAGGAAGTAGGAAAGGAAGGAAAGAAGGGAGAGAGGGTGAAAGGAAGGAAGGAAGGAGGACCACAAAATGAATGCTACCCCAAACATGGTTCTTATGGAACAGAATCAGTCTTCAAAAAGTTTGGCACAGGATTTTTATGAGATAAAGATAGAGAACAGGTGTTAAGAAATTTTATAGCAATTTGACATTGTCATAACATCAAACAGGCTTTCATTTAATCTTACAAAGTGTTAGTCTTTGATGGATTAGAAATTAAGAAAAGATATTCACCGTAGACAGTTTGCAAGCACTATTTTAAACCCCCCCCCCCCCTTTTTTTTTTCTTTTTTTGGTCCTGACACTATGTCGAGATATATAATTCATCTAAACTTATTTTTTGTGTCCATTGTAGGTAGGAATCAAAATTACTCTTTTCCTTCACCTATTGTTTTATAGTGCCATCTTTGCCATAAGCCAAGTATCTATGTAGATGTGAGTCTATTTCTGGCCTCTAATTCTGTGCCATTGACAGATGCCATACTATCTCAGTTCTTAGAGCTTTATAAGTCTTACAATCTGGTAGGATGTGTCTTTCAACTCTATTCATCTTCCTCAAGGTTGTCTTGGCTGCTCTTGACATTTTGCATTTGATATTTTTGCAATATATATTAGAGTTCGCTTATTTATCTCCATCAAAAAAACTTGCTGAGATTTTTAAACAAGATTGCATCGAATTAATATATGGTCCGTTTTGTTATGATTCAAAGTACTTTTTGTCTTAGTAACTTATTTTCTGTTGTTATGTGATCACTTGCTTTACCTGATTTTATTTGGTCTGATTTTATAGGCTCCTCCATAATTAGACTGACCTCGTTATGTCTCTTTGCTTTGCACTGATCCTTCACAGAAGCAAGAAGAGCCTGCTCATGGTTTCACACCATGCTCACTCTCTTTCCACACACATTTACATTTATAGTGCCTCCTACCCACTCCTGTTGTCATTCCAGCTTTTAAAACTCTATCTCCCCAAAGTTCTTGCTAAGTCTCATTTAATCTACTTCCACTGCTCTAGCCCACAGTTACATTTAACTTTCTGTGCAATGTGTTGGTAATTCCCACCACCACTATAGCAGATTTTTTAATCATACATTAATGAAAAGTGTGTCTTTCTGATGTGTGCATCATAGGTGCTCAACACCTCTAGTTGAACTTAATTTATTCTAATTCATGATAGAAAAAATTGATATCTGAATCATGAAGCAATCAAAAAATCAATACGTGTCCTCATTTAATCTCCGTGGATCTGAACAACCAGGTGTGCTGCTAAATTGCTGGCTTCATTTCTAACTCAAACTATTCTAAAATTTCTCTCTGAATTAAGTAACAAAAGGATTAGGTGCTGTAAAAACTGCTGTTTTTCATCCTGTTAGATTCAGGCTTCTGTTCATACTTTAGAGACAGCAGCAGTTAAGCTTAATGGGTAGGGTATTCTTTTGGAGTGAGGAAAATGCTTTGGAACGTTTTATAGAGATTAAATGGAGGTGGTGACTGTTCAAATTAAGAATAGCCTATTTTCCACTGAGCCCAGCATGGTGGTGCCCACCTGCAATCCCAGTGATCTGGGATGCTGAGGCAGGAAGAACACAAGTTCCAGGTCAGCCTGGGTTCCTCCACCTAGATTACTTAGAGAAGTATTTGGAGGGAATATGTGGGAATTGAGTTAACTATAAAGAAACTATACTTCTAAGAAGAAAGGAATAACAATGAGAGTATTTATATAAATTTTTAAAAATATAAAAAGCATACTGGACTTTTTCAAAATTGTAAAAACAGCAATTTTATAATAGTGCTTGGCATTTTTAAAGGACGATTCCAGAAGCCAAGAACACATTTAGATTTTGTAATACCATTAGCTTTTCTCGTGGGCAGCTCTGTCCCAGAATCTGTTGAACTTAGGCACAGACAGTAAAAAGTAGCAAAAATTGCTCAGATGGAAAATGTTAGATTTCTGGTGATATATGAAATGATATTGAATGTTCTTTACATTTTCTCTTTCTCCCATTAGAGCCACGAATATCATTACTGAGTCCCGATGTCCGGTAATTATCATCAAATCAGTTACATTTTCTCACAGCTATTATGGTTAGCACTGCAGTTCTTAATTCATAAAGGGACCAAAAAATCAACGGAGTTGTGATTGGCCTTAATTAGAAGAAGAGTCAGTTTCACTTTCAATGTATAATGCTTAATACTAGTGTGCAGTTTCGAGTGTTTTAAACTAAATCCTTTGAACGAAATAATAATAATTTTGCTTTATAGTCCATTTATGTGTTATTTCATACTAAAGCCTGATGAATGGTGTGGAAGCTAACTCACATTTTCAATTAAGAACTGAAAGTCATGGCTAGTCACCAGAATCCTGTTTCCCTGCCATTCCTAACTCCTGTGAAAGCCAGTGAAGGGTTTTGGGAACTGTGGCCTTAGAGGGCAATGGACCTTGAATGAAGGTGGATGTGACCTGAAGGTAGAGAGAAGGAGTAAATATTTAAACCTTCCTATATTTCATCAGCTTCAAGAATTTGAGTGTCTGACTGTTAACTTCTCTCTGGTGTAGCCCTTAGAAAATGCATGCTATGTTCCTTTTGGATGCTAAAACCAAGTGACCATATGTAGGACAGCCCAAGTTGGCCAGCAGCGCTTTCATCAAATGGGGAGGTGGTGAGGCAGTCCCTTCCACAGATGACATGAAGACAAGGTCCAGGGGACAACAGGACAAACAGAACTAAGGGATTGGGAACAGCAAGGAGTGCCAGGAGCTCCCTGGGGGCAATAGGACACCCCTTCAGATGAGAATGAGGTGGCTGTTGGCCATTAGAAGACCAGAGCATCAGTTAAAGAGGACTGCACAACCCTGAGGCCCTTCTGGAAGGCAAAGGGCTTTGGAGAGCAGTCGAATAGCCACCTGGTCTAGAATAATTACACACTTTCACGGAACACTTCCTAAATCTGGAGGATTATGGTGACTTCAGCATGGCAGAAAGACCTTCTGAAGGAAGTTTATCAAAATAAGTTCTGAAATGGGTGCTATGCACTTGATCTCTATCTTGAGAAGTTACCAGGGTGTTAAAAATTTGAAACCACTATTTCTCAATATGCTGTCTTTAGATGAAATGTTCTCATTTTTCTGTTATACTGAAAGGCCCTCCCTGTATTGCAAAAGAATGCAACATAGTCTAAGGTTATCCTTGCTTCTAAAACCATAAAGATGTAGAGCAGATAAAGCTAATAAGCACATCATGCTTTTATAGCTCTTCATTAATGTCTAAAAATATCTTACTTTTCCTCAGGCCCCAGTTATAGCACACAAATATGATTGTGTCTTAATAGCACACCTGATAGTATTGCTAAAGTACCAACTAGACTTTAAAATATGCACAGTTCTTAGCAGGAATTTTAAGTTGATGAATTTTTAACATTGTTTTCTAAATTAGGTTAATGCAATCCGCTGTTTCTCATCTAAAACTGAAGCTTTGCTAGTTTGTATAATCTTTTAAAAATGATTGAAGTCAGAACTTTGACAAGATAAGAACCTGGAACACCTAGCCTCCCTTCTTTGCCCACTGAAGTCTGAGACTTTAGGTTCTTAGACAATAATGGGGCAGTGATGGGAGCATACTGGCTAGTACCTAGAGAAGGCAGATTTGGGATGCGTTATTCTACAACAAAATCAAAACAATTTGGCAACTGCAAGGAAATGCACTGTGTATAATAAAAGTGCAAAAGCCATATTAATGCACACAACTTTTTACAATCAGAGTGGAGGTCTGGTTTTCTTCTTTTTCCTCATTAGAGCTCCCCTGAAGCAGTGACGGAATGGACAGTCTGCTCTCTGGAACACAGGCCCAACCAACAGGCCTGAAGCACCTATTTAATCATGCAGGAAGCTGGAGTCATCACTATTTTTACCTGATGTTCGGCCATCTGGCTTTCTGGGCTCTTGCTGGGCTTGAGACTCTCGCCAAGCTTCATCTCGATGGCCTCCATTTTGGTGGAGATGGACTGGAGGGAGTCCTGGTACTTTTGCTGCCGTTCCAAAGCTTCGTAGAGGGTGCGCTGCTTTTCACTGATCTAAACAAGAAAAGGGATCTTACCAGCAGTTTCTTACCTCTTATCTCCCAGGTTACGACATTTCTTTCCTCACCGCTTTACCCAAGGGTATTCAGCCATGTAGTGGATGTGTAACACTCTGTAAGCATTTCATAAGACAATACCTAAGGTAATGGGTGTCTGGTGACTTTAACCAATCCCACATTTCAAGGGCTTACCACGTTTTTTAAGGTTTCCCAAGAACGCTGCAAATCACCCAGTTTGGCAGTAGCAGAGGGCTCCAGTCCTGGTTCATAGAACTCCTGGGAGGCCGCTGTGCTGGGGTGAATCCTTGCAGCATCTGTTTGTAGCCGCTCAGCCGACAAGGCTTGGTAATAAGCAATGTCCTGCGAGGGAGGACACAGTGGAGGATTCAAAAGGAAAGACAGAGTCTAGAACAACCTGTTTTAGGTACTGTCATGTGAGTAAAGGTCTAGGATTTGCATCTATGAATCAGTAAATTCTTGTTAACAAGAAGAATTTACGCATACAGAAGAATGTTGAACTAGTTATAACATTTTGGTTTATTTAAAAAGAAATAAATAACTTTACCAATATTTCAAGTAACCAAAACTAATTTTATATTTGGTAAAATCGGCATACAAAGAACTTGGCTGATTGACTAGTATGGCAAAATGAGGGATTCTAAATGATCTGGTTCTAAAAATGTTATTCAAGGTATTGACCAGAGTGCGAACCGTCTTTTAAAAAGTATTTGATTTAAGAAAGTTACACATATAGACAGTCATTTTGCAGCTATAGCTAGATCTTCAAAATTTGTGACTTAATTATTTATAGAAATTAATTTTAAAATGTTAATACTAAATAAAGGAAAACGTAATGAGGAAGTTGAAACTAAGAAACAAAGTTTTCTCCTATTCATTTCCTGGAAGTACGTAAGATATGATCAAAGGGAATGGTAAAAATCCATGCTTTTGAATTTTTTTAATCTCTTGGGTCATGAGTAATATTACATGTTTTGTATTTATGGTAGTGATTTTACTATACTGAGATATATAATGATGTATTTTCAATAGTTTCTATGTGCATCTGTATCTTAATGGAAATTGAATAGGGACAGCAATGTTTATATTCTGTGAGTCATGATTATAAAGTTCATTAAATTTGCAGTTTTGTGCTGTTGAAGATAAGTAGATGAGGTTAAAATGCTGGAACCTTCCTGATAACCATGTAGTGGTAATAGGTATTAAAGAAGGCTCTAGCCCCATGGAAACACTGGCCAGAGGGGTCTGGTGTTTTGCAGTCTGTAAGAGGGCAGAAGCATGGTGGGGCAGCAGCCGGAGTTTAGACTGGGAATCAAGACACCTGAGATCTGGTAGACATTCTCCTAAGAACATGTACAACTGCAGCATCTTGTGCACAGCTCAACACTGGGTGACTTTCAGGACTAAATGAAATAACATCTGAGTGACTACTCCTATGCATTTGGTACAGAGGCTTCTAGATAAGTCCTTAATATTTCTTGATGGCATGGCCACAGGCAGACAGCTCCTCTTCACTCCTGACCCTGTGCCATCTTGAGTGCATTATTGTGGCATTCCCAAGTCCTTGACAGGCTCATATCACTGCTCCTCGCTCACCTCAGCTCACTTCAGACCCCACACCCTGAGCATGGTCCTCACTGAGTCAGTTCACACCACAGGTACTTCTTGCTATGTTTAAAGTTACTTAGGCCCCTTTCTTGCCAACACTCTTGTTTCCCTTGCCCCTTTAACCTGGGCTTCACAAACCTGGAAAATCCTAACCATTGTTCAATTCAGATTTACTTTCCAGAGTAAAACACATATAACACACACACACACACACACACACACACACACACAGAGCCATCAGCTCAAATATTCACAAATCTGGCTCTGTTTGGACTCACCCTTACCTCATGCTTGCCAGATGGCTTGCTAACGGAGGTCTCTCCCATCTGATCTCAGAGTCCCATAAACTTTTTCAAGGACCCCAATCCATTAATGGCATTTCCTTCTGGTTGATTTTCTCCTCAGCATATAGAGACAACTCTCTCCCATCTAAAAATACCTAGACATGCTCTTTCTTTATAATTTTGTTTCTCTTGATATCCCAATCTAGAAATGTCCACATATCCCACTTTGATGGATCATCGCAGATGGATCCGTTTGTGCCACAGGCTTGACCTGTCACTTCATAATCCAGCTTCTGAAAATAGCGGTATAGATAGCAATGTCACTCTCTCCCTCTCAACCCACCTCTCAATGCCCAAATGAACTTCAGCCCTGATGACCACAATAAGGCCTCTCGTACCACCGTCATCAGTGGCTTCTTTCCCTTGAAATATGATAGCCGTGTTCCAGTCCTGCCCTTGCTTGACCTCTCTGCAGCATTCAATAGCACCGACAGACCACTGTCTTTCGGAAACACTTTCCACTTACTCCTCTGTTCTCTTCTCAGTTCCCTGGTCATTCAATATTTCTCTTTTGTAATTTATTTTTCCACTAACTCCTTACTATTGGTAATTTATAAGCTCCAGGCTCACACCATCCAGCTGCTCACATATATCTCACAGGCTCTTCAAACTCAATATTTTCACAAAAATGAGAAATGAATTCAGGAAAAAGTGATAAAGGCTTTTCTCTCTCTCATTACATGGAACTTATACCCATCTAAGCTATAAATTTCCTCTCATCCTTACCAGCCACTGGTTATGTAAGGATAAAGTTCTATTGACGCATATCCCTCCCAGAATCAAGGTTCAAATTCTCATTACAGCAACTACCCTCCTAACTCCAAGACTGCAATGGTAGCCTGCAGGCTGCCTCTGGTCTGCATGCCTTTAGTTTGGTACATACGGTGTTTTAACTTTTTTTTTTTTTTAAATTATCTTCATTAAAATAGATTGTATTAAAAATCCAGACTCACAGCTTCCTTTGAAAACCTGAAGGTATGTATCATTGTCACTAGACCCCGTGTCTACATGCCCACAGCAACATTCACAGAGGCTCTGGCCTGTTTCTCCCATTTTTAGCACCTAGATGAGCCAGGCATGAGTGTGTATGTCTTCTGTCCCTAACTGGCTTCCCTGACTGACTATTCCCACCTCTCTCCTACTGAATGGTCTGTTATGAAGTTCAGTCTGTGCATAGCTGCTTGTTAAACTCCCTTGGATAGTTAGCTATTAAATTCTAGATGAAGTCCCAGTTCACTTGTGTGGCCTCCACGGGCCTTGGTGATGTGTGCTTCCTGCATCCCCTCAGTCTCATTTCTGCACCCACTTCCCCCAAACCTTTGTTTCTCTAAAACTACTTGCAGTTGCCTTGATGGGTCACTTTTCTTCCTGCCTCCATGGATTCCCACAGGGGGCCCCTTCTTTGACCTGTACCTGAAGCCCACCTGGCTTAGGTGCTTCCCCTATGGCCTCCTATCACATTCTGCTCCATCTCACCCTGTCTGGTCACTTGCCACCCTTGTCTCATCATTTGCCTGTTCTCACAGAGACTGTGGGCTCTTTAAAGACTGTGACAGTTTTCCTGAGGACACTAGAGAGTTTGGTAAACAAAAGGCAGGCATGTATGCTAATAATAAATCATGCATGTCACAGCACTTTTGTCAATCCTATTGTTTTATACACATGGAAAGTAAGGCGGGAGTTCTCCCTTATCCATGGTTTCAGTCTCTGCCATTTCATTTACCCATAGTCAATCTTAGTATGAAAATTTTAAAAGGAAAATTCCAGAAATAAACAGTTCATAAATTTCAATTAACTTTTATTAGAGTATATTGTTATAATTGTTCTGTTATTATTGTTAATCTCTCACTGGACCTCATTTGTAAATGAACTCCATCGTGGGTAGGTATATACAGGAAAAAACACAGATGGGTTCAGTACTATACATGGTTTCAGGCATCCACTAAGGGTCTTATAAAATGGATAAGGAAAAGCAAAACGTGGTTGAAATATTGTAGAATGTTTATATTAAATATTCTATTATAAATAAAGAAGGTTCCAAAAGAACAAGAACAAAATAAATTTGTCACACACCAAAAAACTTTGGCTCTGTGTGTATATATGGCTCAGGCCTAAAGACAGGAATGACAACTAGTTTCTTTAAAGGATTTGAAAATATATCACCTTTTATAGATGAATAACTTGGTTTGAAAACTACATAAATTCAATAAAATAAATCAAATGATACAATAAAAACAAAATTCAGCACTTACTATCATGAGAGATCATGCTCAGAAATATATCTCTCATTGCTTATGGACCTAAGTTAGGAGAATCATCACCCAGTAGATCACTAAGGAAATAAACCTGGGTAGCCATAGCTACTTTTTGATTTGCATTTTCCAGTTTTAAAAGTACTTTGATGGTTAGAAACATATTTGATGTTCACAATTCTGTAAATTAAGAAATATTGTTTCACACTTACACACAAGAGTGTGCAGGGACTTGGCAGATGCACTCAGCTCAGTGGAGGAAGGACTGAGACTCATGGGCACTTCTGACCCAGAGGCCAGTGGCTTGCCCTTTATGCTATCCCTCTTTGCAAACTCACTTCTCTTACCTCTTCTGTGACCTCTTTAAGTCCTGCATCTAAGGGGACATAGAAGCCTGAGGCAAATTCTGGGGATGCCTCATTGTTTCTCTCCCCAGTGAGCTAAGTTATTGTATTTTACCTTGGAGCTACTGTCACAGACAGATCACCCTGAGTTAGGTAATGAGCCGCACTTACAGAAACAACAAGCACAACCCAGACAGAGTTAGGTAATGGAGATGTACTTACAGAAACAGCAACCACAAAACCTGTAACAGCTGGGATTTTATAAAACAGTTATATTTGGCTGCTCCTTGAAACCTCTGTGCACATTCTGTACAGGGCTTAGAGTCTGAAAATTGGAACTTAAGGGGATCCTAAACATACTCCTCAGTTTCAAGAGACAATTGTGTCACCCAATGCACCACTGGTTACATGGTCATGTTTGTTATTGTCCTCTGATTTACACTACTGTGCAAGAATAACGTGTGGCCAAAATAATGGCATTCACTTGTTCCAGCAATGCCAAGCTTAATATGATGGCTTTTTAACAGCTTCACAGTAAAGGGACTAAGTTAACCTAAATAAAGACCCTTCCAGTATTACTTACAGCATCCCTTAATCAGTGTATTAGATGAAGGATGTGATTTAATTGATATTTTCCTGTGATTGGGGAGAATTGCTAACATGGAACCACCAAAAAAAAATCTCACCTCACTCAGTTTTAGGATGCTGTTAAGCTTTACAGTTAAGTCAAGAAATAATAATAATGCTTTCACGTTTTATCATTTACGGGGCACATTCGTGTGTATACTAAAAGACACTTTACAAGAGCTAAGTAGCATGGAGACTTACAATTTTAGAAAAGGTATATTCTTTCCACAGTGTTCATCTCAAGATCACAATTGTACAATTTGAAAAACTTAAGAACTCTAAGTATATTATATAGAATAAACTTTTTTGAATACAATAAGCAGCTGACTAGAGCCCAATTTCTCTAATTCTAATAACATCTGTGACTATAGGGAAGAATATCTCATCAAAGATGAGTAATATATATTTTTACATCAGAATTTAGAGAACAGTTTGCTATGTTCAGGGTCCCCTGAACTTCTCCTTTTGGGTTGTTCTTTTTTATTTCCTCTTATTACTTCTGTTCTTATTTGTCCAGTGTTTACCTCTCTCTCGAGGGTAAAGTCTTTGTGCATGGGGTCACTGCCCCATCATCTGTGCCAAGCAGGTGCTCAGAATATATTTGATGCAGAATGAGTTAATAACTTTCCCAGAGCCATATTGATTTTTACCAAAAAAACTGTATTATCTAAAGGTTTTGCCAATTTTATATTCTCTTTTAATTGGGAGGGGAGTTCTTTTGATCACAGAAGTCTCTGTTGGAACGTTTCTGTTTTAAAATAAAAATAATATGATTATTTATAGTATATCCTATAAAACATTTGCTTTATTTCATGCTTTTCCTTGGTAATACATCTCTACTCTTTTGAACACATACATAATTTCATAGTAACATGATTAAAACTATTTTTAATTGTTCTGGCTAAAAAATAAGTTTTAGTTAACATGCATTAAAGGTCTGGGTTACTGTAAAAGTACTTTTTTTAGTTTTATCCAATATCGCTCTTAAAATGTTTGACATTTAATTTAGTATAATCTATTTTTACAATAGTAAATGCTAAAACCCATCTCATACCAAGATATTAGCCTGATTTTATAGGAAATAAACTGTAAGATTATTGAAAGATAAGAAAATTAAAATCTACCAAGCATTCCAAACTATATCCTGGAAAAATATCCCTTAAATTTCTTCACAATTAGGGAATTTAAAAAGTATAACATAAGGAACAGAAGTTTTCCATAATCAAAATCTGAGCTAGTAAATATCAACACTATGTTCAATGAATGTTAACATAGCCATAGAATTATGTTATTTTACAATAGTGACAGAGACTTTTCATTTTCTGTTAGGATGCAGTACCCCATTGCACATGATTATTAGTAATAAAGGCCATCATCTCTTAAAAGAGACCTTCCCAGGTTGTAATTTGTATGACCTAGTTTTTACTTATATCACTGTCAATGGCCCAGGAGAGGAGATGACATACTGGGCCAGTAGTCTCACATGACAATCATGGTTTGTGGGACTATAACACCTAATGGTGAGGCCCCAGAACTAAATGCAATGAAATCCAAGCTTCACACCCACAGTCTAAGGAAGAGAGAGAATGGAGTCCTGCATCTGCCCAGAGCTCACAGTCAGGGGAACACCAAGGGGGAGGTACCTGGTTAACAGAAGCATCTGTATTAGCCACAGGTGAAGGGGAGCGACAGGCAGGTGGAGAGGAAATCTCACTGTTGGTTCCCTCCTCCCCAGACTCCTCAGTGACAGGTGACAGCAAAGTGTGACAGCGACCTGCAGTCATCTGCCACATAAAATGTATCCCAGAGGACATGAAAATCAGTTAGCTATGTTAACAAAAGATCTGGCCAGGCACAGGTCAAAACTAATAATTATATAACAAAGGTTAGAATGACTGAGACTCCAATTTGCATATTAATTCTGTGTTAGTACAGGAATGAAAGATGTATACCACATTCAAGAGTTTTGCTAATTAAAAACTTAATTTTTAAAAAATTTTGTCTTTATAAAAGACTTGAAAAATCACAAATCCTACAAACGAGAAAAGGGCCTTTCATGACAACTCACGTTCCAAATGTCCTAGGGAGATAAATGCATCCAAAATAGCATATTGTTAAATGGACTCATATATGTTTATACATTACATAGGAGGGGAAATACACAGCACCATAAAACACTGACATTACCAAAACAGTCAATGCATTTTAGATGAATGCAAAGTCCATGGGAATATCATGATACAAAATAGAGATTAATGGAGTATTTCTTTTAATTCAAAGCTAAACATTGAAATTTCTTCTTTTTCTCATAATAATTTCTCATCTAAATTTATACAACAAATATACGCACACACCTAATCAACTAGTTAGCTTGGAGAACATCATTTAAAATACGTATGTTATTTTTCCCATCCTTCAGGACACCAGAACACTATACAGAGGATTTTTCTTTTTCTTTTTTAAAAAATAAAGCTCAGAGCCTCTCAGTAGTATTGCTCAATTGTAAATAAATGCAGGGCAGATCTTGGACAGGTGAAGTAATTCAGCAGCCTCAAGCAAATAGTTTCATTTCAACAGGCACTGTTGACAGTGTCAAAGACTGGCTCAGGCCCAACTGTAGTCAAAAGGGAGTTAAGGAAACTGCTCCTTAATTGGAATCTGCAAGATCTAAAGCTGATCCCTAAAATAAGCCCTGGGAATGCTCTGGGAACAGCACCTAGGCTCCCCTCCAAAGGGAAAAGCCGGTGGGGACTGACCCGATCCTTACCATGACCACAGAGGGGTGGGTCGAAGAGGCGGGGAGGAGCTCCCCGTCCAGGTCCTCGGTGCCTTCCGCCAGCCCCTCCACCTCGGTCACCGTCAGCAGCATGGTGGCGTGCTTGGCTTTCATCGTCAGCATCTTGCACTTGGAATTCAACGAGGCGATCTGCTCCTGGTAGCCCTTGATTTTCTGCGCCAGCTCCTGAGAAAACATTTTCCCCCGGTGTTGTCAGAGCAGCATCAAAAGGAAACACAAGCAGTGGCGTTCATCTTCCTGCAGCGCCGGCCAATGGGATGGCAGAGCCTGCGAGGCAGGATGTGGACTGTGGCAGCAGCAGCCGCCTGCATCTCCCCGCCGAGCCCCACCGCGGCCACGGCGCCGCCCCCGCAGCACCCGCAAGACGCAGGGAGCCGGCTGCAGGGGAAGGGCTTTCCTGAGAGGCGCTCCCTATGCAATCAGGAACTCCCCACCTTGGGAACCGGAAACTTTCTTTAAAATGCCTAAAGCATCTAAAATTTACCAGATGGTTCATGCCATGGAAATTAGGTCATGTGATGAATATAACTACAAAAAAAAAAAAAAAAAAAAAAAAAAAGCAATGCTCAGCTTTTACCATCCACTGAGCACGTCCAACAGAAATGGAACTGATAGTCACCAAGTTAACTGCCAATCTTTTCCTGGGGCCACTGGGAGTTATTTTGCCTCTAGATAAGATGGATATTACATGGGAAATAATATTTATGCAGATTGAAGTTTGCAGTTTAGTTCGTGTGTTACATTTTCTCTCACTCCACCAAGCCTCAAATGTTTCTGATGCTTCAAGCTAGATTTAAAGTGCTGTTCTAACATCTGTTTTTGAAAAAGAAATTAAGAGAGATACAGGTTTCTTCTACTAAGAGCTTATTTATTAAGAGCTTTTTGGAATAATATGCTGGATATAGTACCTAGCTCTTAAAGAGGGAATCCACATCCATTTTAGGAGCATGGTAATTCTAAATATTAAAATTAAAACAATACTTTGCTGCTTATTCTTTATTCCTTTTATTTGGTTCCTTTGTCTGAGAAACTTTTAGTGTTTCGCATGGAAAACATTCCATGATAATAAACATCAACCTCTTCAAATGGTAGTGTTTGTATATATATAAGTTCATTCATAGATATGAGTATCTGTTGCACACACACATGCAACATTTTGTTATTGCTGTTGTTCTGTTTCTCTCCTCCTGACCAAAACAGAGTAAAGGGAGAACAAGTCCAGCAGAACTCAGTCAATGACTGTCTTCTTGACTTTTTACAGTGCAGTGTAGGAATTTTTAAAACAAGAGTTTAAAAAATAGAAATCATTACTTTTGTGGCTGCAGATAATTAAACCTAATATACATTTTGAAATTCGTGATTAAATAGCTATTTTCTACATCTAGTCTTGTGGCTTGCACATGGGTACTCAGTAAATGATACATATTATTCCTAGTTAATATGCACCTAGAAGAGATATCTTCCGGCTTACTGCATACTGAGCTTACAATGGCTTGCCCCATGATGGTGAATGTAAGGAAAATTGTGAAGTAGACAAAGTTAGCCTCATACCTTACCCATGTGGTGCCCACATGGCTGGCCAAGCTCTATACTGCAGTACCTGCTAGACAGGTGTGCACATGCTGAGAGCAAGTACCTGTTTTCTAAGGTGAAATATCAGCTGTATTGTAGATAAACCTCAGATGGGTTATTTGTTAAAAATGCAGCTCTGGTCACCACTTCAAATGAGTTTGATTTACTAACATTATGAGAATCTGTTTCACAGTCAACCCATGTGATTCCAGAACTTTCTTCCTTAAGGAAAAACCTGCTTGTATCATATGACTTTTGTGGGTCGGATATTCACGCTATGGCAAATCTGCTGAAATAAAATAGAATCCTAAAATGTTAATGTGTCATCCATTCTTAATTTGCCCTAGGTATTTTTGGAAATTACTACAAAACTGGGGATTTCAGGTATGGTGGCCTGCAAAGGACAGTAGACCTTTGTGTTCAGGACTGGAGCACATCTTCTATGCTAGGTGGAGAGAACAGAAAGAGTATTCTCTCTTGATTTAAAAGTGTCAGGATCATCCTTTTCAAACCAAATGCAACCTCTGAAAAACTGTATAAAATAAAATGTGAATTCCTTAAAGGTGAATCAATTTAGGAATTTTGGGGGGCTGAAGGAAGTTTTCCATATGGTAAAGCAGATTGACCTTAAGATTGAAATTCAATTAAAAGTAGACATAGAACCAAGAAAACAAATCCTGGTCCCAATGTTGACATTATCATCACTTGACCTTTCTCCATTCAGCACTTTCCTTCCTGTGTTTATTTTATACATTCTATGAACTTCACACAGGTTCAGGTATAAAACCTCATTATTTTCATGAAATAATATATAAAACATTTTTATAAATGTGTTCCCAATCACAAAACTGGCAAATATCCACATGAATATTTAGACTTGTGAGGAGAAAGTGCGACAAGATGAACTGGCTCCTGGGCGGGGAGCCAGGAGGACATGGTCTGTGTTGACTGTGGAGAGCTCACTCTGTGGCCTTGGGCAAGTCATTGACTTTCCTGTGACATCATCGTTTTTCTTTTGCAATTTGTAGACTATATAGTTTCTGCTACAGCGAAAAAGTCATGGAATTTGTAGTCAAAGACACTGGGTTTGAGTCTAGTTTCAATGAATAAAAAGCTTTCTTATTGGTAAAAAGGTTTTTAAAGAAGCCAATCCTCACAGAGTTAATCTTTTTTTTTTAAAGATGTAAAAATTTTTAAGTTGTTTTTGAAAATATAAAACAAAAAATCTTTGGTAATAATAGTAATTGTTATTCCAAGGCAAGGCATTAAAAATATTTTCAGGATCATATTAAAATAGCTATTGTAACACAATTTTGCATCTTATGAGATAGGAATAGATTTGAGATAAATTTGTAGTATATAATGTAATGTGCACATCATAAATAGGCTCAAGAATTTGCATGTTTTCTTTTAACCAATGTTTAAGAGAAACACAGAAGAAGTCTACAGTTGTAGAAGCAAATATAGTTGGGATATTTATTTAAGTTATTTTGGAAAATCATACATAAATATAAGTGATTGGTATACTATGAGTGTCAAGAAATTTCAAAATCACATTTAGGAATGGGCATGGAAAGATTTTCCAAGCTTAAGAGGCAACATTTGAGTCTTCTGAAAATCTTACTATGATATTTGGTTTGTTAAAACTGTTGTTCTTATGGTAAAGTTAAGAAGACAGAAGGATAAAATGTCTTAGGCACAGGGAAATAAGTCACCCAAATTCATGGTGCTAAGAACCAGCCCCCAAGGGAAAGAGTGAACTTGACCCATATAGAAGTTAACTGGCCAGGAAAGGAAATGCACTGCTAAGTGTAATGCCTCAGTCACTGTAGGGCTAGAATCTCTGAGGTCTGCATGAAGAGGGTTCAGGGCCTAAGGTCATCACGATGCTGAAGGACAAAAAGGAGGTGTATTTGAAAATGGAGAAAAGGCTGACTGGCCCCATCTAAAAATTAGCAAAACGAATGACATAGACGATTTTCTGATTTTAGTGAAAGGAACTGAAATGGCTGATATTTTAAAGGGCAAACAATTTTCTTTTTAATATGAAATACTTTTTTTTTAAGGGTGAACAATGCAGCAAAGCATTTGCATTGTTGTTTCTTGTGGGCTTTAAAATCAGAAGCAGACTGTGTTTTCAGATATAAATATTTAGTGTATTAACTTGTATTAACTGTTTTGGGTGCAGGAGATAGTGTGTCCTGGTCAATAACTGTCATGAACAACACAGAGGCTGTGGACTCAAGGGGCAGACTTGTGCTACTGGGTCAGCAAAAACTGCACTCAAAATGCAAAGACAGCCAAAGCGGCTGCCCAGGAACTGACACATTGTGTGCAGACACGAAAAAAAAAAAAAAAAGGCATTCTCTTCTAGTCCCCAATCAAGCCAGTGTCCTCCCCTTGGTGTTTGGCCACCACTTCCATCTCACCTCGTGCTGAGAAATCTGGGCTTGCAGCTCCTGGATGTTGCTGGTGGCCACAGGTTTGTCCTCAACCTCTCCGTGCGCTTCTTCTATCAGTTGCTGGAGATGCTTCATTTCTTGCTCATATTGCTCATACTGCACAACAGCCTCCTTTAGAAAGGAAAAAAATAACCAACAAATGGTTTTCTTTCTCTATTAATAATTGAGTAAGTGACTGTACCACTGTCTGCAGATGATAGTGTTGACTTCTGTCTCCTTGTGTTTCTAGGGAACACAAGAAGTGATGGGTGAAATCCCTAGATGGTCCAAATTCTCAGGTATTTTCAAGTTTTTTTTTTCCTCTAAAGGCTATTTTAAATAAAGAACAACTTGTGTAGGAATTAATAGTGGAATGAATGGAATAAAAATAATTGATTAATCAGAATTTTCTTTCTTTTCACATTTTCCTGAAGATTAAAAGTAATGGTGAGAAGGTAGAAGCAGCATGTAAAATGGAATTGTTTCATTTCTCCATCTGAGAAATACTGAATAACAAGTAAGACACTCAGCTAAAGGTTGCAGTAGGGAATTAAAATATGAATTATGCATGACTTCTAACCTCAGGAATTGAATGTCTAAGGAATTACAAAGAAGTATAAGGAGCAAGGATAGCTGATCAAATGGACCACTAGAGATTTTAATGAGAGGCTATTTATGCAATTAATGTCCTTTTTATGGTGGAAAATGCTATTTTTCTTATTAGGTGAAGAGATTAAGAGTTAATGCTTGGGTGTGCTTCTTAAGCAAGAAAATGAATTTAATGAATCAATAAACTGAAATATGAAAAAATTCTACAGCATATGATAACAGTAAGTCCATATTCCTGGTTCTGGGTGATTCTCAGGTGAATAAAAGCCAAAAACTATATCGTTGCATACAAAATTAACCTACACAAGTTGTTCTTCATTTAAAATAGCCTCAAAAGATGATTTTCACCCAAAGATATTTTTACAGTGCCTTCTCAGGCTTTTGTGGGTGATCCAAATAATAGCAGTTTAATCTCCTTGTTTTATATAATCAAAACAGTCTGTCAAATTTAACATTCTGGATGTGTTTGGATGGCTGAACCCACACAATGCTAAGAAAAGCAGCCCATGACTCATCCGCGATTGCTCTGTGGGCATGGGCACCACCGTGGAGCCTGGGGGCACAGCTGCACCTGCCTGCATGATGTTGCACTGCTGGATGGCTGTGTGCTGCAGCCGGCTCGCCTCCTCCTGCAACCGCAGAGCAGCGTGGCAGAGCGGTAGGCTGGCCACCACGTCCTCGGGGATCCGGAGAGCGCTCTGGCAGAGCTGCACAGCCTGCACCTTCGGTTTTAGTGACTCCATCTCAGATAGCAAATGCTGAAAAGTCATAGTTCAAAAATTTAATGTTCCCATCATTTAGTGCATAAGCAAAAGACACGGACTGAATTCTAGACACAAGTTATAAATGTGTATGTTTTCAAATAATGCCTCTAGTTCTAAGACCATAACTGAATTTAGAAAGTAGTTTGCCTGGCTCTTTTTGAAATATAGGTCATCGCCCACTGGCCCTGAAGTATTTTTGCTTACCTGTCGATGAGACAGTTGTTCCTTGAGACTCAAACGCCCAACTTCTGGAGAAGTTAGGGTGGTCTGGGCTTGTTCCAAAGCAGCTTGTAAGTTTTTCAGCTCCGCTTCAAATTTTTTCATATCCTGGAGAGTAAAATCCATTTAAATACCAGTCTATTGCACTTACAGACCAAATTCCTAAAAATAACATCATAGTCAAGAAACAACATCACCATCTTTCCACAGTGGAAATACCATTTTTTAGTGATAGATTTTTTTTCTATTTATTTTTTTGTTTTTACCTTGGCTGCATCTTGGAGGTTCTGCATTCGAATTTTGATCACCTGCCGCAACTCCTCAGTCTCCCGTCCCAGTTCCACCACTTGCTGAGACATCTTTTCTGTACAGTATACACTAGAGAGGTACTGCAATTTCTCCGTCATTGCTTCCAGATCAGTGTAAATTTCTTCAGACTCTTCTAGCAGGGTCTAGAGTGAATTGCCAATATTTAAGATCATTGGCAGGTAGGCAGGCAGAGGGTCAGTGACTGACATGGTGCAGTGTGGGAAGGAGTAAGGAGAACTAAGTGGAAATTTATACTACCTGCAGGCAGCACTGTGTGGTTCTCACTGCACAGCTACCGTGCAGTAACATTCATATTCTACAGATAAATTCTGGATGCATATTGCCCGAAGACTTGAAAACATGACAAAAACATTACAAATGAAAACTCTGAGCACCTATGTTAAGTGAGACAAGATAGAAGTGGACTTGAAATATCAAGAGGCACTCATCATCCAGGATGGTGTCATCTATTGGGACTAACAATAATACAAGTAAATATTTCATGCACATACATATATGCATACAAATATGCAATAAATGAGGAGAGTGAGAGAGACCAAATGTTGAGAGATGCCTCAGGTGAGTTGTGCTGCAACTTGGTGGAAGGTTGGGAGAAGGCCCCACGGAAGAGTGATGGAAGAGTGATGTTTGATCTAGGTCAGAAGGATAGCATGTTTTGAAAGAAGGAGGAAGGGAGAGGCATTTCACACTGAGGGAACAGCATATGTGGAGGCACAGAGGTGGATGAGTACAGAATGTGAAGTCACAGCAGGAATGGGGATGGGGTATCACTGTTAGGGGCTAGGTTCCATTTAAAAAAAAACGAAGTACGTTTTCTTCCCACAATGAATGTAGACATGTGTATTATTAAAAAACAAAGCTTGAAAAATATTGATACTGTAAGGGCGAAAACAAAATATCCTATCATCTCACAGCCCAGAGATAATGTTGAGAGAGAACTGCTGGTCCATGTGGGCATACATATTTTTAGTCAGTTAAAATTACAATGTACCAATAATTTTCGATCATTCCTTTCACCCAATACTGTTCTCCACAGGTTCAACAAGCCTGAACCCCTCCCTTGCAGACAGAAAACCTGTCAAAGGCTTGGGAGTGACTAGAAGGGAGTCCAAATTCTTAACATGCTTTTCATTATCTGGGCTTTTCTTATCTCTCTGTTCTTATCTCTTATCCCTCTTCTTTCCAGTTCTTCTGCACTAAAAAAGAGCACCTTTCACTCTGACTGCAGGGATTAGAGCAAGACAATGTGTTTCTGTGGAAAACACATTTCACAAGCAGGGTGTGGAGTCTTCCAGATAGCCAGTGTCAGTTCAAACATGTCCTGCTCAGCCAGGCAGTCTGGCCTGAGCACCTCCTGCAGGCCTCTCGGGCACCGGCATCGAGTCCCCTCTCTGCAGTTACCAAGCTGAGTTGTGATGATCTACTTTCTGTCCCCTCCTCTCACTGTCAAACTCCATAGGAGGAGGGACAGGAATGTTCTTTGTATTCCAAATGCTTACCAGAATTCTTAGATTGGGAAAGGACTTTCTAAGTCCTTATTGAATTAAAAAATAAAATAAAAGAATGAATGAGTGTAGGAAATTAAAAAAAAAAAACTCATGATCTCTTCAAAGATTGCATTATATTATATTGTATGCAAATGTTTATTCAGAAATGTTGTTTGACAGTTAAGTGCTCTTTAGATTCCATTACAGTTATTAATACTGCACAAAATATTTTCTACATTTTGGATTCCAGCCTTAGTAATAAGTCCAAGAATAAATGTCACTACTCTGACCTAATCAGTAGGTCAGAGTAGTGACATTTTGGGTGATCATCATATATTTTGCTAATTGTTTTCAAAATGATTTTTACCAGATTACCAACAGTGTTTGAAAGCTCTTACTTCTTTAAGTATAAACTTTTAAAAAATACTGTTAACTTGACAATTAAACTTCTCTCCCTTCTTTTCTGCTTAAACTTGCATTTCTAGATTTCTAAAGAAGTTGAATATTTCTTTTTTTTTTGTTCTTTTTTTTTTTTTTTTGTCTTTCATTGCTGGGGATTGAACCCAAGTCCTGGCATTTGCTAGGCACGTTCTCTATCACTGAGCTACATGTCTGGCACTTTTTATTTTACTTTGAGACATGGTCTTGATTAATTGCCAAGGCTGGCCTTCAGTTTCTGAACTTCCTGTCTCAGACTCATGAGTAGCTGGAATTACAGCTACTTATACTGTGCTTAGCATGTATTTTCAACGTTTATGACTGAATTGTAACTTAAGTCTTATCTGTTAACATCTAAGCATATCTTACAGAATGATGTAGTTAAGGAGAAGGCTTGGGAGGAGAGTGCAAGATTGAATAGAGAAGCAAGATTGTGAACACAGGGAAAAAATTAGGACCTGATAAAGCATTCCAGTAAATGACAAATGGAAAAGAAAAGGAGACTAATTTAAAAGATACAAGAAAAATTCTACAATACTTGAGGATATCTGTGTTACCTCGGTTAGTCTATATTTTATTGCAAGATGGTTAACCTACTAGATATCTATATCTAACTCAAGCCTAAGGATGAAGTCATTTCCTGAATAATAACACCAAAAGAAAAGGAATATTTTTGTCACATAACTTGAGAGGAAATGAAGTAATACAACCATGTGATTAGACTCATGATTTGTTCCCAGCTGACCTTGACTCCTAAGGAAAGTCAGATGACTGAGACTTGGCAGAAAGTGAGAGGAAGAAGGTGTGAAAACTCCTACAGACACCTGTACAGCTAGGTTGAGAGCCCTGTTTGCAGATATGTTAAACCATTTGGTCCTCAAGTCTGACATATGAATATTATCTACATCCCCACAGTGTAGGTGAAAAGACAGAATCAACAGAGCCAAAGTATTTTACTCAAAATAATCACACAATCCCAAACAGCAGAGCTTGGTTTCCCCCTCAGTTTGACTATGACGTTTATAATCTTTCCATACTCCACTCTATCTCTTCATGAGGAAGAATTTCCCTGCATATAATTTTTTCAAAGAAGCTGCCAAGAAAGAGTTCTTTAAGGCTGATTGTTTTCGGTCTTGGGGAAAGGGAGATCTTGGGAAAACAGAGAATATTTACTTATATAGTCTAATGAAATCTCACAGGTAGCTACTTTCTGTCAAACCTGAACACTTGTCATTCTTTATCTGGTACCTACCATAATCTTATATCACAGCTCTCTATATTTCATGCCAATCTTGCTAGTTAAGTCAGATGCTCTTTACTACTATTTGAAAACTTTTTCCTAAAGTTACCTGATGCAAAATGTATTGTTCCCGAAGCTGACTTGCAGAATTCCATGCAATATTTCCATGTACCAAGTCCTTAGCTTTCTCAATCCATTTCAAAATTAATTCAAGCATTTCATTGTATTCTTCTAAATGGGATGCCGCCTGAAAAATCATTAACATCCAGATAACAAATGTAAACTCACCTTTTGAGCTAGACATTAACCTTTGATCTGTCTCTTTGGATACAACAGCCCTGGAGGTTAACGTTTTTTGTTTTTTTTTTTTTTCTGTGAGACTGAAAGGGATCATGAAAAATCACTTTTAAGGGAATCATGAAAAATCACTTTCCTGTAAAAAAAATCTGTCGAAGGTTTCCCAGAGTCCTCAGGATACAATCTAAGTCCTTCATATGTTGGGATGTTTTTTCTTTTCCTTATTCTCCATCCTCATCTCACCTGTTCTAGATCCTTTCTATCCCTTTTCCACATCTCACTGTATAAGGAGGTGATAAATGGGAATGACAGGATGCTAAACCCCAATATTACAATTCATTGGGTACCAACTCCTGTTTTTAACTTGACCCTGATTATAGAAATAATGCTTAATTGATTTGCAGAAGTATAATCTACCATCAAGAAATTAGATGGATATGCTATCTGACTCTATTAAGAAAAAGTGAACACACACAATAAGTGAATATATTATATATATTACATATATTTTATTATAAATATATTATATATTTTTTAAGATCAATGAATTTTGTCCCAAACTAACTTTATAAAACTTGCTAATGGATAATGTATTCATTTTGTTAAGTATTTCTCCAATTTGCAAAATATTTGCCCCCAAAACCCATTTACATGACTACTTGTGACAGTGAATGTAAAATATGGTTTGATATGAACTAAACATGGGTTCACCTATAAAACCTTGGAACACAAGCATGGTATGAAATAAACTTCATCTTGCATCCTTGCCAATATTACCTTTTCATTTATTTTCAAAGAGAAAGGCAGATGACCGAAGTTTCTGTCTTAGAGCATTTCAGTTACTGGCTTGGAAAACATACCTGGTTGAGCTTGGAGAACCGATTTTCAGCCTGCCTGAGGGTCTGCTGGTGGAGTTCAGTCAGCTTTCCTATCTTGTTGACCAATGGCTTGCCCAGTTGGCTGTTCTGTTCCGAGAACTTCTGTACTGCTGCATCTAATTCAATTAACTTCAAATTACAGCCATCCAGTTCCTCTCCCAGCATCTCAATGAAATCAAAATGAAAGATTATTAGATGAGAGAAAATAAGATTCTTAAGAATTTTTAAGATCAGAAGAATATTTTAAATATTTTTAAAGCCAAATATTATAAGTAATAATTTGACTGCAAACTATTGTTTTCTGTTTCTTGGGTGGGGAAGGTGGATCAGGATATGTTGTAATCCTGGTGTTTATTTCCTGAGTGAGAGGGATAACATTTTCCTTCTGCCCCACCCAAATGGATTGGAGTGACTTAACTCATCAACAGGGTGCAGACACAGAATCGACTACCGAAAATAGTTAATTCGCTTTGGAATTTGCAAACCTGTATTCCTAAATTGTCATCTAATTTTTTGGTAACCTTCTCTCTCATACACACATGTGTGTTTAATTATTAATAAGCCCAATTCAGAGATAAATTATGTAAGTATATTTGTGTTATTACATTGTATAAAATATCTTTACTACCAACTTTTACTATTAGATTTTAGTGAAGTTTATTGAATTTTTTTCCATATTGACAAATAAAACTGGCTCCAAAAATCTATTTAATTTATTCAGTAGAACCCCTTATATTTCCACTTCTCCTTCCTCCTTACCTTTTGGTCAGCTTTAGCTTGAGCTAAATTTTCAGTTTTTGCTTTCAGCTTCGTTAGAATAGTTGTGAGATCCTTGGCTATCTTCTGAATTTGCCGGCCATATTCCTGGCTCATGGCCTTGCTCCGTTCAACTTCTTTCACTTTGTTTTGGATCTAAGTAACCAATGAGAACGGCAAAACTAACCACAGTTAAAATGTAATAATAGATACTAAAATTCTCAAATGATGTTGACTAGGGACATTTCAGGTGGACAGTGCTACTCTGACCTGGACACACTTAATCAAAGTAGTTAGTTGCAAGCTCCCCTGGATTTCAAGTAGACCACACTTCCCACTATCTTCTTGCATTTACTACACTCCTGCTGTTGCAGCAAGAAGATAATCAATGCATGTACTGTGATTCATTGACTAAATATTTGCAAAACACTCATTATGGATGGCTGTGTGGACTGCTGAATCATATCTAATCCACTTACTAACTTTGGTACTTTGGGCCCACAACCTTCTCTAAATATTTTTCTTTATAAAATAGAAAAACCCTTCTGAATAGGGGGAGGCACAGAGATTTGTTTCAAAATAACAAATTTGTTTCAGAAGTTTCTGGTAATGATCTCTTTTCTTAACTTCCCAATTATATCCACATAGTGTAGCATAAAGGTATGTTCAAAGGAAAGGAAGGTGAAGAGACAAATTAACATTACAAATTTCTAATGGATCTCATTGGATTTGATAAAAAAATTCATATATTTGCTTAGAATAAAACACTGAAAAGAAGATGGTAAAAAGGAGAATGTCTCCCACATAAAAGGCCTTAATAAAACCTGTTTTTTAGAGAAGAAACACATCACCTAAAGAGTACATGTTAGAATACTTATTTTTTATTTGAGTGATGAAGTATCAGGAAGGTATATTAATAACTATTATAGATAAATGGAGCCAGAGGAAAGGAAAAATTTGAATATTTTAAAAAGATACGAACTAGCCAAGTCATCTTTCCCAATAGACCTTCCAATGTCTAAGAAATCCAATAGGCCAAATAAATATTCAAATAGAAAATAGTGTGTATTAGTGTAGATCAAAATCATGATGCAGTAGCATTGGATTTTGATGAGATTTTTAAAACACTCTGCCTCTTAAGATTGAATTTTGTGCTGTGTATTTTCACTTCTTGCAGCAGTTTAGATTTAGTGTAAATTTTCTTTCTGTTTCACAGAGAATGGTTTTAACTAAACCTTAGTGACTTTAGTATTCAATCATTAAGACACTCTTAAAATCCATTTTATTTTCACACAGACATTACATGAGGCACTTTTCATGACATGAAAGACTGTGCTCTTTGTGAGACCAAAGATAGAAACCTCCCTTTGGTCTCAGTACCAGAAAAGACTATGTCTTTCTTTGTAAAAAAATTATTTTGAAATTTGGACACATGGATGTGTCTTGCCATTGTTTCCTCAATTGTTTGGAAGTTAGGACCAAACTGAAGCCCCTCCTCTTACAGCACACATCCACCAGCATGCGCTCCATTTTCTTTTTTTTTAAACTTGATTGTTTCTTCCTTCAAATGTCTTTACCTACATCTTGCTGAACTAAATCTACAACTAAAGAGTTCCTGGCACACTGGAGGTATTCAATAAATACTGTTAAACACATGTAGTACACCTTATTTTTTCGTTTTTTTAAGCATTGTTTCAAAACTGAGGGGAAGCAGATAAATTTTCTTTAATAGTGTAACATTGTTATTCATATTTATGATCATCTAATGTGGTTCTTGCCTGTGAGTAAGACTTCTAACTTGGTATCATTGTTGTATAGTAATCTATTATTTAATTCTGTTTCTAAGAAGAAAATCATTAACTCTCATACAAAAGGACTGACCCATAGAAGAATAGAAAGCCCCTCTTCCTTGATGGCAAATGTACCTGCTCATAGATCTTTAGGTCCAGTGCGACTTCAGCTAACTGAAGAGAGATTTCAGAAGGCAGGATTGTGTACAGACCCAAGTACTTCTCCTTCTGTTCTTCAGCCATTTTCTCAATGTTCTGCCGGTGATTTGTGGCTTCTGTCAAGAGGGTCTGAAGAAAAGATTGAAATAAGAAATTTCTCGGAGTCTGGTAAGGACGTTATCATTATGAGTATAGAGACAAGGCTCTCTATTGCTCACCAATAGAATATGATTAAGCTTAGAACTAGAGAAAGAAAAACAAGCTTTCCTTAAAGAAAAGAAAAAAAAACTGGGCTGGGATTGTAGCTCAGTGGTTGAGCACTTGACTAGCATGTGTGAGTCACTGGGTTCGATCCTCAGCACCACATAAAATAAATAAATAAAATAAAGATATTGTGTCCATCTACAATTAAAAATATATATTAAAAAATAAGAAAAAACTTTCTTTTAATCTCTGAATATGAACTTTGTCCCCTTTTACAAGACAAGCAAAAAAAAAAAAATCCCGTGAAGTCATACTAATGGCCTTTCATATAATTCCTGTCGTAAGTTTTAAATTCTCTATTTTACTATATGTAAGCGAGGGTGTCTAATTAAAATGAGGCCAACTTTTTAGAATGAAGAGTATACAGAATGAGCAGATTTCTCTACCTGCAGTTCTTCCAGCTGAGCATCAACTTCTATTGTTGGATTCCCTAAATATTCTTTCGTTTCTTGAACCCAGGATTTCACAGAATTTATTTGAGTTTCCACTGCTTCTCGATCCTGCAGCTCCTGCTTTGCCAGTTTTCCGTTATTCTTCACTTTCTCCTGCATGCTTCAGAAACATCGGGGGAGAAAGAAGAAGTGGATTGGAAATGAAGGGAACCACCTCATATATGACATCATTTTATGAAAGAGAGAGAGAGAGAGAAACCTGGTATCTTTTCTGCAAGTACACTTCCCTGAAACTGTCAGATAATGCTCAGTAGAACTTAAGTTCACATAGGACAGAAGAAAGTGTGTTATCTGAAGTGAGTGATCCATTCCTGGGAAACTTGAGTTGACTTTCTCCCCTGCACTGAATGGCAACCAACTTCCATAGCTAGAGTAGTTTAGAGACTCCTGGACTATTTACCCCCTTGGAAATCTGCTCAAATGGAACAGAATTGTCAGCATTTAAAAGTAGTGTATAGTGGATATTTGTGGCTGTTAGAAATAGCCTTTATGTAAAGAAACATGTTTTGAACATTTCACAGGTATTAACATTAATAATGCCACATTTGAATTCTTTGTTTGAATTAATATAAATTCAGTAAAAAAAAAAAAAAGTTTCAATAAGTGGTGTCAGATCACCCTGACTTCATCCATGACTGAAAGAGGTATATATATGAGATAATATTAGTTAATATGGGAATTAAATTATTTAATGACATGTTTTCCCCTGGCCCAAGATTGAATCAGGCTGGTTACGTATCATCAAGATTAACTTTCTCCTAAACTCACTGCAGCAAATGGCTATTAGATATTTGGACTTTGGTGTCATCATATCTCCTAACTCCCTGTCACCCTATATAGTCAAGGAGCTGTCAAACTTCATCAAATCCAAGTTCTAAATAGCTCTCAACTGTTTAGCTGTCAAGCTTTATTGCTCCTAAATCACCCCATCCTCTCTACACCACCCAAAGAGCTCCTTGAATGTGTGTGTGTCCTTCCAAGCTTTCTTACTTATCATCCCCATCTCATGACTAGCTCAGGACCACTTAGTCTTGAGTGTTACAAGAAAGTCTGCTCAGCACTCGCTCTGAAAGTAGCTGCCTGGGCTTTCTACTCCCTTAACAGACTTTTCATAGTTTCCTGAAATGGCTCCTTTCATTCATCTCCATTATCTGGCTGCAAACTGCATGAAAGTAGGCAATGAGCCTGTTTGGTTCACCACTGTATTTTTAAGTATGATGAGAAATGCATTTGCCAGATAGAATATTGAAATACGGAGATAATGGGAACAGATCCCCACATCTTGACTGTGGCATTGACCCCCATCCATACCCAAGTACCCCAGATGACTTTTGGGTCAAGGCCAAGTATAGTAACAGAGAATGAGAGCAGGTTTGCAATTACTTGAGGCACCGATCTTGCATTGCTGTGATCTCTTGCAGGATGGGCGGCTCTTCTCCAGGGCTGGGGATGGCTACATCCTGGAGCATGCTCAGTGCCCGCTGCTGTAGTGTGCCCAAGGCCAGCTGCTGCTGTTCCAACTCCAGTGCGCATGTATCATGGTGTTCGAGAAGGGCCAAGAGTTCTGCTTTTGAAACTTTCTCTGCTGAACTTCCAGGCATTTTATCTTGCAGCTGATCAATCATTTCAGTGGCTTTTTTAACCTAATGACAAATGTACATATGATAAAGTTCAAAAATAAACTGAAAAAATAGGGTAATTTCAATAAATGCCACATTTGACACTAGTGCATCAGAACACATTAAAGATAATAACATGAACTTTGAATTTCAGAAAATTAAAACCGGAACAATCTTCTTAACGTGAGAGAAAAAGCCACCTCTTTAATTCTGTGAGTAAATTTTTAATCTCAAAATCATATCAGGAACAGAGACTATATAAAATATAGAAAAAAGTTTATTTTTAACAATCCAAACAAATGAAAAACTTTTCCAATATTTAAATTAACATGAATGGGTACTTTGAGTTATTAAAAAAAAAGGCTAAAACACTGAACCCTGCTTAAAAGATGGAAGACATTAAATATAGGATTTGGTGTATGAGTTGACTTCTTGATGATTTTTATGACAGAGACAAGGTATTTTAAATGTATTTTTTCAAGACCAGGTAAGAAAAGAAATGGGGCACAATGCGAGTTGTCCTCCTTTCAAACCGTAATTGCTTCTTGGCTTTCTAATTGAAATAATTTGACCCTGACTTGGGATTACATTGCACATTGAACAATGTGTTTTGTTTCACAACTTAGTTTTCACATCACTGAAAAAGACACATACAAAAACGACTTTTTACTTCCATAATGTCTATTTCAAAAAGGAGCAAAATACTGTTTTCCAAAATACACTCCAAGTGGTAAGGAAAATACTAACTTGAACCCATCAATAATGAAAATTACCTTATCATTCAAGCCCCTCCACTCCTCCACTGCATCTTCCAGAATCTTCTCCTGGTCCTGGGCCACAGCACGAAGGCGAGTCCACCGCTGCCAGACAGTGGTCATTGACCTGCTCAGGGTGGCCTTGCTCGCCTCATTTCCAATTTTCTCCAGTTGGGATGCTTTCTCCTCTAGGGCCACAATTTTCTCACGGAAAGAGTTAACTACTGACTCTAAAGCCTGGGGAAGCAGGTGAGAGAAAAAGACATCAATGGGGGAGAGCATGATTTTTTTAAGTTCTATGGATTTGGGTGAAATAAAAAAAATTACATGCAGATAGATATGTTTCACTTAACTTTATTTTCCTCTAATAGCTCTTACTTTTTATTTATATTTTTGACTGAGTTAGACTGGGATATTTCAAGAGATAAGTATTATTTATTTATTAAGTAAAACATTCTTTTTGCTACTTGAAATGACATTTCTCCCATTTTTCAAAAGCAACAGAAACATAAGCAAATTGGATGGGATATTTTAGTATGCTACAGTCTTCCTTACATCGCTGCTATAGATGAGAAAGGCTCAGTTATGATTTTCTAAAGTTTGTTTGAATTATCCTAAGTTATCCATAGGAAGTTATTTAGTGACATTTATTAAGCACCACATCTTATCAGAAGCAAATTGCTCTGAATTCTTCATAAATCTTAACTATGCACTTGGAACGCAAATCTAAAAATATTGGCAACATTTTTATTAGCTTAAAATTTCTATGGAATGTGGTTGTCTCTTTATTATATTTAAGGAACTCAAGTGAAAAAGAAGATTTAACAATCTGGAATAATCATGGGTCAAAAAACTCATTATAAGGGACTGAGGACACGGCTCATTTGATAGAGTATTTGCCTCACATGCAAAAGGACCTGGGTTCAATCCTCAGCACCAACAAACAAACAAAAACTCATTGTAAATATAATTGAAAGATTTAAAAAAAAAAAAAATCCACCAAGACGCTGACCTTGTGTTCTGACAGTTTTTCTTCTGCTGCATGACTGGAAGAAGTCTTCAACAAAGAAAACCCAGACAATTTCTTTTCTGCATCATTCATCAATTCAATAACCTCTTCCTTTGTTTTCTGGTAATCTTGCCATTGAACTGTACATCTTGAAAGATTTCAACAGAAATCAATAAGCAATGTGAAATCACACATTCCTATGCAGAGTTCTGGTGTCAATATGGCTAAGGATACTTAAGAGAGAAGAATAAATTTACACACTAATGTGTGTCAATAGTATATTACTATTTTCTGTGTGAAAATTCACTTCGTCAAAATATACGGTATAAAACCACTCTAAATACCTCTGCAAGAGGTCTAACTGGGCATGTGAGCCCTGGATGGTCCTCTGGCTCCTCTCCTCCAGGGAAGCCATCTTCTGTGCCAGATCTTCTTTGCCAGTGGGCTTGATCAGTGGGTCCAGCTTGGCCACCAGGCCTTGGAGCTCCTCCAGATTACTGTGGAATTGATCCTCTGTGCTGAAAAACTCCAGGTGGCTCTTGAGATTCTCCTCTGCGCTCTCCACATCTAAACCATTGCCCGCCAGCTGTAACATTTCTTGGGCATCCTCAAGCCAGTCATTAGCTGCTTGGAATACTTGATAATACCTTTGACACTGACTATATATTTCAGTCAAGGTAGCCTGAAAAACAGTAAGCATAAATAGAATCAACTCCCAGTTACAACATGTTTGCAAGAAATAGTTTCATTTTTCCATTTATTTTCTAGTCCTCAGTTTGCAAACATGTGAATAAATGACTTGATTAATTGGTGGAATTTTTTTATAGTGCAATCCATTATTATTCTTTATATACTGTATATTTTCTTTAGAAAACAAGGAAAATATTAGAACTAGCTGAGATACCAACACACATTTCACTTCCATTTATGTACTTATTTACTTTTTTTATTTTAACTGCAATGATAAAATTATAACAAGAATAGCAGAAGGCATAACATTTGCACATATTATATTTGCAATTCTATATTATCCTGAAGAAAGTTGTCTTTTACCTAAGTGTTTGGTTGAAATCTAGAATCTGAGGGGTTGAAGACAGATATGGGAGGGAAAAAATGACAGGGGATTAAAGGAAGTAATGCTCTGGGGACTGTTATGTCTCTTCTTAGTCCCAAATGCACAGAACCTGCCAGGCCCAGAGCAAGCTGGGTTAGGAGGCCAACCTGGGAAGGTCCACACAGGCTATTCCTGTCACTAAGTCTAGTCATTAATGGATACTCTAGCCTTGCTTCATCTGTGCTACAGGGAAGGGAAGCACTCTTCCCTGAGGAAGGGATACAGAGGTCAACTAATAGGACACCACACAGAAAAACCAGCCTCAGCATCATGGCCAGGGCCACACCATCATCCACCTGCTCCTCCCTATTTGGAATATTCTCCAACCAGCACCATTTTAGAAATGCCAGGTTTCACATTGTTTAAAATCCCATTGGCATTCCTCATAGAAATAGAAAAAGCAATTATGAAATTCATCTGGAAAAAATAAGAGACCCAGAATAGTTAAAGCAATTCTTATCGGGAAGAGTGAAGCAGGTGGTATCATTATACCAGAGCTTAAACTATACTACAGAGCTATAGTAACAAAAACAGCATGGTATTGGCACAAAAACAGACTGGTAGACCAATGGTACAGAATAGAGGACACGGAGACTAACCCACAAAATTATAATTATCTTATATTAGACAAAGGTGCCAAAAACATGCACTGGAGAAAAGATAGCCTCTTCAACAAATGGTGCTGGGAAAATTGGAAATTCATATGCAACAAAATGAAATTAAACTCCTATCTCTCACCATGCACAAAACTCAACTCAAAATGGATCAAGGACCTAGGAATTAAACCAGAGACACTGTGTCTAATAGAAGAAAAAATAGGCCCTAATATCCACCATGAGGGATTAGGCCCCAACTTCCTTAATAAGACTCCTATGGCACAGGAATTAAAACCAAGAATCAATAAATGGGATTCAAATTAAAAAGATTCTTCTCAGCAAAAGAATCAATCACTTAGGTGAATAGAGAGCCTACAGCTTGGGAGCAAATTTTTACCACTCACACACCAGATAGAGCACTAATCTCTAGGATATATAAAGAACTCAAAAAGCTAAGCACCAAAAAAACAAATAACCCAATCAATAAATGGGCCCAAGGACCTGAACAGACACTTCAGAAGAGGATATATAATCAATCAACACATATATGAAAAATGTTCATCATCTCTAGAAATTAGAGAAATGCAAATCAAAACTAAGATTTGCACTCCAGTCAGAATGGCAGCAATTATGAAGACAAACAATAATAACTGTTGGTGAAGATGTGGGGAAAAAGGTACATTCATACATTGCTGGTGGGACTGCAAATTGGTGCAGCCAATTTGGAAAGCAGTATGGAGATTCCTTGGAAAATCGGGAATGGAACCACCATTTGACCCAGCTATCCCTTTCCTCTGTCTATACTCAAAGGACTTAAAAACAGCTTACTAGGGACACAGCCACATCAATGTTTATAGCAGCACAATTCACAATAGCTGTGGAACCAATCTAGATGCCCTTCATTAGATGAATGGATAAAAAAATGTGGCATATATATACAATGGAATATTACTCAGCAATAAAAGAGAATAAAATCATGGCATTTGCAGGTAAATGGATGGTGTTGGAGAAGATAATGCTAAGTGAAGTTAGCCAATCCCCCCCAAAACAAATGCCGAATGTTTTCTCAGCTATAAGGAGGCTGATTAATAGTGGGGTAGGGAGGGGGAGCATGGGAGGAATAGATGAACTCTAGTTAGGGCAGTGGAGTGGGAAAGGAGGGAAGGGGCTGGGGGTTAGCAAGGATAGTGGAATGTGATGGACATCATTATCCAAAGTACATGTATGAAGACACGAATTGATGTGAACATAACTTAATATATAACCAGAGATATGAAAAATTGTGATGTATATGTGTAATAAGAATTGCAATGCATTCCTCTGTCGTTTATTTTTTTAAAAAATCAATTAAAAAATTTTTAAAAAGGGCATTGTTCACTATTCGTTGTTAATTAATTTTGTCTATGTCCTAATATGGTTCACCCTGGTCTCTATGGGAGATTAGTTTCAGAACATCCGCAGATATCAAAATCTGCAATTGCTCAAGTCTCATAAAACGGCATAACATTTGCACATAACCTGTGCACATTCTCCCATATACATTAAATCACCTCTGGATTGCTTAGAATACCATGTGAATAGTGATCACGTTGTATTGTTTAGAGAACAACGATAAGGAAAATGTCTAACATGTTCAGAATTTTAAAAAAATATTTGCTGTCTGAGGTTGGTTGAATCTGCTGTGAACTCTCTTATTAGAACCATTTGTTCTTACTCCTAAAGGTGAGAGATCACTGAGGTGTTACACTCATATAAACAAAGGGAAGTGGACCTGGAAACCCTATGACATGAAAAGCATGGACATAAGCAATAGAAACATCCTTTCAAGTCACCTTTGAAGATGATTCTCTGTGGTATCAAGAAAGCAATATTGAAGGGAGCAATGTTGACTAACAAACCAACTGAAAAAGACGCTTCTCAGACCAGTTTACAAAGGGGCAGCGTGCGGCGCCCTCCTACCTGCCGGGTGCGCAGGGCTTCCTGCACGTCTCCGTCCAGCTCCGCGAGCTCAGCGAGGGTGTGCTCCAGGTCAGCTGTGATCAGTTCCTTGGCCTTTGTGAACTTCTCCTTCTCCTTGCTACTCAGGGCCCTCATGATTCTCAGGCTGGACTGCACCTCTTCCTGGTGGATCTGGATCTTTCGGATTTCCTCCTGGATGTCCTGGAGGCTGAGGTCCAGGCACACGGGCCCAGTGAGCTCGGCCTTCACCCTGCGCAGCCAGTCCAGGGAGCGGCTCATCTCCGTCTGAAAGTCGATGCTCTGCACCATTCGGCTCTCACACTCTGCCACGGTTCCACCAATGCCAGTGGTCAGGAGTTTCAGCTCCTCTTGCCACGACTGGATCTGCTGCTTGGCTCTCTCATAGGCCACAGGATCCAGCTGTGGAACAAGGTCCTCCAGATGCAAGGCCACCCGCTTCAGCAGAATCCCCGAGTCCTGCAGGCTTCCTGCCAACGAGTGGTACATTTTGAGCTTCTCCTCTGCAGGCAAAGTCTCCTCATTCACTTTGGTCTGCTCTGTTTTCACAGCCTCCAGCTGTCTCTCCAGCTGTTGGCACATCTTTTCATGTTCTTGGTAAGCGCTCGTGGTGTCTTCCAATAAGCTGACCCTCTGTTCTGTTTGTCGCTTCAGCCTGTGATACATGGCGACCAGGTCCAGCATCTTATCTGGCTGCCAGGGCTGACCTGTGCTACGGAAACTCTCTTTCTTCTGGTTCAGTTCATCCAGCGCCTCCCCAAGGCCTGCCACCTCGCCCAGCAGGACTCTGCAGCCCTCCTGAAGAGACAGACACTCTTCAGAGGCCAGGTCGGTGGGAACTTTCTTCATCTTCAAGAACTGATCTTCCAGCTCACTCAGAGACTGGGCGGTCAACTCTATCAGGGAAGCATATTCTTTCCGAGCGAGAATTGCTTCTTGGACTTTATAGAACTTGTCTTTAGCCAAGGCAACGATGACGTTAAATTGTTGGGGCAGAGCATTAAGCTTTTCGCTCAGGTAGGAATGATCGACTTCATTCAGCGATGGTAACATGGCCTGCCCGGTTCTCTGGAGTGTAAGTAGAAGATTTTCATATTCTGGAGATTGTTCAAGAATATGTTGGTATTTGTCCAGTTGTGAATGAAGCTCTGTGCTCTCGTTCATGAGATTGATTTCAGGAAATGTAACAATATCTGCTTGTTTTAGCCAGTGGCAAGCTTTATCGAAATCCTCCTTAAAGTGCTTCCTTGAAACTAAATTCTTCTCCAGTTCTTGTAACCGATGACCACATTTTTGCAAAACGTTGTCATAGACACTCTGCAATTCCTGGAGCTTACCCAGCACCTCGCCCTTTTCCTGCTCTGTGACTCCTTTCATTAATTCGCGACCCTGGGCCCAAAGTCCAGTGACTTCGTTTTGGTAGGTTTTGAGGCTGGCTTGTGCGCTCTTGCATGTTTTCACTTGTTTGCTCACGTCATCCGGTAACAGGCAGATGTGTTCTCGGAACATGATCTTTCGCTCGTGTTGCTGAATTTGGCTGGTCGCCTGGAACACTGCCATGAGAAACTGGGTTTTCTCAGACAAGGCCTTGTTCAAGTACTTTCTTCGCTGGCCTACTAAGTCGCTCAGACAATTCACGTGTTTCTGTGCATCCGAAAGGGCCTTCTGGATCACCTTCCGCTCGTTTAAGCCAAGATCAGCCATCACCCGGTCGGCATCCTTGGTGAGCGATTTCAGGAGCATCTGTTTGGCCTCCAGCTCGCTGCAGATGGCCAGGTGATCCATGAGGAGGTTCTGAGCCATGTCGGGAGGGGGGCTCTGCTTCAGGGCCTCAGCAATGTTGGGCTGCTGCTCTTCTGCCCACTCCATTAGCTCCTGGAATCGGGACTGCACCACGTTCAGCTCCTCCAAGTTGGTGACAGACACTTGGATTTTCCTCTTAACAAGGTCCTCGAGCTGAAACCAGCGCTGTTCAAAGTGACTCGTCTGTTCTTTGACCAGTTCTTTGTCATCTAAGTTCAGATGCTCTATCATCTTCTGTTTTTGCTCTTTGAGGTCCTCGATGGCGTGTTTTCTCTCCTGCAATGCCAATGCCAACTTGTTCAGAGCTTCCAGGTGGACAGCCGTACTCTCGGCGTCGGATCTGTAAATATATGGAAAGACCTAAGAGTGAAGTTCTTCACACCTGTTAAGTTATCTTTCACCATTTTCTTTAAGTGAATGTTCTTAGGATCATTGTGAGTACTCAGTTTAGGGTTATCCACAGAGGGGCTATAATTATTTTGGAAGAGAAGTCTCATTCATCTTTTTCTCTATCTACACTTGAGTCCAATCAAGTTTCTCAAGTGCTTCTCCACTCTCCTTTTCCAATCACATCTGCCAGATGTATTTCCTACCCTCCCTGCTCTTGGTACTGGGGATTGAACCCCAGGGGTGCTTTACCACTAAGCTACAGGCCCAATTCTTGTTACTTTAAATTTTCAGACAGGATCCCACAAAGTTTCTGAGGTTGTCCTCAAACTCAGAATCCTCCTGCCTCACCCTTCAGAGTTGATTACAGGGATGCACCATATGTTTGTAGCTTTCTCTGTCTCTTATCAACCATGCAGAATTTGCATAGTAACCAGATGATATGTGTAATATTAAACATTAAGACACACATTTTTGAAAATGGCATTGAAAAATAACAAGTGATTCATGATTTATTTACTTTCTTATGAGCATCAGATTCAGTGATCCAAAGAACAAAAGCATGCTAGATGGTACCCTCTGTTAGATTTGACCAGCAGCTCTTAGAGCTACTTAGTTGTGTACTTAGATATTTTTGTACAGCTAGGAACTTAGATATTAAAAGTCTCTAAAAATAAGTATAAAACATGAAGAAGTCTCTTCCTCTTGATTGCAAAGCATATAGAAGAAGGTGTAATGTTATAATCTTATTTATAAAATGATCAGCTCTGAAACATGAGATGTTGGGGTTGGGAGGCAGTATAGAAAGTTCTATGTTGGACACAACAGATCTGAGGCACCTGCAGGCCCACTGCAACTCAGAAATGTGTGTACGCTTTTTCTTTTGGTTTTTGCAACTATCGATTGTATATAACCCCAGAGTCCCATAAAGTGCTGACTATCAGGGAAAAGTAAACAAATCAGAAAATAGTATAATAAAATAAATAAGCAAGCACAATAAGAAAATCCCACTGATTTAAGTAGATATCGAATAAGGTTGGCAGTGTTCATTCTCACGAGCCCACAAATCTTGACAGAAGTAGTGCAAATTTTTATAGTCTGAGTGACTATAAAAAAAAAGTGTTTGAGCCAGGTGCAGCAACCTTATACCTGTAATCCCAATGGCTTGGGAGGCTGAGGCAGGAGGATCCCAAGTTCATCAAAGTCGACCTCAGCAATTTTGTGAGGCCATAAGCAACTTAGCAAGACCTTGTCTCAAAATGAAAAATTTTGTAGTCTAGGATAAAGAGTCTCTGGGTTCAATCCCCAGTATTCTCTCCTCAAAATTGTGGGAATGGTTTTCATATAACAACACAAAGTGTCTGGCAGGAAAGAGTCTTATATTTCACACAAAAAAGCTAAGAGAAGTTCCATTACTTCAGAATCTCAAAGGACACAAATTAAGTGAATTTTGATTGTTAACTGATTTCTAGAATGTAACCAAATTTGACTGACTCATGTAGATGTATTACTTTACAGACTTGAATAGAAACCTCGGGAGCATACAGGTTCAAGAAGCGTTAACTTCATGAATTCTTAGATAGTAGCCCCACAACTGGTAATTAGACAAAACTAGAAGTATTCTTGGAATATTTCATAAGGTCAAAGACTATTATTCTTTGAAGTCACTGAGAAAAGCAATGTTTTTTTCTAAACAACAAACCATTTCAGTTTTGCTCATAAGAAATTGATATTAACCTAGTAAGCTGTGAGTTTATATTCATATGACAATGTTAGGTTCACATGATGTTTTGCCAGTACTGATAATGATAGACCATGATGTTAAAAACACAAATAAGACATTTTAAATGTTTATAGAAATTAAGAAAATTCTGATTTAGCATTACGGTGGCCCAGGGGAGGGTGCCTGTCACCTGGCCAAGCTATCCCATTCCGTGGTAAACTTTTCTAAGAAGGCTTCAACAACATTCATACGGTCGTGGTAATCTCTTGTCCGCTGAAGGTCCTGTTCCCTCTGCGTGCAAAGCTTGTCAGACTGAAGGCATAGATCCAGCCACTGATCATTCAAGTGGCTGACTTCTTTGTGTTCAGGAGACTGCTGGTTCTTTGTTAAGTTATTCACCTTGTCCAAGATGGCACCCACTGATGCCTCTTTGCACTGCAGTTGCTTCATGAAATCCTAAAGGAAACCAGAAAAAGCAGGTTGTGTATAACAGACCCTCCCAAATATCACAGTTAAATGTGGTCATGACACCTCTAACATTTTAAGTTCTTTAATATGAAGAAAACTGGAGATAAAATCTGAAACGTACCTTACCTACTTTATGAACACAAATTCACAATTGTATAGGAATCAGTCACTGTGCTACTTTCTTTTATTGTGTTGTTTTGAGAAGTGTAAAGGAAAACTGATAAATATGAAGCAATCTTATCATTTCTAAAGAGAAAAGTAACTTACTTTGAACTTAGACCTTAGTTTTCTTAATACATTTTTGAAAGTTCGTGCTTTGGGGGAAAAAAGAAATCTAATTGATGTTATCCCTGATCTTTTGTCTGCATTTGCAAACAATGTTCCAGTAGAATATATGTATGATTCATAGTTATAGAGAAAAAATAAGTCTTAAGAGTTTGTAGAGATGCTGACCCTTCCAATCAATTACTATGTTTATAACAATGTTCTATTATAATTTAAATCATACATAATAAATATGATATTTATATTACATTTTAATTAATTGATAGGTTTATTATCCTAAAACTTTAGCAATATTGTGATGAAAATATAAAAATTACAATTTCCTGTTTGTTTAGTAGTGAACTCTTCTGGCTCTCCAGGCCGAATGACAGATGTTTAACTCAGGAGGAAGGTGTAGAATGAACGTCTCCTGATGAAATGGCCATTCACTGCAAGAGTATATGTGAATGTTTGCTTTCTTTCTTTCTTTTTTTTTTTTTTGTTTCTTGTCTTTCCTTTTTGAGTTTGGCAGGTCTCACCATGTTGCCTAGGCTGGCTTCAAACTCTTGGGCTCAAATGATCCTCCCATCTCAGCCTCCAGATTTGCTGGGACCACAGGGCCACTACCTTGTCTGGCTTATGAATGTAAAATTTCTGATCAGTCTGTCCCTGGCACCAAAGGAAGGCTATTCGACTCTGTCTTATTCCTTAAGTAGCTGTAATGATATTTAAGGATTGACAGATACCAAGGCATACTGACGTGAATGTTTAAACATTTTGTCTTTCTACCATCTTGGCCTCCTTAATGTCCCCTGGAGACAAATAAATTCCCACCTTTACTTGGGAAACCATGTTCTGTGCAATATTGAGCTCCAGCTCAGAGTGCCTTCTCTTCATATTCTGCAGCTGCTGATCAGCATCCTGAAGATAAATCCAGAGCTCAGCTTTCAGGTGCTTGATTTCTTCCCAGCCCTGCGTTAAGTTCTGTGCCTGGACCAGTCTTTGCTCAATCTCGAGAAAACACATGGTTACAAGTCAGCAGCCATAAATAGTCACATGTGCTCAAAGAACCAGAGTGGCAACTCCTCAACAGGTGTATGTGCAGAGCCTGCCACACAGACTTGTGTGTGCATGTGTGTTCACATGTGGATAAATTCCAAAAGCCTTCTTTAGTTGCTTCAAGAAAAGCAGATTTTCTTTTAGATTTAAAGTTTCTAAAGAATGTAAATGTCCAAGAGTTATGCCACATGATTTTAGTCAGTGTTGTGAAGCTCCAAGAAATTTCCAAGAATTTATTAGCTCTAAAGCTGTGTTCATGGTTTTCACATTGGGCCTTTCAGTAGACACACCGGTTTGACTCATGAATTCAGTGTTGGGGTTTATTAGGAAACATTTATATTATTATCTATTGTACATTTTTATACCTTGCAAAACACTGAGTTGCTAATATTTTGGATATTTCTTTAGATTCACTTTGCTGGTTTTTGAAATTGTATAATTTGTTTCAATCAGTCATTTCTATTAAAAATGTGAGCTATATGTCTTTCATAAGGCTTTAAAGACAGGTTAATTTTACTACAAAGAGACACTGTTTTAAGATTTTTTAATTTGGATTATCTTGTAGTTCTATGAATATTTAATAAGTACAAAAAGCAAGTCTTATTTTCCTCTTGCCCCTGAAAGTGTTGCATTGAAGTGTTGAAGGCTTGCAGGGGCAGTGGCCATGAGCATGTGACTCTGTGCTGCCCTCTCTCTGTTGTGGTTGGAACTGATAACTCATTACAGTACTTTCCCCTTTGGCCAGACACAGCTTTAGAATCCTTCTCACACTACTGATAGCCATTACCAATAAGTCAGAAGGGTTGGGACAGATGGCATGCTCTTTGGCATCCCTGATCTATTAAAGCCATGGTCAAAAGGATCTTCATATTAAATATTTCCTAAAGAAATATATGGAAAAGGACAAAAAGCATGGGAAAATAGGAAAAAGAGAAGGAACAGAGAAGAAGGGGCTAAGGATAGAAGCTGAATGGGACCAACTGATGATTGAGTTGTGTGTCAACAGGTCAGTGTGCTTACATTCTATGACTTGATCGAAGTTCAACTATCTATTCATTATAATGTATAGGAACACCAATAAAAGAATAACCCAATAGATATATTCTTTAAACCATGTTTACCATTCAAGCAAGAGAATGCAATAAAATTGACAAGTAAATGCAGTTTTAATTTCTTTACCATTTGCTCTGTTTGTTGAATGTCTTTTGCTGTGGTTTTCACTGAAGAGTTGGACAAGTCACACATGGAGCAAAGGAGATCCAAGTAGGTCCTCGCCTGCTCTTGCAAAGCTCTGAAGTGTTTGACCTGCAAAAAGGCAACTGTCAGAGTGGAACAGACTTGTACACTCTTAGGGAACAAATATTTGGATCACTGCTAATGTTTAATTGACATTTCCAAAATAATCTTGCTATACTCAGTGTCTTCACTATAGCCATGATATGTGTTAGGGACTCACAGCAGAGAATTCAAACACATTGATGGTTCTATTTGTCTACCATCTGTTTCTCGTTGTAATTAGAGATGTCTGCATGGTATAGGAAAGGGGGAAAACCAGACACAATTTTAATCTATCCAGGTTATCTGCAGGAGCAGAGGTCAGGTAGGAGGGTAGGGCCCAAGTAACAGGGGAGTTGACCATACATCACAATTTTCTGGATTTAGGCCTCTAGTCCAGAGACATGGTTCTTAATCTCAGAACTATTGACATTTGAGGTCAACTGCCTTGTGGTAGCATCCTGTACATTGCAGGATGTTCAACAGAATTCTTGGCCTCTGCCAAATATAGGTCAGTAGCATCCCCACTATTCCCAATGTTTGCCACTGAAAATGTGTCCAGTCATTGTTAAATGTCCCCTGGGAACAAAGTTCACCACTTTCCCCAAGTCAAGAACCACTGTTCTAGTTCCACTGGATTAAAAAAAAGAGAGAGAACTTTTTATTATTAAAAAAGTTCCTTTTTGGAAAACAAATTATATGACCCATCTATTCCTAGGCCATGAGATTATACGGTGGCTGAGGTGGTGGGAGGTGACTCTTGGTCACTCCATAAATAGGGATAAAGAAGGAAAGCAATACTGACAGCAGGTTGTATGGTAAAAGCTCTGCCCATAGAAACATTAGACAATTAGATGTCAATAATGGGGCATAATTTTTTTTTCATCTCAGTATCTTTTCCTTTGCACACCAAGGATTCCCTGAACAGACAATTCTCATGGAGATAAAACAAAGACAGATCCATTTCCTACTAAGTCAGAAGTAGCACCTTTTTAAGTTCAATGTATAAATGAACTGTATTTCACTTCCAAGTGCTATCATCAGTCACTAACCAGTGTGTAAAAGCACATCATGAACCTATGATCCAGGGACAGTTATATATCCCCAGCAATGTTTGCAAATGGGAAAAGTATAAGATACCGGAATTTTATTTTTGTCAATATATTTAATTTAAAGGAATACTGGTTTATTTGGAGATTTATATGGTTGGCCTAATTCCAAAAGCATTGGACATAGAATATAAATTATCAGTGCAGAAACAGTTACAAAGGAATTTTGCTAAAATTAACTTCAAAGGCACATCTGATAGTACTTTTCCCCATCCCTGCAATTCACATTTTATGCCTTATAAAATCACGTGGCACTCCCAATGAAATCAAGTCATTGTGTTATTCCTTGTGGTCACGTGGAGCATGTTATCACTTTGTGGAGTGTTCTGCACAGAAGAGGTACTGGGGATACAAAATACATCTTGGGACCACAGCCATTGTGATGCCACTAGTCAAAGGCTGAGGGCCAGGCTACCTCTGCTTGAAGTCTTGAGCAGCGGTAATCTCCAGTCACCTCTGTACACTAGCCAACCACTAAGAGCCTGCTCAGTTTTTTATGAACACAGTAGCTGTCAAGGGAAATACTAATTTTAACAGAACAAATACTGCACCACAGAAAACAAAACAAAATAATCCCTTCTTTGCCTTCAGTGCATCTGAGATGCAGATGTGTCTCTACCACCTCTTTCCTTCCCTGGCTGCTTTCAAGGGAGGGGCAGAGCATTTAGAGGAACTATGGGCAGGGATGGTGTACCACAGGGCCTCATTATCTGGAAGGATCAGTATCTGCCTGGGGTTGTAACTTATGCTGGAAAATACAGTAAATCATATCCTGTTCTAGCAAAAGTTCACTAGGATTAATGTTTATTTCTACCCCTTTTATTTCTACTTGGTCAACAAAGGAGAAAGATTAAGCCTTTGTTTTGGATTGTTCTGAATAAAAATACATTGGTAACAAAGAACCACAAAACAAGGAAGGACTCAAGAAAACTCTCTTGACTAGTGAAAAATAAGAATATTGTCCTTAATTCACTCTCCTTGACTCAAAGAAAGACATGTTTCATTTACTCAGATACCATTTTTTATAAAGTATAATATGTGCATTTATGTGAATATTTCATGACTTAAATAACATAAATCATTTAAACCAGAAAGAATACTTTGGGTATGAAATTGGTAGACAGTCCTCTGCGGGGACTAAATGAATAAATGTATTACATTAATCTCAGTTAGTGGTAAGAAAATTAAATGATTTAATACCATTAATTCATATCTGGAAGCAATAACGTTTATAACAAAATTCTTCTACAATATACTCCCATAAGGTTAATGCTGCATAGAAAAGCTGCTTAGTAAAAACCTTTTAAAAATGTTTCTGCCATATTCTGACGGATTCTTAGCAGTACAATTTTAAGCTTGCAGTATGTTCTTTTCACATGATGATAATTAACATTCCATTCATTCTTTATTCAGTAATCATTTACTAAACACCTTGTTTATGTGGGAAAAAAATCCCGTGGAGAAGCTTGCATTGATTTTTCCATTTACATTCATTTTTGATATGACATTTGAATTTCATGAAAACTTTCAGAAATATGTGCAAAGTTGGTCCTTTGTGTGGGAGGGTGTCATATCCACAGATCCAACCAACTCCAAATCAAAAAATATTGGAAAAACCCAACTATGTACTGAACATGTACAGTTGTGGTTGGAACATGTACAGGCTTGTCATTGATCCCAAACAATAGCATGTAACAACTGTTTACAAAGCATTTACATTGCTTTAGGTATTATAAGTAATCTAGGATGAAGTGAAGTGGATAGGAGGCTGTTAGTGATATGCAAAGACTACACCATTTGACAAAAGGGATTTGAACAACTGAGATTTTTATATCCTGAAATCAACCTTCTGCAGATACTGAGAAATGACTGTACTTGTAATCATTGCTCTACATAGAAGGAAACTGAGGCTCAGAGAAGTGACTTAGATGTAATCACCACACAGATTGTTTTGGAGTTGTTCTTTGGTTGCAGAACCCATATCCCTTTTGCTCTGCCAGGTCCACACATCAGCATTATATCCATCTTCCCAGCTAGAACATAAACTCAACTAGAGTCAACATCACACCTTATCTAGACTTCTATAATCCTTGGCGCCAGCACAGTTTGTTACATAAAAGCACTTAATCTATTTTGATTGAATGTCTGAATGACTCATAAGAATAACAAACTTCCAGGAGTCTACTACCTGCTTAACGGCTTCGGTCCTGCTAAGAGGTGGCTGCGAGCTGGGTTTTAAGTCTGGCTGGACTGCAGAAAGCCAGGCCTGGCACTGCTGCAGGGTGTCCTGCCGGCTGACATGCTTCTGAAGTTCATGTTCCAAACTCTGGTACACCTGAAATAGAACAAGTCACGTGGGGGTATGAGAGCTGCTTTCTATAGCCTAACACCATTGGCATTAAATGATGTTCATGAATCAGGTTTCATTTTCTCCCTGGGACTCCTGACACCATACACATCTCCTGAAGTGAGTTGCGTATGTTCCAAAATGTTTCAAAATACAATGGACACCCCCCTAGTTTGTCGTTTCTCAAACCATAAATCACAATGTAATGTGTTAATTAGGGGAAGACAACATGAGCAGTGTTCATGTAAGTATCCAAATGGGTTAGAATTCACACAGTCACTGAAGTAAACTGTCATAAACACAAGTCAGAGGTTTCTTCAGCTTTGCCCCATGTGTACAACTATTATTCTTTTTATTTAAGCTAAGAACTAAAAGCAAAAATAAAACACCATCCTAAGAAAAAATAACCAATGTTTCTCATCATGTGAGGCTTCTGGCATAGGGGTAGGATCAAACTGGAACAAATTATAATACAGGAGAGGAGGCAGTTTGATGCCCTCAATTCATCTTAGAAGCTATGTTCCAGAACCACGATAATCCAGAATCTTTCATGCATTCCTACTACATCTAATTAATTAATTCACAACCATTTAACCAGTTTTCACTTTATTCAAAAAAGACACTGGGAAATAATTATGTATCTCCTTGAGATCAAGATGAAATAAATCTATGATGTTTTCTGAGCAAACTATTCTATTAAAAGAGAAAAGGAAAATAGAATATGAATTTAGACTGGCATTTCTTTCATTTTTGATACAATGGAACTAATAACTGATTGCCATTTTTCCTATGTCATTAGTTAAATTCATCATTTTCATCTGACACTGAGTCTTACCCTTATTTATACTTATTCTAAACAGAAATTAAAAGGACAGGTGTTATGTGCTCTATCATTTTGCAAACTTCAATTATGGAGTACAGATCTGACTATGTTCTTAGAGTTTTATCAGCTTTTTTGCATTTAAAAAAATATGTCTGTCTTTCCAACATTTACTAGTGTTTTTTGAAAACTTAAGTTGTAACCCTAATGCAAAAAAAAAGAAGAAGAAGAAGAAAGAAAGAGAAAAAGAAAAAGAAAAAGAAAACCACTGCTATAAAGTCAGGGCTCAATGTCCCTGCGAAATGAGTAAATGAACTCACCAGAAAGTTTCCACATACCATCCTCTGACTTTTTTCTTCTCTCTCCTTTTTCCACTGTATCATCATTTGCAATTACCCTCTTTTGCTCTTAACTTTTTGAAAATGATTACTTCAAGTCTCAGAAGTCAATATCACTAGGACCATTTTTTTTTAAATCATGATAAACACAGATCATCTTCCCTATCATTCTGTCTCACTAGTTCTTACTGGCTAGCCCAGTAGCAAAAGCATATGGAAGGCCTTAGAAAACTTATAAAAACATCTTTGTCATATCATTTTAAATTGTTTAAATAATAGAAAGCAATTTATTTATTATACTAAATTTTTATTAAAAGAACAATTCTTACCCATCTTAGACTTATTTCTAAAACATTGAAGATTGTGCTTTAGTGAAAATACACCCATTAAAAGTGTAACTCAAAACTGATACTCCCTTTGTCAATTTCTAAACTAATACATAAGAATATTAGAGTATTAGAGCAGAACCCAGGCTGCACAGAATCACAAAAAATGATTGCAAAAATTATGAAATACATAATTCTAGTGTTACGGAATAAATTGCAAGTTAGAAGAAAGTTTTGATGTATGCAAGTAAACAAAATCAAGAGAACTTTTAAGAAGTTTTTCATAATTATTGTAATAAAGAGATTGTATAAAACTGAATGTCTGAAATTTTCCACTTAGTAATACTGATCAAAGGTATGATGTAAATTTTCACACAGATATTATGAAACCTGTTCTCTAATTTCCTGTCTGGCAACACACCAAAACTTTCCCAAGAACTGGGGCTTCTATTCTATTTGTGAAAACTGCTAGGCTGCACATCCTTTCTCCATTATTTGTCACTGTCATAGAACGTTCTGTGGTGCTCACCCTCTGGGCTGTGCTGCAGATTGCCGAGTAGCTATCCCTTGTGCCCTGCAGGTGAGCACGCACATTCTGTTTCAGCTTTGCTTGTAGATGGTCTGCACATTGGCTGATCAAAGCATCGCCTTTAATTTTAAGGCTGTCCAAACGTTCTTCGAAACCAGCAATTTCTTCCATCATTGCCTGCAAAAAATAAAAAAAACCCATAAAACTCAAAAAGAATTTTAGTAGTAGTTCAAAACAACCTGTTCATCAAAAGAAAGTTTAAGGTAACTACTTTCATCATGTAATAAACTTTTTGAAAGAGTTTTGCAATTTATCTTGGTTACATATTAACAAATTATAGAAAAAGCACATGTATTTCTGCAGGGATACTTTCATAGGGAATGAAGAAGTAATTTAAAGACTAGAATGTGTTCATGGGTGGTCCCAGAGAGATCTGTTCCACAGTATTGTTAACAGATAATGGGATGGCCATCCATTTGTCAAATCTACCAATTATAATTCTTGTAATTTTTTATCTAAAACAAGATAATTATTATTTAATCTAAATTTTTTGGTACTGGGGATTAAACCAAGAACCTTGTATATGCTAGGCATGTGCCCCACCACTGAGCTGCATCCTCAGCCCTTATTTAATGCAATTTATTTAATAATGTAATATCTTTAATATTTAATAATAAATTTATATAGTATCTAATTTACATCTAATAATATTTATATTAATAGAATAGCCCTTATACTTACAATTTATTGAGCACCTCTTATAGCCCCAGAATTATTTATAAGCCCCAGTAAATGTGTATTGTCATTGTTACACAGATGGCGAGACTGATGCACAGAGACCTCATATGACATACTCAAGGTTACACAGCAGTCACTGTCAGAGTCCCTAGCTTCAGACAAAGCTCTCTTGGATTCTACCTCACACCATCATACTCCCACATATTCTCTAGTGAATGTTCTCATAGATCGATTGGGGGTGGTGAGTCAACTTTTTCAAATCCAATTTTAATTTCCTTATTGCTACAAAATGCTAACGACAAGTGACACACTCCAACACAGGATTGCCTGGTTTGATACATCAATATGCCCAAGGGGAACTCCAGAGGTTCCTCAGCAGTGCTGGTCCACCATTTTTTCCAACAGTGTTAGGTCAGTAGATTGCACACACCTGACTGAAAAGAAGCAAGCTGGGACAGAGCTACTACTTCATAAGGCTGCTGAAGGGATAGACCATCTATAAGGTTGGACCTCTTCAGTGCCTAACAGCATGTATTATGTACAGTAATTACTCTTCTATTCATATTTGTTAAATAAAACCTCTACCTCTAACAGGGATGCTAAAGCCCAGAGAGGTTAACTGGCTTTCCTAGAGCATACCACCAGATATTGACTACATCATGGCTAAATCAGATCACCATTAAGATCACCAATAATTTATTCCATAAAATTGTGACCATATGCCATAGGGTACATGTAATCACCAAAACGCATATTAATGAAGATAAGACCATCTCACTTCAGTGTTGTACTTTGTGGTTCACAAAATGCTTTCATGAGCATCATTTCTTATGACTATTCCAACAATTATGATATAAGCTAGAAACATCACTGCCTTTTCAACAATCTTTTCAGAAGTTGAATGCCAGGATTGAATTTTTCTTGATTCACCTGAGTATCCAGTTCAATTGTCCTCAATAGTCAGACTCAGACTTCATTCTTTAGGTGCAGTCATTATAATCCAGTGCTATACCTGTTTGTTCATGTGTGCACATGTGCATACATAAACACACACACACACACACACACACACACAGGACAGTTAAGTGCCCTGTGGTCAGCTCTTCAGACAACAGGTGTACCTTGTGGTGGGCCAGTTGCTGGGTAATCATCTCCAGGCTGCTGGTCTCCAGAAGATCAGGTGCCACCAACCTGCCAGACATCTGCAGCAGCCACTTTTCTACCTCTTGGAGCTCACTGTTGTAGTCTTCATGGTCTTTGACTTTCGCCTCCAGACTGAGTACATGCTCCTGTAAAACCAGGTGCCCATTAGAGATGACTTTCAAGAGAAAACCTACTCAAAACTGATTTGCATTTCAAAAACCCCAGGGCAATTCATAGGGTTGGCAGAGTTACTTATATCAGAAAACAACTAGGAGTGGGGCTGGGGATGTAGCTCAATGATGGAATGCATGTTTAACACCTGAAAGGCCCTGGGTTTCATTCCCTGCTCCAAAACAATAAATAAATGAGTAAAAAGAAAGCTACCAGGGATGGAAAAAATTAATAGACATTATGCAATTTAAATGCAGCTGATAAAAATACTTACCCAGACTAGTTCTTAAAGCTATCTAACAGAGAAGGAGATGCTAGGGATCACATTTTGGCAATTATACATTCTTATTGAATCTCTGATCTCCCCTTACCTTTCCCATGCTGCAGAGGTCCTGGTAATCACCTTGAAGTTTATCTATTTTGTCCTTTAAAGTAACATCATGCACCAGTTCCAGAAGAGCTTCACCTTTCTCTCTCACCGAGTTGACTGATGGTTCATGGGACAGCACCATTTGCTGTAGGGACTTGAACAAGTAAGAAAGAAAAACCAGAGTCAGCTCACATACCTGCGGAACACTTGACATGACCCACCTACAGAAAGACCTGATGTACACGTTATAAATCAGGAAGTCTAATCACCAAGGAGGGTGTGGCTCATCAGGGATAACACAGGGCTACACAGAGGGAGAGCAGGACCTCAGACAGCCCTTCAAATATGGAGAAGAGATTATGGAAAAGAATTAAGTTTGGCTAAATTTAATATATTTTCTATTTTTCCTACTTCATTCCTTTCAGCAGAGAAAGAAAAAAACACAAAAGAAAGCAAAACATAAAACAGAGTGAGTACCACTATCTTTTGATTTTGAGGTCATGAAGTCTGTGCCAGCATAGTTTAAATGTGGCATTAGGGAAATGGATTCCAGCCTTGACCATGCTGAGACAGGTTGAAAGTGCTATTTAAACATTTCAGGGATTTGGTGTGGGGATGGGGGAGGAGGAAGGGCTGTGGTAATTATGTAGCATCTTCCAAGAGAAGTGCCAGGTTTGACTGTGAGGTCGCCATAGAATAGACATATTGGTTGGAGATGTTTGCATAAGCTTCCAAAGCTTGGCAGGAAGCTAACACTATAATTCTTACAGACTATCACTAACTCATTCAGGCCTTCAAAAACACAAACTATTTACAGACAAGCTTTGCCAATTGCTCAAAAATTGAACAGTTGAAATATCTGTACCTATATCATATATTTTTTCAAAATTTTCTAAGGTGTTTAGCTACAGTTGGTTAGGTAGAACTTATTATTTTCAGATATGATATCTCATTTTCAATTTACAGGCCAGCTTCAAGGCCTTGAATACCAAAGGATGAATGACAGCCTTCATAGGGGAAAGGTAAAATTTATAAGTACAGGGTCCTGATGACAGCAGATTTATCTGGAGGATCCCTATACCTGGGTCACACTATCAGGTATAGGGATCCTCCAGATAATTCTCCATATATTGATTGTCACAATCAATAAACTGGATCTCTCTTCTTAATGTCTCTGCCTCGCAGTCCTCCAGATACTTAGCAGCCCTCTCTCCTTTCACACTTCCGGATATCAGATTCCTGAATGGAAAAATAGCTCCAAGGCAAGGTATTTAGTTAAATAAACTCACTTACTACAATGACATCACTGGCCACTAGTGGAACAGAGCCATCAGGGAGGCTGTCAGCACCATCTGGGAGGTGCACACCTGGAATCACCTCCCTCCCATGGAGACCCACAAGCCCTCCACCACATCTGCCAGTGGCAGCCAGGCACTACCTTGTATTTGGATAGCTGAGCTTTTTTCTCATATAATTCCATTTTGGGCTCCTGAGGAACGCGTAGGACTTCCTGGTATTCTGCGGTCCACCGGGCCAGGGCTTTACATTTATCTGAGAATTCCTTTGCTAAGTGAAGACCTTTCTCCAGGGTCATGTGCTCTTTCCGAACAGTGCTGGTCAGTTCCTTCAACTGCTCCACGTGGTCATGGATCTCTCTTCTTAATGTCTCTGCGTCACCGTTCTCCAGATACTTAGCAGCCCTCTCTCCTTTCTCTCTGGCTGATTTTAGCAAACTGTGGCCTTTCTCCATGTCTTTTAACAAAACCTACAAAAGTCAGTGAATAGAAAGCAGATACAGGTAGTCTAGTTTCTTTCCTCTTAAAGAAAAGGCTTTTAAGTCCCATTTTTTTGTTCTTCTATATCCCTTAAAATAAACTTCTGAGGTCTGAGCTGCCGGGAATCAGAAACTCTCTTTTCATTACTTCAATAGAGTTTTTATTATTATTATTATTATTATTATTATTATTATTATTATTATTATTATTTCTAAATCAAAGGCTTAAAAAAAAACAACAAACTTGTGGTGCCCTTATTCTCAGCAATCTCCGTAGAGGTCTGAGTTAAAACTTTTTGTTAAGGCAAAAAAAAACATAACAAATCATAAATTTGAGACAGATGTTTTTCTCTCTTAATAGTCAAGTGACAAACTGGAATTTAGTTCAAGACATTGTGGGCAGCTGTGTATATGTCATTTAGATATATGACACATCACAAATAAGTGAAAGCCAGCTTTTAGTTTAAAGAGTGTTTAACCTTGGAGTTTTGAGTGAAATGCAGAATCAAGGATCATCAAATGTGTGGTCAGGATGAACACTCATTTCCACTATCTACAGAGGGGAATGGGGCAGCAGGTGACAGGAAGAAGGTAAATCAAAGACAAACCTGAAGAATGTGTGCCTACCTCCAAGGTCTTCAACTTCTTCCCCATCATGGCTTTATCTACTTTATCAATTTTAGTCGCCACATTCTTGAAGTTTTTATGAGTAGAGCCATACCAATCGGAATAGGAACTGAGAGAGAATTCTGATTCCTCCAAACTCTGGATCTCTTCTTCCAGGAAGTTTATTTGTTCCTAGGAAAGAAAAGAGAAATTGGAGCCACAGATGAAAGACCTGGTCCAGGGCCCCTGAGGATTGATGTGCATCTTCCTGGATGGAGGCTGATGAGGGGAAGACCGGCTGGCACCTCTTTGAGTGGCCGACAATGCACTCACCAGGACTTGGAGGAGCAGGGCCTGGTATCGGGAGGTCAGCTGTGTGGCCTGGCAGCCCATCCTGCTGTTCACGTGGCTCTCGTCCAGGATCTCCTGTGCTCTGGCGCCCACTTCCTCCACCTCATCTCTGTGCCCCGCCACTTCATCGTGCCACTTCTGAAATGACAAAGAATCAGAGGGAGAGACTCACCACCAGCCTTTGTTGACTAAAGACAAAACCTATGAATATCTTCTTGATAAAGCATGATTTCAGCATGTGTTTAGAATATATTGCAAAATATAATTTTGAGAACATATTTTATATAATCTTAGTGAAAAATTTGTCTTGCAATAAGATGATAAAAACTGTATGTATGCTTCTGAGTTTGGGTACTTTTCTGCATGTATTATACTTCAGTTCAAAAACCTTTTTCACCCTCTTCTTAGACATTTTTATTACTGCGTTTTAGTCATAGGTAATATTGGGGCTTCATTTAGACATAATCGTATGTGTATAAAATATTATTTGCTCCATTTTACTCCCAGTGCTTCCTCTTACCTTCCTCTTTCCTTTCCCCACCATGTTCCCCTTACACTACTTTGAGTTGGTCTTCCTTCTATTAATTTGTAGCTTTTTAAAATTGGTGCTATATATGTCTGCATAAAGGAGAAATTCACTGTGGAGTATTCATATATGTACATGGCATAATTTGACCAATTTTATCCCACAGATTTTCCTTTTCCCATCCTTCTCTCCTCTTCCTCTATCCCTTTTTTCTATTCCACTGATCTCCCTTCTATTTTCATGGGATCTCCTAGCTCCTTTTTGTCCCTTATTTTTCTCTAGCTTCTGCATATGAGAGAAGGCACTCAACCCCTGACTTTCTAAGTTGGGCTTCTTTCACCTAGCATGATCTTCTCGGGCTCCACTCATTTACTGGCAATGCCATAATTTCATTTTTCCTTATGGTTGAATAAAACTCCATTGTGCATACATAATGCATTTTCTTTATCCATTCATCTGTTGATGAGCACCTGGACTGGTTCCATAACTTGGCTATTCTGAATTGTGCTGCTATAAACACTGATATGCATGATTCACTATAGTGTGCTGATTTTAGTTCTTCAGGATAAATACCAAGGAGTAGGATAGCTGGGTCATATGATGGTTCCATTTCTAGTCTTTTGAGGAATCTCCATACTAGTTAAAATACTTTTTAAAAAGTGAAGTGGTATATAAGTTTTATGTCATCTGTTGCATCTACATTGGTTATAAAAATGGTGAATCATAAAAAAAAAATCCCATGGTATATGCATTATTTTAGATGTGGGCATGGAAGTAGCATAAAAATTAGAATAAGACTAATTTTAAATTATGAATATACCACATAAGAGCAATATCACATTAGAACCAAAAACTTAAATGATTATCATGCTATCATTTATGTATTTTTACAAAGCAAGGTAAAAATGCATGAGAAGAAAATACGAAATATTTCCATTAAACTTTATTCTACCAAAGACTAATCTACAAAATAATTACTGGAAGAAGAATGGTCCATTTATTTTAAATTTCTAGGCAAGCAGAAATTAATTTTGTGACATCTAAGCCTTGGACAAGAAGCTGCTAAATATTGTAATGAAACCAAATATGCAAGATTTGACAGGATGAGACATTTCCACGAGTCCCACCTTCAACTGATGTAACTGTAATTCCTTGGTGGCTCGGTTAGACTGACGTCCGGTCCTGAGACTCACTTTCTCCTCCATTTTTTTTAGCCATTCATCAACTTGCTGGAACTTCTGCTCCATCAGCCTCAGCTTGTTCACTACGTTGTTGAACTGCATCCGGGTCTCAGACAGTCTGTGCTGGTAAGCCTGCCAGTCCTGCCGGAGCGACTCAAGCGCCCGGTCCTCTGCCTGGGGGATGCCTGATGGGATCACGTCCTCTCTGGTGTGCAGCACTGAATTGAGCAGTGCCTGTCCCTCTGCACAGTGCACTTGCAGTTCCTGAGGACCAAAGGTATGGCTGTCACTCCTCATATCTCACGTTTGTGGGGGGTCAACCTGTGTCATCTCACCCAAGCCAACTGGACCAGCTTGAACCTCATGCCAGAAGTAATGATTTCATTCCAGGCTATAAAAAGTGTGTACCAAACACTGAATATTGTTTCCCAAGTTTGGAAAAAGATTCTGAAATTTTTCTAATTAAAATTATCAACATGTAAACCCCCTCCCCCAATTTTTCCAATCACCAGTTTCTGAATAAATACTTGAAATACGGGATGTGAGAGAATTTATCTAACTGCATGATGATTTGTACTATATTTGACTTTCCAGTTTACAGGAAAAACCACTCGTGATTAAAGGACTATTGTTCAAAAGAATAACCTACTTTCATTATGGCTCATAATCAGCTTAGAGTGCCTGAGGCCTGGTACTGTGACATTAAGTGAGCTCAGTGTTATACTTGTGGCTGAGAAAGGAACAATGGGTCCCCTTTTTGCTAAGGAGGGATCCTTGCCAGAGCTATACCCTAGGGAATGTTGTGGTCAAGAAAAGTTGTGTCTGGAGGCAGACAAATCTGGGAGGTTGACTCAATACACCTGCCCACCAGGTGTTCCAGGTACAAATATATTTCCTTCGCTCAGGCATAAGCCCCCAATTACCAAAGAGCATAAGCTCTAAGACTTGATTCATACTGAACTTGTAGCATAGCATAGACTCTTTAAGAAAGAAAAAATCTTGTATCTTTAAAGATGTTGGCAAAACAAGACAAAATATATTTATTTCTAGTCACACAAAAATTTAATCCATATTATCTCTTGATATGATCATCTACAGTAAAAGGAATTAAGTCAAATGTCTCCAAGAATGTTCAAGGTACCAACATATTTGGTAAAAATATAGTATTACGAAAGAAGTACTTACTATTATATATAACCATTTGAATTTGCTGATATCTGATCATTTTTACAGAAAATATAGCAATCTCAAATGTTTCCAACTAATAGAACATTTTTCTTCAGGTATAAAGTCACTCCTAGAATGATGTAATGTGACTATGTAGGTACACAGAAACAGAACAAAATCTATATGGTAAAACTATCATCTAAATGACCACAAATACAGTAATTGTGTTCCAAAATTCTTAAGACTATTTCCAAGGTAGTTTTTTGTAATCTTTTTTCCTAATTGAAGGTCAGTGGATTTTTTATAAAAAGGGCCTGACAGTAAGAATTTTAGGCTCCATGGGCCTTTTGGGCCTTTTAGGCTCCATGGGCCTTTTATGCTATAACCACTTTGCCAGTGTAGCAGTTTTACAGCCGCAAATAGCACATGAAGGGAGTGGTGGTGGGGTTCTAGAAACACTCTACTTAAAACACAGACCTTAGAGCCAGGAGCTGGAGTGAACTGATCACTGCCCTGGTTTATTAGATATTCCTAGTATATCACCCTTCCTGTATATGTTTAATCTATTAAACAAATCATCATTCTCCAAGGCAAATTCTTATATTTCCAATATCTCAAGTATTTATGCTGACAAGAAAACAGTTTGATACTTAGATGTAGATATATTTTCCGTGACTCAAATTTGGGCTTTGGTTCACATAAAGTAACTCCTGCTTATGGGCCATGTTGCTGGCGGATCCCTGCACCACTGCAGGAGGACAGCAGGATCCTGAAGGAGTTCTGTTCCCACCTGGAACATCACAGTGCTCCACCACTGCTTCCTGCCTCTGCGTCCTCCATGCTTGTGAACATATGTAGTGACCCAAATGTGACAGTATAAGAATTAATGATTGGGAAGCCAGAGGTTGGAGTTAGGTTTGGGCAATTAATCTGACTGAAGTGCAATATATTCTTCTGACCAGAAACAAGAGAAACATCTGGTAACTTGTTGGCCCAGTTCCTTTGCCTGTCCAGAATGAAGTGCTGAGAAGGGTTATTCAGAGGAAACAGTCAACAGTACTCAAATAAACTACAGCAGCTAAGCCTGGAGGATTAGGATATCTTATTCTTTTAAAGTAGGATGAATAAGACCCTTGAGCAAGCACACAAAATTGTCACCCTTCTAGCTTCTATCTGTTTATTTTGTGAATAAACCAGATATTTAAATAAAGATTCCCTCCCTTCTCACTTAATCTGCATAATGACTTTGTAGCTGAAACTGTCAGAGTTCTCTTGGGCCTAAAGTCACATAATGAGGCAGGTCCTACCAAGGATGACAGCTCAAACTTGCTATCCAAAACTTGTTCTCTTGACATCGTAAAACACTGAGACCCAACAGAAATAAAATTTTATATACCCATGATAACCATAAAAGCCCCTGATGTTCCATCTTGTCCAAGTTGAAGGGACATCTTTCCCAATTATGAACCAGTTTTAATCCTGCCTGACAGCTCGTTAGGAGGTTGCTACACACTACTGATGGGGCATGGAGTGGTCTCATTGACTCTTCTCCAAATCTCTATCATATTCCTGGGAACCCCTTCTTGGGGCATGCCACTGACTCCTCCCCACACCTCTCATGGTAAGATTAAGGGCCCCCTCTTTGATGACACCATAAGATCCCTTGCATTAGTATATTGTTGGCCTTACCTCATTATTATAGCTGTCTACCCTATGGGTTTGCATTACTTACCAGATTGCAAATTCCTCAAAGGAAGATATAGATATAATAACTCAATCATTCATACCTGAAGAAACTAGTAAGGCATCTGCAGTCTGTTAGGTATTCAATGAATGGAAGGAATGAGTAAGTAGAAAGGTTACTACCCCTTTCCCCAATGTCTGACATCTCACCGTAGATTGCAGCTAATTGGCCTGACAGCCAATAATTTTTCTAGCTCTTCTAGTTCTTCTTCTAGAACTCTGACTCTGGGTCTATATCTTCAGCAATGTGGGAGGTTCTTCTTGAAACTAGATTGTCTAAGATATTTCTACCAGTTTGTCTCAGAGTAGCATCACATTTCATCAATTCCTGTGTATGTCCCACATACAAGACTCTTTCAGGGACATGCAAAGCAGGAGTGTCAGTCACTACCATATTCTAGCTCTCTGGCTACTCCTGTTAGGGGACACCTTGGTAGTGGGCTGAATAGCCCAACAGCCAGTCCTGCTGGTCTAAACTGCCCACAAAATGATCAACTCACATCTATTACCAAACTCCCAGAATGCTCTGGATCAAACATTACCAGGACTGTAGTTAATATGCATCAGCTCTCTATAGGACTCAAGGTCATATTAATTCAAGGTTCTATTGCTCAAAAAAAATAATTCCACATTCAGAAGGAAGAATCTTTGTTTTAGGATAAAATAGATTTTACCTGAAGGTCCCGCAAGGTTGTCTCAAGGGTGTGTGCATCACCCTCTAGAACTGAGTATCGGTCAAGCTTTTCTTGTTCTTGTCCCAGCCACACCTGAAAGGCCTGTAGGTCTCTCTGATACTCTTGGTGCTGACGAACCAGTTTTTCAGATTTGGTAACCACTTCCTGCAATTAGCATTTAGAAGAATTTAGAGAGAAAGTGATGCATTATGATGCATAGTCTCAAAGTGCCCTATGAATCCACTTTGGGAATTTTAGAAAAGCACAATTTTTAAATCATTAGAATATGAATGCTTTCCTAGGAGAATAAGAATTTAAATTTTATTTGCAAAATAGAGAAACAAATATTTCAGAAATTAAAATGGATTTTAAGATCATTTTGTTGAATTAACTCCCTGATCTCTCATTTTTTTGTGAAACATGACACAGAATTTTTGCTTTTCATAAAAATTCACTTTTGTTAATGATGAAAATTGAATATTTTTTATTGTGCCTTAGATGAGAGTTTGGGCTCATTTTGGATTTACTTTTCTAAACTGTCAAATAAGGTAGGATATGTTCTTAAAAAGTGTTTTAATTTTCTTCATGTGGTCTATTTGAAAAATGATAAATATTATGATTATTTCTTACTTTAAAAAAAATCTCATTTTTCGATAGACTGTAGCATTTATAAGTTTTCATTATAAAGCTCCAACAGATTTTTGTCAAATTGGCACATTTCTAGAAATTTTTAGTGAATATTATTTCTACTTCAGCAATTTTCATAAATGCTTACAATAGTTTGAAAGTTTTTGTTTGGTTTTGCCAGAGATGCATTTAAAATCTTAAAATCCATTTTGTTTCTATTGCTCTATCTGGTCTTACAAGGGTGTCATTACTGAATATCAGTGAGCCTTGAAATAAGCACAGCTCCAAACACCCCAGTTTGGGTGGGTCTCCAGAAGCCTGGTTAGCCATACCTTGGCTCTCTCTTTGATTGTTTGGTATCGTTCCTGCAGATCCTGAAGTTCTAACTGGGTGACATAGTGCTCTGTCATGCCCGCGCCTTTGACTTCAATGGTCTCCAGCAGGCTGCTATGACTCAATACTTCTTCATTTAACAACTAGAGAACATTTAAAATAAATAAATAAAACAGTTACTCCATGTACCACTGTATCAGTGATACTACTAAACCTAAAATACTTTAAGTGCATAGTTGACAAGTGACCTCAAGTCACCCATCCACCTGTCACTTTACACATCTAAATGATATAGATACACATGTGAATATACACAGGCATATCTGTCTTTGTGTATATTTCATATCTGCTCCAGATCTTCCTTTAAGATACTATTTTGCAATTAACTACTTTAAATTTCTACTTGGCTTTCTCAAACTTAATCTCTCCATAAATGGGCTGCTCAATTCTGCCCCGACCCCATTCTGCCCCAGCTCCTGTACAACGCACTTCCCCTTCAACCTCTTTTTTCAAACAGTAAACACTACCACTTCCTCCCAGATGGCTAATCCAGAAATCTGGAAGTCTTCATTGTTCCTGCCTCTCCATCCTTCTATCCACAATGAAGCCCTGTTAGTTCCACCTACCAGGAGATCATGATGCTGTCCCCACATCTCCTGCAAGCTCCCTAGCCCAGGCGCCCTCATCCTTCACTGGGACTTTGCAGCTGTCTCCTAGACAGAGCTCCTGCCACCAATTCTTGCCCCATCCTTTGTCCCATACTCCCCACAGATCCCGTTGTGGTAAAATGTTTCAGGATTGAAAAAGAAAACATGTTACTCCCCAGCTTAAAATACCAGTTATCTCCCCATCTGTGGCAGGACCGAGTAGAAAACCCTCAGGGTCACCGCCATGGAATTACACGTGGTCAGGTCCCGCTGGACCTGATCACCCCGTGGCACCTTTGCCTGCTTCTCTCTGGTCCAGCAGTACCCTGCCTTCCTCTGCATCACTGATTGCACCAGGTCCTTGCTTCTTTCAGGGCCTGTGCCCATTCTACTTAATCTGTCAAGAATTGTCTTTCCCCAACTGCCTCCCAGACTACTTTCTCTTTGCTAAGTCTTTTAGGGCTTAGTGTACATTCCTGTTTCAGACCATCCCTGTGCCTTGATCTCAAAAAAATCTACATTAGCCCTTTCCAAATTACTTCCTCTCACATTCCATAGTACTAACTTACTAGTTATTTATGGATTTGTTTACTTATTGCTTGGTGTATACGTTTCCAGGACAGCTTAGGACATGATATTCCAACACACATGCCCAGCTTTGCCTGTTTTATTCACCTAGAATGCAGCACAATACCTGCCTACAGCAACTTCTCAATAAATACTGATTGAACAGATATATAATTTAATTAATTAGCTGATTAATTATTTTAATAGGTAATAAATGTAAATCATTATGAAGCAGAAAATTATGATTATACTAAATTACAGATGCATAAAGAGACCTAGAATATTAAGGGACTTGCGTAGGTTACATAAGAACATTTAGTCGTTCAAATGACTTCCACTCATCATTTGCTTGGCATCTGAAAAAGAGCCAAATGCTTGGGAGGAAACAAAATTAAGCACCTCTAACCACTGAGGGTGAGGGACACAAAATTTACAAAGAGATATGATACAAGTGCTATGAGAGAATAGAACAATCTGGGCTGGGTTAAGGGGTACTGCAGCCAAAACAATTTCTGCACTAATTCAGAAAGGTCAGTGGAGGCTGTCAGGTGCAGAGGCAAAGTGAGGAGGCCTCGAGGAAGAAAGAGATTGTATGAGATTCAGTAAGAGAGGAGAGGGCAGGAGAGGAGGAGAGGATGATGGTAGAGGAGATTATGAAAATCCTTACAGACCTTGGGGGAGACTAACGTTGTCTTAGAGGCAAGTGAAGGGGAGGTGTGATGTTTACCTAAGATAACAGGAGATGGAGACAAGAAGCAAGGTGAGAAATTAGGGTGTACTGGAGTTCAGGAGAACGGGATGGATCAGCAGGATTAGTGGTGATGTGACTGAGGAGGAGGAAGGAGGAGCCCGGGAAAATGAGTCAGTATGTTCAGTATGGAACCATCCTCCACAAGAATCAAACTGGGAGTACAAAAGCTGAAGAATTTCAGTGCGGAAGGTAATAAGGACAGCTTAGGACACAATATTCCAACAAACATGCCCTGGAGCAGGGCTGTAGCCACAAACAAAAGGTTTCCCAAAGTTTATGTTTGACTTAGAAATAGTTTAAAGATCATACCCTTAATATTATTTATTTAAAAAAATCTTCACATGCAGTCCTATACTAATATGAAAATGTTATGAAAAAGTGCACATAGGTAGTAATTCAAAAGGACCTGATATAAAGAAGCATTTTACTTCCTGGTGGTGAACAGTAGAGGATATGAAAAGGTCTTATTAAGTGGCTAAATTTTAAATGGTGTGTGTCCCCAAACATAGGTGTATATGATTTTCCTAGCAGAGGAAATTTTTACTAAGAAAATAATGACAAGTTAAGAAGCCATGAGAAACGATAGTACAAGGCCAAAATATAATTTATCTATGTGTGCAGTCCTGGCATGCAGGTAACATTTTTATCCGACTGTGGTATCCAAAAAAAAGCCCATAAGAGATACTTGGCACCTGAAGTCCAGCTCTAACCTTGGCTTTGCCGAGCGCAGTCACCTTCTCCCGCAGCTCTGCACACTGCCTTTCGGACTCATTGAGGCTGGCTTCCACACCGTCCATCCAGCTGGAAAACTGCCGGACGTCATCCTGATAGCTTGTCCATTTAGAAAGAGCTCCTTCAAGCTGACTGAAAAGGATTTGAAAGGAAAATATCCATACTGAGAGTCCTTAGGAGCTGACTTTTGTCATTGACTTTTGGCACACTTAGGAGTGCCTCTTTCATCCACTCCAATCAGCAGAGGATCCAGAGACCCAGGATAGGGGCAGACTGGTGAGTGGGCAGCTCGCCTGGGCTCATCGAATGCAGGTCTAGCTCCCCAGAGAAAATGCCCCCAGGAAGAGCAGGACTTTTCTGTTGAGCTGAAACTCTGGGCACAAAGAGAACCAACACTCAACTCTATCAAATCCAGCAAGACATTCAGAGCAGGGGACAAATGAACTGTACACAAACCCACAAGGCAGGAAAGAAAGAAGGAAGAAAAAGCATAGTAGCCATGTTTCATGAGATTTAAAAGTCATTAAAACACCAGGTGAAAATAGAGTAACAGTCTTTCAAGTAAATACTAACAATTATTTCTCTTGCAGAAAAGTACTTCTTTGTGTGCATACGTATGCTATGTACCTAATTCCTTTCATTCCAGGAATTCCATTCATCATCTGAGCCTGATTTTCCTGCTGCAAGTTGAATGCCTCTGTATCAGGTGCTGTCAGTGCCTTGTCCTCATCCTCAGACCCCCAGTGCTCTGTTCTGCCAGTCCCTAGCTCTCTCAGCCTTAGGATGTTCTCTCATCCCTGATCCACCCTCAGAGTGAAGGCACTGCAGAGGAGGAGTGCCAGGGGACTGTTGCCCTGGGGCCAGCCTTCCTCCACCCTTTTGACTCATGGGAGTGTGTCTGCAAATGCCTCTGTTCTTGTGCCTTTGGGTGGGATGACTCTGAGGCACATGCTGTGCAACAGTTCCCTGTGTCACCCAGCCAGGTGAGTTCCTGGTGACCCACGTGGCAACCTGTTGGATAATACGCCCTTTAATGCCTGCCTCCCTTACTTGACTTTCTTTCCCACTCCCAGCTGGTATCTCCAGGGGTCATCTCCCTCATAAATACTTAGTTTTAATCAAAGTATTTCTCTATTACAAAGCACTTATTTATTTTTTTTTAAACAGCAAACAATAACAAAAAGAAATATGCCTTTTTAGTTAGTTATACTAAAATGTAGTCATAGTACTGTAGTTCAACATAAATGCAAGGTTATACTTGCTAGTTTCTTTTGCTATGAGAAGAGAGAGAGAAGGAAAAAGGGGTAGGGGGAGGGGAAAGACAGAAGGGAGGGAGGGAGGAAAGGAGGGAGGGAGGGAGAGAGGGAGGGAGGAAGGGGGAGGAGCCACAGGAAGCCTGTTATTGAAACATTAAGCTGATCCTTCAGTAAGGTTTGCCAGCGCTTGGGTGTAGTTTTACTTACCTTTTACAACGAATGGCTGCAGACAAGAGGGATGCCCACCTCTCCTTCACAGCCTGCAGCTGCTGCTGGATGGCAGGAACGCCTTCTGGAGAAGTGTTCTGCAGAACATATTCCCCCCTGGTCACTATCATTTTCATCTGAATCTCTTTTTCCTGTTTCACTGATAGCAGAGCCTGTAGAAACAAATACAGAATCCCCTTGTCATTCCCATGTTAAATATGCAACAGCTTCAAATATTTCAGAGCTCCTGAAAGTGGCATATGCAACTATGCCACGAAGGCCCCATGGGAAGTCAGTTGCTGGTGAGTGCCAGGAGCCAGTCACCGGATACACGCTGGTCTCTTAGTGGCCTGGGCATTGCAGGTTTTGATTTTTCTCTGAATGATCCCTTCCTTCCACTGACGTTTTATGTTCCTGGTTTTAACAAGGGGAAGGAAGTCTATATTTCAGTAGCATCCATGAATTCTCAAAGGTCACAGGATGCAGAGCTTATAAATGTTGAGATTCTAACACACACTTCTATAGAAATAGATTCTGGGCTCCAAGTTCTTCATAAGCCTTATTCTTTCTCATGTGAGAAGGGAGTATTTTTTTTTTTTTCCTTTGCATGACTATTTGCTTTAAATTACTTTTTTTTTTATTGGTTGTTCAAAACATTACAAAGCTCATGATATATCATCTTTCATACATTTGACTCAATTGGGTTATGAACTCCCATTTTTACCCCAAATATAAATTGCAGAATCACATCAGTTACACACTCACGTTTTTACATAATGGCATATTAGTGACTGTTGTATTCTGCTACCTTTCCTATACCCTACTATCCCCCCTCCCCTCCCCTCCCATCTTCCCTCTCTACCTCATCTGCTGTTGTTCAATCCTCTCCCTTGTTCCCCCCCCTTTCCCCTCACAACCTCTTATATGTAATTTTGTGTAACATTGAGGGTCTCCTACCATTTCCATATGCTTTCCCTTCTCTCTCCCTTTCTCTCCCCCCACTCGTCTCTGTTTAGTGTTAATCTTTTCCTCATGCTCTTCCTCCCTGTTCTGTTCTTAGTTGCTCTCTTTATATCAAAGAAGACATTTGGCATTTGTTTTTTAAGGATTGGCTAGCTTCGCTTAGCATAATCTGTTCTAATGCCATCCATTTCCCTGCAAATTCTATGATTTTGTCATTTTTTAGTGCTGCGTGATACTCCATTGTGTATAGATGCCACATTTTTTTTTATCCATTCATCTATTGAAGGGCATCTAAGTTGGTTCCACAGTCTAGCTATTGTGAATTGTGCCGCTATGATCATTGATGTGGCAGTATCCCTATAGTGCGCTATTTTAAGATCCTCAGGGAATAGTCCGAGAAGGGCGATAGCTGGGTCAAATGGTGGATCCATTCCCAGCTTTCCCATGAATCTCCATACTGCTTTCCAAATTGGCCTCACCAATTTGCAGTCCCACCAGCAGTGTACAAGTGTACCCTTTTCCCCACATCCTCGCCAACACTTCTTGTTGTTTGACTTCATAATGGCTGCCAATCTTACTGGAGTGAGATGGTATCTTAGGGTGGTTTTGATTTGCATTTCTCTGACTGCTAGAGATGGTGAGCATTTTTTCATGTACTTGTTGATTGATTGTATGTCCTCCTCTGTGAAGTGTCTGTTCAGGTCCTTGGCCCATTTGTTGATTGGGTTATTTGTTATCTTATTGTTTAATTTTTTGAGTTCTTTGTATATTCTGGATATTAGGGCTCTATCTGAAGTGTGAGGGGTAAAAATTTGTTCCCAGGATGTAGGCTCTCTATTTACCTCTCTTATTGTTTCTCTTGCTGAGAAAAAACTTTTTAGAAGACATAAAGGAGGAGATAAAAAAATTCTTAGAGACAAATGACAATACAGACACAACATACCGGAATCTATGGGACACAATGAAAGCAGTTTTAAGAGGGAAATTCATTTCTTGGAGTTCTTTCCTCAAAAAAAGAAAAAACCAACAAATAAATGAACTCACACTACACCTCAAAAACCTAGAAAAGGAAGAGCAAAACAACAGCAAATGTAGTAGAAGACAATAAATAATTAAAATTAGAGCAGAAACAAAAAAAAAACATTGAAAAAATTGAAAAAACTAAAAGTTGGTTCTTTGAAAAAATAAATAAGATCGACAGGCCCTTAGCCATGCTAATGAAGAGAAGAAGAGAGAGAACTCAAATTACTAACATACGGGATGAAAAAGGCAATATCACAACAGACACTACAGAAATACAGAAGATAATTAGAAAGTATTTTGAAACCCTATATTCCAATAAAATAGAAGATAATGAAGATATCGATAAATTTCTTAAGTCATAGGATCTGCCCAGATTGAGTCAGGAAGACACACACAATTTAAACAGACCAATAACAAAGGAAGAAATAGAAGAAGCCATCAAAAGACTACCAACCAAAAAAAGCCCTGGATGGGATGGGTATACAGAGGAGTTCTACAAAACCTTCAAAAAAGAATTAATACCAATACTTTTCAAGCTATTTCAAGAAATAGAAAAAGAAGGAGTTCTTCCTAATTCATTCTATGAGGCCAACATCACCCTGATCCCGAAACCAGACAAAGACACTTCAAAGAAAGAAAACTACAGACCAATATCTCTAATGAACTTGGATGCAAAAATTCTCAATAAAATCCTGGCGAATCGAATACAAAAGCATATCAAAAAAATTGTGCACCATGATCAAGTAGGATTCATCCCTGGGATGCAAAGCTGGTTCAATATACGGAAATCAATAAATGTAATCCACCACATAATAGACTTAAAGACAAGAACCATATGATCATCTCCATAGATGCAGAAAAAGCATTCGACAAAGTACAGCATCCCTTTATGTTCAAAATACTAGAAAAACTAGGGATAACAGGAACTTACCTCAACATAGTAAAAGCTATATATGCTAAACCTCAGGCTAGCATCATCCTAAATGGAGAAAAACTGAAGGCATTCCCTCTAAAATCTGGAACAAGACAGGGATGCCCTCTATCACCACTTCTGTTCAATTCAGTTCTTGAAATACTAGCCAGAGCAATTAGACAGACAAAAGAAATTAAAGGCATAAAAATATGAAAAGAAGAACTTAAATTATCGCTATTTGCGGATGACATGATAATATATTTAACAGACTCAAAAGGGTCTACAAAGAAACTGCTAGAGTTAATAAATGAATTCAGCAAAGTGGCAGGATATAAAATCAACACGCAAAAATCAAAGGCATTCCTGTATATCAGCAACAAAACTTCTGAAATGGAAATGAGGAAAACCACTCCATTCACAATATCCTCAAAGAAAATAAGATACTTGGGAATCAACCTAACAAAAGAGGTGAAAGATTTATACAATGAAAACTACAGAACCCTAAAGAGAGAGATAGAAGAAGATCTAGAAGATGGAAAAATGTACCCTGTTCATGGATAGGCAGAACTAACATCATCAAAATGGCGATATTACCCAAAGTTCTCTACAGGTTTAATGCGATGCCAATCAAAATCCCAATGGCATTTCTTGTAGAAATAGATAAAGCAATCATGAAATTCATATGGAAAAACAAAAGACCCAGAATAGCAAAAACAATTCTAAGCAGGAAGTGTGAATCTGGGGGTATAGCGATACCAGAGTTCAAACTGTACTACAAAGCAATAGTAACAAAAACAGCATGGTACTGGTACCAAAACAGGCAGGTGGACCAATGGTACAGAATAGAGGACACAGAAACCAATCCACAAAAGTACAACTTTCTTATATTTGATAAAGGGGCTAAAAGCATGCAATGGAGGAAGGATAGCATCTTCAACAAATGGTGCTGGGAAAACTGGAAATCCATATGCAACAAAATGAAACTGAATCCCTTTCTCTCGCCATGCACAAAAGTTAACTCAAAATGGATCAAGGAGCTAGATATCAAACCAGAGACACTGTGTCTGATAGAAGAAAAAGTTGGCTATGATCTGCATACTGTGGGGTCGGGCTCCAAATTCCTAAATAGGACGCCCATAGCCCAAGAGTTAATAACAAGAATAAACAAATGGGACTAACTTAAACTAAAAAGTTTTTTCTCAGCATGAGAAGGAAGTTTTAATTCAAAGTTATAAAGTTGGTAGTGTCATCCAAAGGCAAAGCTTCTTCTCTGCTCTTTGTCTGGATTTTCACAACCCCCCCCCCCACCCGCCCCGGTTCAGCCTCTCATGGCCCCTGAGTCTGCTACAGCAAGAAGGGACTGCTACCAACTTCTTATGTCACGTTGGCTCTTTCTCTTGCTCATACTTGCCGCCTCCCTGGTGCCATTCTCAAATCTCCATTCAATCACCTTTGCCAGGATAACTCCCTCCATGATTCTTAAAAACTTGGGTAGGAACCTGATTTTCTAAGAAACCTGCTCCACCTCTCAACTCTCTCCCCCTTGCATAGTTCCACACCTGAGTGTCCATGACACCCATACACACATCCCCATCTGTTATTGTCCCCTGCATTTCAACCTCAGTCTCAATGAGATTCCTGAGGACAAAGGCCACTTCTTACTCATGTCTGATTCCTTGGTGTCAAGACACAGTGCCAGTCTTCTGCAAGGTGCCCAGGGGACATGAATGAAAGGTATGAATAGGAATGAAGGTAGATTAATTGTTTTCATCACAAATGCTACATAGAACTGATACCTTAGGATAGGAGACTAACTCACACAGGCAGGCAAATGAGTTGAATAAGGTGGACAATGCTTTTCCCTCTAAAAAGTTTCATTGAGATATTTTCTTAAAATAAATGGGTCATGTAATTTTAAACTAGCTTCTTAACTGGATATCGAGCAAGCAGCCACATTAGGTTTTATTTTGTATTTTGTTAAGCATTTTTAGGCAAATACATCTAGGGTCAAATGATCCATGAATGCTTGGGCATGATCATAATAAGCAAATGGTATCACACCCACAAAATATTCTGAGACTTCTATTAGACACAGTGTGATCTAACCAGACCAGGTAGAAGGAAACTTGAGAAATTTTGAGAAAAACAAATTTTGCAAGTCGGAGATCTCTAAAATGCACACCTCAAGCTTGAGCATCCTGCTGTCCAACACGCTTTTGTCGGATGTTGGGTGACAGTAAGAATCCAGTACGTGAACGGTGTCTGTCATCCAGTCTTGCAACTCTTTAACCCCGAGGGAGAACTGATTGTGCTCTGCAACGATTCTGTCCAGTCTCGACACTTTCTCCTGGGAAAGACAGAGACAGGTTTTCACTCTCCACTCCCTACCCTGCACAGCCCAAACCTTTCTTTAATTGATGGAATTTCTTCCTAATACCTCGTCATAGTAGTTTTCAGCTTTTGTTTATCACATTTGGCTCAACTGAAACCACCTATTCCCATTGACATACATTGTTTCAGTTTTAAAAAATAACTGCCTGAGATTTTGCAGTATTTCTAAATTATATATATATAATATATACATATGTGTGTGTATATATAAAATAAAATATATTTTAGTTGATACATAATAATTGCACATATTTACAGAGTGCAGTGTGATATTTTAATACATATATATATAAGGTATAATAAATAGACCTAAATTTGAAAGCTGAGACTACTCATGTTGTTTTATTTAATTATAGTTCATATCCAACATAGTGTAGACTTTATAAGGCTAGGATAGAGTTCTTAAAGCAAATACTTACTGCCTGTTAATATCTAAGTAAATACAAATGAATAAAAGTTGTTCATCATTCATTCTAATTTTAGGCATGTACCTGATTTTTGAAAAAATAAAAAGGGACTTATTCATAGAGTAAATATGAGTATAAATGGATGGCACTAGAGCAGATTATGCTAAGTGAAGCTAGCGAATCCCTAAAAAACAAATGCCAAATGTCTTCTTTGATATAATGAGAGCAACTAAGAACACAGCAGGGAGGAAGAGCAGGAGGAAAAGATTAACATTAAACAGAGACACAAGGTGGGAGGGAAAGGGAGAGAAAAGGGAAATTGCATGGAAATGGAAGGAGACCCTCATTGTTATACAAAATTACATATAAGAGGTTGTGAGGGGAATGGGAAAAAAAACAAGGAGAGAAATGAATTACAGTAGATGGGGTAGAGAGAGAAGATGGGAGGGGGGATAGTAGAGGATAGGAAAGGCAGCAGAATACAACAGTTATTAATATGGCATTATGTAAAAATGTGGATGTGTAACCGATGTGATTCTGCAATCTGTATTTGGGGTAAAAATGGGAGTTCATAACCCACTTGAATCTAATGTATGAAATATGATATGTCAAGAGCTTTGTAATGTTTTGAACAACCAAAATAAATAAATAAATTAAAAAAATAAATAAATAAATGTAGAATATATCAGTGTGACTATCTCAATGATAGAAATATTTGAAAATTGAAGACTTAAATTATCAGACTCAAATTATTTAAGTAAGTTTACTTAATAGTGAGGCCAAAGCAGGCCTGCAGCATATGTGTGAATGGGTTTGCATCATGCTGGTTGACTGCTCTTGATGTGCCCTAGGGGGTCCCATTTACCTTTTTTCTAAGCTAGTTGAAGATATTTAATCAGTTATATAAATCACTGACAATTCTGAACTCTGCTTTAGAAACTGAAATGAAACTCTCAATCCATATATCTTTGACTACTATATAATGAATATGTGGAATTTAGGCAAACAAAAAATATTATTCCCAACTCATTACATTGAGTCTAATAAAATTTCAACTGCTTTGAGTCCTTTTTTTTTTTTTTGCTAATGGAATTTAATTCAAGATGTTTTGGAACAAAAATTCTGACTTGTACCTTTGTGTATGTCCTGAGTCTCCAAAATCAAAGCCCTGAAGAACATATCATTTCAGGAACAAAAATGAAGTATTTGGGGGCATTCGTGGAGATAGGAATTCTCCTGGGTCTTTGAAACCTCCCTTCATGTTTTCAGAGAACCGCACTAAGAGGCACAGTACACATGACGCACTTGGATTGCAAGCCTGGGGAAATGGCTTTTGCATGTCTTACTGCTGAGTTGGAGATGCCCTCCTTGGGCGAGTCAGATGGACGCCCTGCACAGCTCCAATCTGCAACACCAACATCGCTATGGCACTCACACAGAGCACACGGCAGGCATTACCTTGGTTAGATTGCTTAGTGCTAGATACTGAGAAGACAGCTGCGACACTCTGTGCATAAAGCTCCTGCTGGCAGCTTGTCCTTCCCACAGCTGCTGAGCTTTCTCTTTCAGCCTGTTGAGCTGAGGCTCGTAGCAGTGAATTTCCTCAAGGACAGACTGAAAAGCACAAGCAAGTTACCATTCAGAGGCTGGGGGAAAGCACACGGCAGATGGATGGACGGAGCTCTGGACCACAGAACATGGAAATAAACACTGTCAAGCGATCGGCATCACCTGAAGGCCTTTGTATCTCCAAGCTACACACAAGTGGAGCACCATGGGGGAAGGAAACAAATCAAACCTCAAAGGAAAGGAGGAAAACATACAATGTCTGTCATAAAGAAGGAAGGGACAGACTACATCTCAAGGTGGCATAGTCTAACTCCAGGGTGCCCAGCATGCATCTGAACGCAGGCCTGGTGGACAGAGGAAGGGACAAAGATGCTCTCCAAGGGATCAAGTCTCATCACCTGGAGCTTCTGCTGCTCCCTCCTCTTGGCTGGCAGATCGTAGAGGCGGCTGCTGCTTTCCTGGACCAGCTTCTCAGTCTTACTCAGCCAGGTCTGCACAGGTTCTGCGCTTACCTCAAAGTCCTTCATTTGGATCTTTAGATTCTGTAGGGTTTTAGTATCAGGGGCAAAGTAAACAAAAGTCAAGCACCAACTTCTTTATTTGCAATTCAAAGCCTACTTCCCTCTGGAACCACCCCTACTGCCCATGTTCCCTGCTTCTGGGATGTTTTGTTCTTCACATTGATACCAGTATAATTTCTGAACATCCTTTAAGAACCTTTTATAGTTCTACTGCTTAAAATATATGTTTCTATAACTTTTCTGAGCAAAACCCAAGAGAACACACCACCTTCTCACTTCTAGGCATTTGTTTTTATGCCAGTGGTTACAGTTTTTTATCATAGACTGGCTGCACTGTGATTTTCACCTGCTGCAGGCTGTCTGGTCTCCATGCCTAGCTTATGAATCCTGGGAAGGGAGAATCTGTGCCTTGCACTACCCAGGACACACCATAGTACCTTGTAGGAGTATAAATCATCCATCTATCTATCCAATCTATCAATCAATCTAGTTTACATGTTTTTATGTTCTCAGTAAAGTTTTTTCTGATTTCAAAAGAGAAAATACCAAATAGTATGGTGTGCTTCTTATGTAAGAATGTTGTAAATACTCATAGACGGTCTGTGAGGAAACTATTAGCCCAAAAGTTAATAGCATGTCATTATGGTTCCATTTCACATTAGCAAAGATGTCTATATCTGCTGTCCATTACTTATAAAGTGCTAAATTGATGTGAACTTTAATGTTGTTTATACTACTATGTGAACCAATTAAAGAGTTTAAAAATTAAATCAGCACTTCGGGATAGTTTTGTCCAAAAGCAAGTCCATAAAGTTAGCTGAAACATCTAAGTAGTACAGACTAACAGAGCCTGTGGAAGAATGCCCTAGGCCCCATCTGTGCCAGTCTGGGATATCTACTGTGAGGGGCCACTGGTGTCTCTATACTCACCTCTGAGGGAGATGGGTAGGCTATGGGAATACTTTGGAAAGTTAAGACATTAATAGTTGGATGTTTTACAGGCACACCAAATTTAATGTAAACTAAATTGAATGGATTATTATCCTTTCCGTAATCATGTCTCAGTTGATAGCATCATCATCCATGCCATTCTAGAAACTGAGGACTCAAACTTAACTTCTTCCATATGCCCCTTGTATAATTAACTACCAAATCCTGTTGAGTTTTACCTTGGGGGTGAATTTGCCATTTATTATTTCCTTATTTGTTCCCTCATTTCTTTTATCTGGACCATTATGAAAAGCTTTCTTTGGTCTTCCAGCTACTCACTATTCCCCATCTGGTCCATGCTGTGCTCAGTGAACTAACAAGTTTATCTCTAGCTTAAAGACCTGCAGATTGCTGACTCAGCCTTTCTCGACCAGGTTCTAGGAGCAAATTAAGTCTTGGTGCCCCAAAACATCCATTTTATGGAATGAATTTATTTTCTTCCTATGCCCTACAATAGGATGTTAGGTTTTATCCTTAGGAAAACTGTCTGGGTTCAGATAAGGAACTCTAGTCAAGAGTCAAGATCAAACTGCTTAGTACAAAAGATATTTCACTGTCTGGCCCTAATCTTTGTCTCAGGTTTTATCTCTGTTGTTGCTGTAAAATTTCACATCAGTATCAGACTTCTCAACATCCCCCATACATTGTTGGCACTCATGACACTTGGGCCCTGTGCATTCAATTCCTTCTAGGTGGAATTCATGCCCACGGTGGCAAATTCAAAGAATGCTTGGCCATCAGTATTCTGTTTAAATGTCACCTCTCCGGACACCTTCCTTGACTTCTCTAAATAGTCAGTGGCATCTGTCTATGAGTGACTTCTACCCCTGAACATGCCTATATTAGATTACAAATAGCTCTTTGGGGACTGTTTCCCTTCCAGAAAGTAAACTCTCTGAGGGCAACAGATTGGCCCTCTCAGCCACACAGTGCCTGGCTTATTATAGTCATTATTTTATATATATATATATATATATTCCTAATAGGACAGAAGGGAGGGAGAAAGGAAGGCATGGACCAAATCAAAGAGTTACACCCATCATGAAGAGAGGCAGATTAAGGAGACAGGCCCTTCTCCTCTCTTCCTCTTTTCTCTTGAACAAGGTAATTTTGCAATCACCGTGGATGCTTCAGAGCTCAGGGCAATTACACTAAGGATTCCTACAGGGTTAGTGGTAGATTTCAGGCACTGCACAATGGCTGCCACACTAGTGATAGAATGAGGCCTGCGATGGAAGAAAGGTAGCTGTTAGCATCAAGTTCCTGCGTTAGGAGAGAATTAAGGAAATACTCACTTTCTCTCCCTGAATAGTAGTTCTCTACAGTTATTTTTCCCTGCCCCACTAATTATGGTCATGATTGCATTCAGGATCTATTTTTCCAGGAAGTATTGTTTTAAAAGGGATAGATGTTCTCTTCTCCATGCCTCTGCGTATTTTCCTTGAGAGAAGAGCTGGTATGTTAAATAGATGATCATAGAAGAACAAAACCCCTGCACTGTGGCAGTGAGAACCCTGTGCTTATAATAAATGGTCTCTGTAGAAAGTGAAAGGGCATCAACTTTCTCTCTTTGCACACTTAACCCCTAAAAAACCTACTACCTGATATTTGCATAAGTTACGTCCTCTCATAACTAGCATTTTGTAGCCATAAAGGGATTTTCTCCCAAACTTGAGTTACTTCAAATGAAACATTCAGTACTGTGCTTAAATGTTTCCTTGTGAATGTGCTTGGGCAAGTTTGTGGTGAGAGGCCCTACCGTGCAAGAAGCCACCTCCTTCCTCAGGGTTGCTCACACTTCCAGCACTGAGCTGTCTTAGAGCTATTCAGTTGTCCATCAATATTCAAAGAGCAGTGACTACAATTATTGACAAGGACCTTGGACTCACTGAAACTATGTTTTAACTGACAACAAACAGGACCCTGTGGTTAGCCATATCATACCTCCAAGGCAGATTCCTTTTGGTGGAGGTTTGAATGAAAGCTCTTCCAATCTTCTTTTGCAGTTTCAACCTTGGCCTGGACACTTTTTGCTTTCTCTTTGGTCAGCAGAGCACTCAGAAGTTCTCCCTTTGACAGCATCGTGTTCAGCTTATGCTGCCCATTTTCACTTTCTGACGAAAACTCCTAGAAAGAAAAGCAAAATATGCTATATTTTAAAATTCTTTGATTTTTTTCCATGTATTTCTTAGTGTGAAGAGAAGAAATAAACTACTTTCATATGCTAAGTAACCTAGGTCTTCCTTTAATAGTTAAGTTGTAAGGTATTTTATTTATTAATATAAATTCTGGCTTATTCCAAAAAGGTTGTGAGATATCTTATAAACTATTAAATAAAAAAAAAAATAAACGAGAGGAAATGAGGCTCAGGAGAAAATAAGAGTTGCAAAATAATCTCTGGTAAGTTTATTTTACAAAATAATGCCCTGTAGTTCTGTGTAATTGGTGGAGCTTGATTATGACTTTGACTCTGAGTATCCTAGCTTCCAAAACAAGAGTAAACACAACCAACCAGGTACAGGACTGGACTCAGGACCTGTGCAATACAAACCATCTGCTCAGCAGAAGCACAGCTGTTCCTAGAAAGAAACAGCAGATGAATTTCCCTGGGAATCTTAATGAAGTAAACACTGTTACATGGAGTAAATGGCACCATTATTAGCAGTTTATAAAAAGAGAACAGCAGAGTAATTTATAGGATTGTCTTTATGAAGGACAAGTCAATGGCATAATGCCAAGAGTAACTCAACAGTGTGGCCACAGCATGTACTTTTCCCATGTTGTGGCTGGATCCAAGGAGGGAATCTCATCCTAAATAAACAAAAACTCTACATTATACAGTAAATAGCCATTGACATTTTCAGGTGAAAATGTTGCATAATATTTTATGCAATGGAAAAGACATGGAAAGCATAAGCTCAAGGTTATTTATTCTAGCAAGAAACAGAAGCAAGGATGTTCTGTACTGCAGATATTGATGAAAGAGGCTTGTTATAATTTGGGTGTATTTTGTCTTCCAAGGATCCTGTATTGGAAGCTTGAACCTTGGTGTGGCAATATTAGGAGGTGAGCCTACTGCAAAGTACTTAGGTCCCTGGGGACAGGCCTTGGGGAAATTCAGTTTGTTCTCTTGGGATCCAGAGTTAGTTTTCAGAAGAAGATTATTCTTAAGGGACAAGCCTGGCTTCTTCCTAGTCTCTTTGGTTTCCTGTCTGATGATAAAGTCTCTTGTTCTTCCATGTGCTCCTGCCATTGTGGTGCCATTGCCATGAGATCCTCACTTAGAGCTGAGCTGACACCACTGCCGTGACCATGAACCTTCAGAACTGTGAGCACAATAAACCTCTTTTATTTACAAAGTAGCCTACCTCAGGCATATCATTATAGTCATGAAAAACGAACTTATATAGAACTTTACCAGAACAACTGTTTTAATGGAGGTACTACCCCCATCCATGGGACTGGGTCAGAGAAAAGCCTGGCCTCAAAAATTGTACTGAGTTTCTCCAGCACAGGCAAGTTGGTAATTGATGCTCGAAGATTCTACTCCCTAGGCTTGGAGAAAAACTGGAAGAATTTTCAATGGGGAAAGTTTTCAAAGCAAGAGTTATCTCATTATATTATGAACAAAAAAATTAAAAAGTCAAATGTATATGGACAGTACTGCTAAGAGCCAAAGCAAAGTAATATGATGCATGGCATTTTTGGTTGAAAGGTGATGCCAGCAAGCCATTGAGATGATATGATTATGTTAAGATTTGCATTCATATGGATATTAGACTCCTGCTGTCCACCTCGGCCTGCTATGGGACTCCTGGAGAGTTCCCATTGGTTGGGGAAGTGCGGTAGGAGGGAATTCCGGAGGAGGGACTTCCTGTTGGGGTCCGGGAGAACACCGCGCGTGGGTTGGTCGGCAATCTTCCCGGGAGCACACGGGGCATTGGTGGCAGTTTCAAAAATAAAGTTTGTTCCTGCTTGAGTGGCTCGTGATTTTGTGCCCAGCCAGACTGCGGCACAGTACTACTTAAGAGATTGCTTCCAGCAAAGAAACTTCATCTGTGGGCACTTACACATGGTTTTCTATGTATATATGCCCTCTCTGGGGGGAAAAAAAACACTCGAATTTCATAAGCAATCACTCAAGACTGTTTGTAATCAGAAAAATCAGACATGCAAAAGTATGAAACACAATGTTACTGTGTATAAAAAATGTTGGGGTTGAAGGTGGAGTGTGAGATGGCACCACAAAGTTGAAGTTAGATGAAGGAAGACTAGGAAAAAAAAAACCCTCCAAACTTAAGCAAAATCCAGCTGTAACTCTTGCTGTTTTACACATCAGCTCTGTGACTTCATTAAAACTCTTTGACCCTATTTGTATATTGGAAATAAGAACCATAAGAACCTCACAGTTCCTAATGTGGTTGGAGTGAAAATTGAATGCAAAAATCCACTTGGAATGTACAGGCTCATTGCTCATTGCATACAAGAGCTTTGATTATCTCCTAACCTCTCATTAATACATAAAATAGCATGCATTTATGAATATAAATGGACTAGTTTCTTTTCCCTTGTTTCAAGTGAAGCACTTATTTGAAATTTGATTTTGTTAAGCAAAACTTTCATATGCAAGGCACGTTTCTAATCTAATTAACCACTCTTGTTAGAATTAACAGATAAATTCTTACCTGTATTTTCTGAAGACTTGTCGTCACTTCACTAATATTCTGAGGTATATCAAAACATTTGGCGGTAGTGATCTTTGCATTAACCAACCACTGCTGGAAATCCCGGAAGGCTTTTCTAAACCTTTGCTGCAAAATCTGTTCTTTATTCTGGCAGCCCTTGGATGCTTGCAAACAAAGACTGAAAAAGTGATTTAAAAATTGAATGAAAAGGAAAATGATAAAATTGATTAAAATAATATTTGATAGAAATGAGTTCTTAGAACATATATTTATTTCTTTTAGTAATATATTTTATGCTTAACTAAAATTATTATTGAAATCACACTTAAAATAGCTTCTACTTGGTCTAAGTTTCCTCTTTCTTTCTTCTTTACTTTTTTTTTTCTCTTTTTTGAGATGGGGTCTCACTATATTGTCCAGGCTGATCTTAAACTCATGAGCTCATGTGATCTTCCACCTCAGTTGGAATATAGTACCTGGGACTACAAGCATGTGCCACCATGCTCAGTTTAGCTCTAACTTTGTATAAAAATATTGAAGCTGAGATGGTGATGGTACCTGTTGTCCCACCTCCTCCTGAGGCTAAGGCAGGAGGATCTCTTGAGAGCCAGGAATTTAATACCAGCCCAGGCAGTATAGTGAGACATTAGAGAAAATAAAAACAAAATATTTTGAACACCTGGAAGGTTCTTGCTCACCAGTTATATTCTTTAATCAAGCCAGAAACTTTCCCACTGTAAGTACTCAGGTCTCTGGAAAATCGACAAAGTTCATTAAGCTGAGACTTGAGATTCTCTGTTGTGGGCTCTGCTTTTTGTAGATCATCTAGGATTTCCTAAGAGAGAAAAAACAAGCATTTAAATTAGGCAATTTCCATATCCTCACATTATGTATGCACAAATCATTATTAGTGATTTAAATAATATAAATTATTAGTGAGGAACAAAATAATATAATAAATTCAGTAAAGAAGTGAGGTATATTTATAGGACCCCACCTGTATTCTTTTCTAGCCACAAATATATACTTCAGCATCAAATGTAAAATAGTCAAAAGCTTACTTAAGCTTTTGGTCAAATGACTCAAATTGAGATAAGAAAAAGAAAAAATATCCTAAATTATTAAAAATGGTCTGGCTAGATCATTAGGGGATGTGTATATTATTTAAAGGTAAAGAAAGATCAGTTTGAAGAAAGCAACACTTATTTTAGATTAGCAATATATGTAGCAATTGATTTTATAGAGTATATACAATTAATTGACATTCAGAATTCTTTATAATCCATAGGTCTATCTAACTAAACTAGCAGTTCATTCATCTCCTAGTTTCATTCTTAGAGTCTATTATGTGTCCAGCATTTTCCTGGATTCTTGGGTACCTTTCCTCCAATAAATAAAGGAAGACTTCATAATTCAATTGATGAGAGAGAGATGTGGAAAATCACAGTACTGTGTGTACTTAATCCAAAATAAAGTCTCAGGGCTTGATGAGTACAACTCTGAAATCAAAACCATGGTCACCTGGTAATGCAGGATGATTTGCAATTACAGCATTCCTCTTATAGGGCTGTCACAGGAGCAAATGAGCTCATGAGTGTCAAATACTTATCACAATTCCTGGCATACTGATAGATGCCTAATTAGCAAAATTAGTGGGAAAATGATTCCTGGATATTTAGATGAGACTAAGTGGATAGTGGTTATGAAGAATAAAAAGCTAAAATAAGTTAAGGAGGAAGGACCAACAGATGAGTAATGACTCAAATAGTGTTGCTGTTACTCTTATGATCCTCAGAGATATTTATTGAGATGGCCCAGATGATATTTTTATACAAAGATATTTACTGAGATGATCCAGATCTGTAGAGAAATCGCATCTCTCATCAACAGACCAGGTCTAGGCTGCAGCCTCATCCTGGTAAAAGGTACCACTGTCTTCCCCCTGCTGTGCATGAGATGTCTAAGGATCATCTTGGCCTTTCCCACATCTGTCCCCTCCTCTCACTCCATGACAACGATGCTCTGGTTGCACCTGAGTCCCTTCAATCACTTACTCCTTTTACATCTTCATCATTTCATTCTGGAAATTCACAATGTACTACTAATTTCATTCCTGTTCTCTGGTTTCCTTTCCCAGATTTTGTTACCTCTTTGTAAAAGTCTGCATCTTGGGGCTGTCCCCTCACCTTCCTATTTGTCAAGTTGTACCCAGACCTTAGGATTCAGCTCAACTCCCCGCTCCTCTAGGGATGCTCTGCACTCCTTCCTGCCTCCTGGGATTTCTCATCTGAGGATACGCAGCACCTCATGGGCACTTGTTACAAAGAGGGTCCCCACTGATTTTGTCCTATTTGTCTTTTCACCTGAACTGTGGACATGAGCGCAGGGATCGGGTTCTCTTGGTTTGTCCACTCTTTATTTAGCTCAGTGACTGGACTAGAGCGTTTAAAACATTTTTATTTACAAAATTCACAAAAGTAACCAGTTTCTCTCTGAAACTCCAAATGTTCACATTTTATGTAAGGGAGAATATTGTAAGAACTAAAAAAAATTAACACCTAGCCAAAAAAAAAAAAAAAAAAAAGCAAGAACATTGAGATTCAAGTCAGCCACTTATATATTGGGTGACATGAAAAGTGAAAATCTTTGGCTAAAACTTCACATTTAAAAAATGTTCATGCTGGCTGGGGATATAGCTCAGTTGGTAGAGGGCTTGCCTTGTATATACACAAGGCCCTGGGTTCAATCCCTAGCACCACCAAAAAAAAAGAAAAGTCCATGCTTTCATGCTTAATGAAAATTTTCCAGTAGAGCCTCTGATTACATAAATACTGCATCAAGTTATATCTGAGTCAGGTAAATTTCAAATTGCATTTCCTCTTTGTACAGCTAAAGAAAAATGCTGTTATTTCCAACACTAGCAAACCAATATATTTTTAAATCAATGAGTTTTGCAAACACAATGAACATGATATGTTGCAACACTGTATTATATATTTTATTGATACTTGGTTTTATGTTTTAAAGGATTTCTTGAATACCACTATTTACTTATGTGAAATACTTGAGAAGGTTTGTGATTATTGTCATTGTCAGCAATAACGAGGTCTCACAGCAAAACGATGACATAAGAACCCTAGAAAATCTGTTTTACAAACATCTTCCTACACATTCATCATAATCGAAGTATTATTTCCACTTTTAAGTAAAATGTTATTATTAGAAATAAGATATGAATGTCTGTTAATGTTCTATTGTCCTCAAAAACATTAGCTCTGGAGCCAAAGGTAGATACAGAACTAAGCAGAGGGCTGTCATCTTTGTTAGTAAAACTGAAAACCCACAATTACTGTTGCATTATCATATGTATTTTTATATCTGTCATTTATTTTTCCAGTAATAGTATCAGTGTAATAAATAATAGTAAATGGAACAAGAATGGAAAGAAAAGGGCATAAAAAGGAATCAAAACAATATAATTGATATGTTCCTATCAGATCACATGGAGCAATTACAACTTCTTTTTCCTTGTTCTGCTGAATGGATTACTATTATGCTTCATTCTGTTGCACAAATCTAAAGGTCAAAAAAGGCATCCAAAAAAAAAAAAAAAAACCAAAACCAAACCTCCAAAACAAAACCATAACACTTAGAAACATTATAAACAAACTAGAATAAAGAGATGATTATGAAGTTTAATTTCTGGTGAGTCTTACTTGCTTCAACTGCTTGATTTAAAACAAAGACAATGCTTGAAATACGACATGACTTTCTTACTCGTCCAAGCTATTTTGAAATGATTGTAACATAAATAGAAGCAGAGAAGTTTACTTCACTAGACTTCCTTGTAAGGCCAGCCATGATTCAGAGCATTATAAAACTACAAATATTGAAGAGGCTTTCAAAGTTAAGTCTGAACAGTCACAGAAAAGGAGCGGATTTTGAGCTGCTTCCCATTCTTCTCTATTCCTTTCCTGCTTCTCTTTCTCACATTTTAAAAGAGATGCCATTTGTTTAAAAAAAAAAAAAAAACAACAGGAAGGCGACCCGGAGCCTGACAGAAGAGTGGGGTTAGCGTGTGTTAACAGGCTAATTTCAAGTACAGCTGTCAAAACCACACAGAGGAGAGCTAATCAGGGTCAAAACCATTAGTTGTGCTCTAGTAGACTACTAAATGTGTCTTCAAATCTATAAACTCAATTGTTGAGTTGTTTGCAACGGTTAACTGGCAGGAAAACAGTATGACTCTGTCTATTTATGCCTCTGCCCACAGGCCATTTTTCAGACTGAGTGCCTCATACAGGATTACATGCTCTTACACCATACATCGGGAAGAAAAATGTCTCCATTTAGTTATAATGTTTTCTACAGGAAACATAGCTTCTTCTCCCCGACATGTTAATTTTTTACCAAAGTTTGATTTGTGAGAAAAGGAAAAAGATCAGACTTGGCCATTTTATTTAGATAAATACTTCTTCCAAGTCTGAATATTGCATGGTTTAAGTTAGTGAAGACTTTTCTTTTTAGCAATCCTAAGAGCCAAAAAACCAGAATTCTTTAAATTTTTATTTATTTATTTATTTAGCATAACCACCAATGAAAAACCAGAAACCAACTTACTTGTCCTTTGTGCCAGGATTCCACTATCTCCTTGTCCGTGTTCTTGCCTTCCAGGAGGGCTAACTGCTCAGCCCAGGTTTTCAGAAGGGCACCGAACTGCTCCAGGGCCTGCTCCAGTTGGGCCACCTGGCCTGAGAACTCCTGCTCCGAAAGGGCCATTTGACTGACCAGGTTCTCCAGGCTGCTCCGCGTTTGGAGCACACTGTCTTCCCACTGCTTCCAGTCGGCGCGCAGGGCCTGCATCTCCGTCTGCATGAGCTCACACCCACTGGCAGCTGTGTTCTGTTTCACTTCAGGGGCCAGCGACTCCACTCTGCTCAGGCGGCCTGCACCAATCTCTCTGGAATCTATCAGCTCCTGTAATGGAATATCGCCATGGAAACCAAGGAGGCTGTGAGTCACTTGGGCTGCAAGTTTTCAAATGTGTGCAGAGGGGAACGCTGTCCTGCTAGGAAGTTTGAGCAAGTGTGCACAAGGAACCAGAATCCACACATGCACCCATTCCCAAGTTATATTAGCAGGGAATTGGCACTGTGAGTGCCCAGGCTTGTGGCAGAATAACCCAGGAAGCCGTAACATCCTGAAACAGACTAAACAGGCACCATGAACTCAGGCATTGTTTAAGTATATGGAAATGTTTTGACATTTAAATATGGGCCCGTGGTGTACTGCTCCTGCAAATAATTGAATCCATACTTTTGCTAAGTGGACGAACATGTGTGGCAGAACTGTGTTCTGCTCTATTCCATTTCCACCTTCTTCCACAAGCTGGTGGCTTAAATCACATTGCTGTTGTACCAGGAATCAAGCTGACCCACCAGAGAAAAACAATGAGCCTCACTCAACTGCAAATACTTCAGAACCTTCAGCAAACATTTTATAGCAACTAAAATGAAAACTTTACAGACTTGGCTTAATGGAAAGTTTTAAATGACCTCTAGATTGGGATCATTTATTGCTGTCATTTTCACCTTTAAAAGAATCTTACTAGAAATTTAACTATCTAGATATAGTTTACAGTCTTAATGCATGAATACTCTAAAGTACAATAAGATTCAGATATGCACTCTTAAATAGATAAATAGTGGCATTTCTTTCTAAGAAGAGAGTTTTTTGACTAGAGTTTTAAAACTAGTATTCATATATATTCAAATATATAAATCAACCAGTATTTATATATTTACATGTCTATTGCTAATGCCAAGATTTTGTTTCCATTAATAGAAAATCATGACTTCATTCTTGCATTACATAGAAGAAAAAAATAATTATTAGGGACAAAATCTTCAAGGAGAAAATCAATTAGTAATTAACAAATAAAATTTGCAGTTAAATATTATGCATGCTTCATAAATTGTTAAGCATAAAGCATGTCTTATCTAGTCAGTATAGCATAGTTTGCATTTAATTTAGTTAGCTTGAAATAAATCTATCTTCTCACAATTACATGCAACAGGGCCATATTTCAGCATAGATCATTTGAAAGTGCTTACTTATGCAATAGTCCAAAGCACAATCACATGAAAGATGATTTTTATACATGTGTAAATGTGTCTTTACAGACAGCATTTAACATATATAATTGGCCTTTCTTGGCGAGAGACTCTAAAACCTATTCCTGTTTATCAGTGTGTATAGTAATTAGTGATTCAATAAAGGAAAATTTAAAAATGCTATGTCTAACACATAGCTTTAAAAACTTACAATAATTTGCCTTTGTAAGCAATTTCAAATTTAGAGTTCAGAGAATATCAACTATCAAAAATAGTTTTCCTAAGATATTCTATGGCATTATACCAGTTTTCTTTGGCATGAAAAGTGGGTCATTTCAATATCTGCAATCACCAATGTGCTCATCCAGATTTTGAATAAGGACACCTTATTATAAAGTCTTTTGGAGTGGTTTGTAAGTACATCTTCTTGTCTGGTATTTGGGTCCTTTAAAAGCAGTACCTGCACATACACACATGTGCATTCACGCCTTCATCTGGTACACACTGGGCCTCGGAGTTGCTCTTCTAGGTGGTGACTCCAGGAATGGGCTGGCCATGGCACCCAAGGACAGAGGAGCTGCTTTATTTCCTCTGAGGTCTCTTGAACCGCACACCCACCTACACTGAGGCCCGACCTGACCTTCTGAGGGCCAGTCTCTGACAGGCTTCATTTTCTCCTTCCCAAATCCCAGTTGCTTTCTGCCAATTCCTTCTGTATTTCCTATGTTTTTGGAAGCATTTTTGTAATGCCTTTTTTAAGAGAGAGAGAAAGAGAGCCAGTGAGCCTTTTGCGATCCAAAAGGCAGCCTTTGTCAAAGGGTTATCTTACTTTTTCAAACTAACTTTTCAAAACATTAGTTCACCTTTAGTATTTCTTCTTCATACCTGCCATTCACTCCTAAATCACATGATCTGGTTTCTCACCTTGCCTTGCTGTGGAAATGGCTCTCGGGGTGGGTGCCAGAGTCCAGCTGTCCAATCCAGCAGGCTCTCTTCAGCCTTTTTCTTAATGGCAGCCTCTTGCTGCATCTGCGATAGTGATAGCTCCTCCAATGGGCTCTTGGTGATACCACGGCCCCCTACTCCCCTGCTCATGATTACGTCTCCTCTCCTTTTCTTTCTCCCTTTAAACTTCTTTTGTTCTATGGCCCCTGAAGCCTTGGTAGTACCCAGACTTTGGTTCTGTGGCTAGTATTCTCTTTGCCACATACACTGGAGTTGGTTTCACCCACTCTGGGGACTTCAACTCCCAGCTGTAGGCTCCCAGTTTCCCCACACTGTCTTCAGCCCAGCTTCCTGAATATTCATTCTACTGCCTTCTAGGCTTTACTCCCACATGGCAGTTCACATTCCATCTGTACCTCCTTGAATTCCTCTTGTCTCCCCTTCTACGACCAGGCTCCTGTTCATGCACCAATTTGTCCTAGGGGGCAACAGCTCTATTAACTCTAGATAAAGATTTGACCTTCACACTGACCCTTCCCACCTTGTCACCCCATAGCCAATTTGTCGAATCACTGGATTTTCTTATTGAATATGCTCTGTGTGCTATGCAGGATAACAAATGTTTTATATGCATCATCTAATTAGTCCCTAAGACAACTATGTGAGGCAGGTTCCATTTTCTTCTTCTTTTTTTAACCAATTAAGAGATTTGAGGACATTTCTCAAAGTAACTTGTCTAAAGACACAGCTAGAAAATCAGGAGAGGCAGGATCAGCCCTGGTCTCTGATCCTGAGCCTGCACTACATGAAGCAGCGTGAGTTCTCATCACGTTGGTTTTGCCAGCCCAGCAGGCTGGCATATGCTTCTTAGACTCTCATAGGATAGCAATAAGAACATTTGCACACAGAAATACACAGAGGTAATGTTACATTTTGCTCACTAGTTTAAAGTCTTTCAAATCATTTTTTAAAAAAAATCTCATCTATGTTTAGAATGACTGAGGTGCAAAACAAAAAATACCAACCAAAACCAGGAGACACTTTCAACAACAGAATCTTATCCACCCAATCCTTATCCCAAGTAGGCTGTCTGCACTCAAGAACCCATGGAACAGTGTGGTATGATATCTGTCCATTTTCTGACCTTAATTTTTGATAACTTTTTCTGGGCGGCTGATGAGTCCCCAGACATGTCTGACCACCGGTGAAGTTCTTCCTTTGCCGAGTGGAGCCAATCGGTGAACTCCTGGACGGCATCCAAGTACATGAGATGGTCTTTCACAATCTCTTCCACTTTCCTCAATTTTTCCTGGCAGACAAAAAAAAAAAAAAGGCCACTTTAGCTGTAATTTTTATTAAGAACATGAAATCACATAAGATGATAGGCCTGATAGAAGTTTCTTAACATATCTCAGAAGACTTCATTTTTATTCCTAAATTTTCTCCAAGTTTGCTATCTTAAAAAAAAAAAAACCACACACTCATAGAATCCTGAACTGAACTACTTTGAAACAACCATTTTTCCTATAAGTTTGCTCTTTTGTAGCTTAGCTAAGAATCTATGCTTAATAAATGTTGGCCTAAACCCCTAGCAACCCACTTAATCAGTTACTAGAATACCTGTTCTTATTATTGAAGCACACTCAGATTAGCTTGACAAATAGCATTCTTTAACTGCATTAGCCCACCAGATCCTCATACAGCCCTGTGATGGGGACACATCACTATCTTCATTACACAGGAAAGGTTACTCAAGCTTACAGAGGTTAAGAAGCATGCCCAATGTCACACATCCAAACAGTGTCAGTCACAATTCAAACTCAGGGTTTTCTGAAACCAGAGTCATATGTCTTAATCATTACCCAGATAAAAGCAAAGAAGAATAAATATCTATCTTAATAGCTGTAGTATCAATAAGACAGACTTCCAAAATCAAACAAAATTCTTTGTTAATTTTTATAGCATTCACAAATGCACAAAAGAAAAATCACAGATTAAAATAAAGTTTCATGTAAAAAATTGAAAAATATTTATAATACACAAAGTAGCCTATATTTTGGAGAACAGAGAAATTCAGTGTTTATTAAGAAATGAACATAATACTTTTTATATAACTGATACCTGGGAAGTAAGTAAAATTGCATTTAATGCAACAGTCAAGAGAACAAGAAATTTTTATTTATTTATTTATTCATTCATTCATTCATTCATTTAGTTTTTGGTGCTAGGATTGAACCCAGGGACACTTTACAACTGAGCTACATTCCTAGAACTTTAAGTTTTTTATTTTGAAATAGGGTCTCACTGAGTTGCTTAGGCCTCACTAAATTGCTGCCTGGCTACGTGGCTGAGGCTTGCCTCAAACTTGCAATCCTACTGCTTCAGCCTCCTGGTCTAGGATTACCATTGTACCAAGCTAAAAAAAAAATTTAAACACTGACTTTACAAAGAATGAAGATGACTCGACTAGCAACACATAGGTCAAAAAATACAGAATAATCCCAAAATTAGAAAGAAAAAAAGACATGGCATTCCCAGGTACGAAAGGATCCTTTTGTTCTATTAGCTACTAAACACACAAGCCATCACAGAGCAGCCAATTCTCCAGTAATTTATCCACAGTTATCCTGCACCTGAGCTGTGAAGCTGTCTCTTGGCTAACCTTACACTAACCTTGGCCACAGTGGTTATGTCATGGAACTGTGTCTTCAGCTCCTTGTGAACTGTCTCCTTGAAAGACTCATCCTGTGTCTTCTCGTAGAGCTCTCTGGACTTGGCGGCCAGGTGGTGTAGCGCTCCGGCATGATCTTCCGCCTCCGACACGATGGACTGGAAGTGATCCAGCAGAGAAAATTTCTCTTTCAGCCCTGGCTGCAGCTGTAAGGGCTGTTCTACTTTTTGATCTATGGATTCCATCCACTGCTCCAACTGGCTTTTCTTCTCTAGATAGTCATTCCATTGGCTAATCACAGACTCCAGAGTGCTGGAATGAATGGCACGTGTCGTGAGAATGAGTTGCCTTGTTAATACCACCCAAACCCAATCACACAGTCACTATTCCATGTAAACTATTTGATTGAACGCCACTGTAAGTGATGATAATGTCGCTTTTGAGCACAGATAGAAACCTGCTTTTCTGATCCATCAAACCCAGAGCACAGTTCCTTTAAACCAAGTAAATCTGTGCTAAAATTTGAAGTAAGAAGCTATAGTCACACACACATCGGGAGATTTTTTTTTTTTTTTAACAACTGCTAATTGTCTTAAATGAACATCTAAATTTACATGTTATGTTGTGAAAACTCAGAGCTGAAACATCAGTTAAATCCTAGGTAGTATGTATCAATTGCTAATATCCTTGGGTTTAGTTTATCTTATTAAAATCAGATAGTAATTGTCTGTTGGTTAGATATCAAAACTCAAGGTATTCTTCCTGGGTAAAAAATAGCATTAGATTGATTTTCATTTAGGAACACCCCCCCCACACACACACACATACACACAAATAGTCAGTGCTTCTATGTTACATGTGTGGAAAAAAAAATGAAGGTTCAATGTATTTATAAGAAATATAGTCACTAATATAATTGCCTGGTACTAGTTCTCCAGAAAATCAAATAAAAGGCTCTCCAGACTGGCATTTAGAAAAGCCCTCCATCAATGAGTTTCACAGACCATTCTCTCACTTTCTCTCTTTTTGTGGTGCTAAGGATGAAATCAGGGCCTCATGCATATTAAGCAAGTGCTTTACCACTAGTGTAAACCCCAGCCCCACAAGCTATTCTAAAGTCATCCTCAGTGACTTCCCCAGCCTCCCTGAATCAACCCTAGGACCACTTAATAAAATTCCAGCATTTGCTCAAACTGCCGCCATTGCTTCAGTAAGAACCTCAGCATATACACCTTCAAGTCCAAATCAATGTCATCTTTCCGGAAGCCACCCAGACCTGCATTTTTCTGCAGTATCACAGTGTCTTTTGAAACCTCTTAGTAACACAAGCTGACTCAGTTTTCCAGAATGTAGCCTCTGAGCTCAGGGACGGCAAAAATTATTTTGTTTTCATTATGTTAATATATTAATTAAAACATTACTTCTTCTCAATACATAGGTGTCAAATTTAATTTCTTGCTGAAGAAGTGGAGTCAAAAATCTAATTTTCCTTCTTGTATTTATCATTTTATTCAAACACCTGCATATGAAATACATTCACTCACATTCCTATTAAATTTCATGAAGCTAGTCCATTGTCAAGCATTGGGAAGTCTAGATTATGTTCCAGCTATCTACTATGGACTAAGAAAAACCCGACAAGACCTATATTTTTTTCTTTGCTGAGTAGAACCTATGACCAAGAAGATACAAGCTCCTGTTCACTTTGAGAATCACCAGCTATGCCTCATGTCAAAGGAAAAAGCAAAAAAAAAAAAAAAAATCACCCAAATTTGAGGCAAAACCATGGCTTATTGTTTGCACAACAGTGGAGAGCAACAGTGGTTTTCGATTTGTTTTGTGATGAACTTTAATCTTCTGTTCATCCATTTGCTATGACCTGACCATATTCAGCACCCGTTTCTTGAGTATATATAACCTTTAGAATATAGATCCTGGGTTGTGTTTTAGTATAATACTGATTTATGGTCATTTTTCCAACAAGTTAATCAGGTTATTAATTATATATTATATTATTATTTTATATTATTTATCTTAAATACCACCAGTGCACCCCAACCACCCCACAGCACACTTAGTGTAACAAGCTCTTCTCTACTTCTTCAGCATCTGGTACAGGGACTTCCTTCTTTCCTTCCTTTCCTTTTCATTTAAATTAAATTTATTTTTGAAATGGATACATAAAAACAAAGATTATACATATCAATGGGGTTATGTGATATTTCAATACATGCTTACATTGTGTAATGTTTAAATCAGGTTAAACTTATCAAACATGGATCATTTCTTTTTTTTCCCCCAGGAGCACTTTACCACTTAGGAACATCTCATTCTTTTCATTTTGAGATAGGGTCTTGCTAATTTGCTGAAGCTAGCCTTGAATTTGTGGTCCTAGTGCCTCAGCCTCCTGAGTTGCCAGGATTATAGGTGTGTGCTTGATAATATCTATATGGTGAAAACTCTTAATGCATTTCCTTCAAACTTATTGAAATGTAGAGCACATATTTATCTGTATTTACCCTACTGTGCAATGGCACCCTAGAGCTTCTCATTCCTTTCTATCTATAACTTAGTACCCACTAATAATCTCTTCCTATCCCTCTCTATCCCTTCTCCCCTGGCCTCTGGTAATTACCATTCTATCTGAACTTCTATGAGCTCAACTACTTTAGATTCTCCCTGGGTAAAATCATATGGTGCTACAACAGCTCTAAAGGCATTCTGCATGGGCTCATTTTTTAATTGTGAGAAGGGTTCATGCTCTGTTAGCTTTCTAGGCCTCAGTCACTAAATGCCTGGGATGTCCCCCCATCACTATGACAATCAAAGCCTCCCCACACATTTCCTACAACCCCACAGTGGGTAATACTACTTTTGGTTGTGGAATAGATTGATACTTAAACTCAGTGATTGCCAACAATGTAATTTACAGCATGTTCTTTAAAAAGATAAATGTTACTGAAGACCACATATCCTTGCTTGAATAACTTGGAAGGAGGTATTTCCTGACCTGTGTTACATGCAAGAATCCATGAGAGACACTCAGGAAGACATAGCTATTTTAGAAATAAAACAAAACAGGCTAGCAAACAAAAGCTAGTCTTTGTCCCTGGGGAATACGACATAGGGAAGACCTGCAGCTCCCAACTAGCTAAAATACCATGCTTGGTAACTTAGCCACCAATACCTTAGCACTGCTCCATCATTTTACCAAGCCACAGGATTTTATTTGGGTAAATAAGCACAGAAACAGACTCTATACCTCTGAGCATGGACAGAGGAGCTCATGATGTCAGCCCACACGTTCTTCAGGGTCTCCAGCTGGGTCTGAATGGCCTTCTGACCTTCTCTGTTGCTACTTCTCAAGGCCTGTTCTCCTTTGCCAATGGCCATATTCAACTTAACTTCTCCTTCCCCTTTCATCAGGAGAATGTCCTAGGAAGGAAGAAGGGCTATATGTCAGTAAGAATATGAAGACCGGCTACTTTAAAAATGGTTGTTTGCTAATGTTTTGAACAACCCACAATAAAAAATTAAAAAATAAAAAAAAAAAAAAACCACCCCCCCCAAATAAATAAATAAATAAATAAATATGTTCTCTTCCCTGTGACTTGTTTTGGAAAACTATTGGTGATATCTTTGCTTTGTAGAAGTTTTACATAATATGAACATGATATATGATATAAGATAAAACTCTCCAAAATGATGCATATTTCCCTCTTCTTGTTAAATAAACATAATTTTACTGTTAAAAAAAAATGGTTGTTTGCCACGAGACTTAAGGTAGGAGATACCTACCTTAAGCAAAAAGAACCAACTCTTGCCTCTGTTGCCATATAATACCCACATGCTAGAGATGGCAGGGATGCTTGGGAGTGAAACATCAACTCCAATTTAAATTATTAAGAAATTTGGGTCACTAGCCCAGAAATGATAATTTTGTTGATTGGTTTCAAAGAGTGAGAGGAAATTGTTTAAAAAATAAAGACACACCTGCCAAAAATGGCCCTATCACTGTTGCCTGACTGACTCTTATCTTTCAGGGTCACCTTCATGGCTACCGATTGGGGTGGTGGTCTGCTCTGTGCTCCCAACACACATTTGTTTCCTTCTGTCATGGCTTCTACACACGCCCTGCACCACAAGTTACCAATTTACACATTGGTCTTTCCCACTAGAACATGAACTTCTAGAAAACAGGGACTCATTTGTGGCCCACACATTTCTATGCAGCTTACACAAAGCTTAAAGAGGAGTTGGTATTCAACAACGTTGACTGATTATTTATTAAATTAAATGAAAAACAGACTCATAGCTCACTCTAAAACAATGTTTCATCATGGGGGAAGGGGAGGCTCCCTCCATGTCTGTTGTACTGAGTTCTCCATTTTTGCCCACATAATCCTCATTTGATGCTGCTCCCGGAACAATTAGGATCTACTTGCACCCCTGGGATTCTGATCAGATTCATCTCCAGAATCAGCATCTGCAGGTACCTGTATCTGTGACAGTCGTTTCTCCAAGGTCTCTTTGCTCCCGACAGTGCTCTGGGCACAGGCCAGTCTGTCTCGAACGTCTGTCACCCGGGACCACATACTCTGCAGGGCTGCCTCCAGAGCTTCATGCTCCTGCAGGGCCAGCTGGCAGTTCCGATGTCTCTCCTTGGTCATCCTGAGCAAGTTCTGGTAGCTAGTGAGGAGCTGGGAGCACAGGCGGCCTTCTTTCCCAGCACCATGGCCTTCCTCGCTGAGAAGCTGCCCTCTCTGGGAAAGCTTATCCAGAGAGTCTCTAAAAAACCAGATTTTTTTTTTAATCCCAACATTCTGGAGCACAGAGGAGTAACAAATGATTGTTGACATTGGAACAGGAACCAGACAAGAGCTCACAGCTGACGTGACTTTTAAAATGAAGATGCTGGGATGTAGCTGTTTGCTTGCCTTCTGTGTGGTCTCTCTTAGTGGTGTCAGTGTCTGTGCTGGGGCATGTGATTCAATTTATACCATGCTGCATCCAAAGAGCAGTGATGTAGCCTACCACCTCACCAGGAATTCACTCCAGAGAATGGGCCATGGCTCCCTCTCCATCTAGCAAAGTACTCTAACCATGAAAACCTTGAAATTGCCCCAATACTCTGTTGTTCTGTAGAGAGTGCTCTTTTGTGAGTGCCTCTGCTTTCTTGTTTCTTTCTTAGGTGCCCCTTAAAATGCACAGCCCCATATTCCCAAGCAATGCCCATGGCAACCCAGGATGGGGTGGAGCAGCACGTAGACCCCTTCCTGTGCCCTCTGCTCTTGTCTTGCTGTCACCTAATATTCCTGTCTGGTTCCAGAAGCAGACACTCTAGAAAACTAGGGCCACTACATTCACCTAATTCCAAGACTCAACACAATGTTGGGCAGAGCCCAACATTTGAAAGAAAAAGTTTCCTTCTCCGGCCATTGTAGGATTTCTCCTGGTTTCCTTGCTGTATCCAGAGTCCTGTGCTCAGCTTGCTTCAGAGCTAGGTGAGTAAGGTCAAGGGAAAAACAGAATCATGGTGTGGCCTGTTAGCCCATTTTATAGGCCAACAGAGCTCTGATTTCTTTTTCTGTCCTTCTTTTTCTCCTCCTCCTTCTTAACCAACCATTTACATTATTTTTAAAATCATAAATGGACAATTTATAACTATATAAATTTATAGGGTACAAAGTGACATTATGGCTTATGATGGCAGTGTAGGGTAACTAAACCAAGCTGGTTAACATATCTATTACCCTAAATATTTGGCATTCCTTTTGTGGTAAGAACATGTAAAATTCATTCTGTTAGCAATTTTCAAATACGCAAGGCTCTATTTTTAGCTATATTCACCATGCTGTTCAATAGAATGAAAGCAAACAAAGCAACCCCATATTCCTCCTGAGAGTCTGTGCCTTTCAACCTACATCTCCTTATCTTCCCCCTTAACCCCTAAGCCTCTGTAAGCACCAGTCTAGCGAGTTTGTAATTCTTAAGAGTACCTCTACCAGGGAAAAACGGAAGTGTGGAGATGTCTTAACACAAATTTCTGTGACTACTAGAAAAAGAATTTAAAGCGTTCCTTCTCCACTGTCTCTATTCTTTTGTTTCTGAGTAACTACTATGTGAATAGCATCCTGTGAGTCACCCTGAGCTACATGAAGAGTCATACAACATTCCTCCTCTTAAAGACACTTAGTACACTTAGAATATTTTGGTGAGACAAGAAGTTCCTTAAGCAAAAGTGTCAGTTAAAGAACAATTCAAGACAAAATATTTCACTTGTTACTACAAGATGAATTGCTTAGTGGATGATAAACACGCAATAAGCCTCAGGTCTGTGTACTTTCATACAGGGCGTCTCCCCAGAATATTTGAGGTATTAGGATCATTATGATGAAAAGATCCAGAGACTGGAAAGAGCAAGTGAGAGAAGCTGGTGACCCAGAGCAAGAGCCCAATTGACCAGCCTGGTACATTTGGATCATCTGAAGAAGCAGCCAGTTTGGAGGGAAAGAACGTGAGAGCCGCCTGAGGTCATTTAGCATCTAGTCCTGGCATATCAGGGAGTAAAACTTGAAGAGGGACCATGTGCTTTTCCATGTCTAAGTTATTAGAAAAACTACAGTTATTAGAAAACTACAGTTATTAGATAAATAAAGACAAAAGAAAGACAGTGAATTTGGTGATTTGGTCTTTGAGACTTTCTCCAGTGTGGGGTTAGTGTATCTATGGCAGAAGTGGATGAGAAGGATGCTAATGAGCAGCCTGTGGAGAAGAAATGAAAGTCAAATTAAGCTATTTTAAAAGCCTGCAAGAAAGAGAGGTGTGGGTTTGTTTATGTTACACTGTATCTAGACAAAAGTTATATTTCAAAAGCAAAATAAAATATGGTATCATTTTTAGAAAGTCATATGATTAGAATGATGCCATTATTTTGTTAATTCCATGAACATTTTCTACTTTTCTGGCACTATACTAGACAATGGCAACACAAATATGATAAAGACCTGAAGTCCATAAACTTGAGGAACTCAGTTGGAGGTTGGGTGCGCAGTCTTGATGAAGAGTTAACCCCATAGTGAGGGCTCCCAGGTATGGAACCAACCATCCCAGGAAAATTTTGTAACAGTTATCAAACCAGTATCTGATAAAAACTGTGGGCCTTCCTTATCCTTGGGCTCCCCATGTGCAGATTCAACCAATGATAGGTCAAATATATATTTTTTAAAATTGTGTCTGTACTAAACTTGTACAGTCTTTTTTCTTTGACATTATTCCCTGAACAATACAGTAGAACAACTATTTACATTGTAGTAGATATTGTAAGTAATCTAGAGATGATGTGAAGAACACAGGATGATGTGTGTAGGTAAAGTGAATGTAATATGCCATCCTGAATAGGGAATTGGGCATACATGGGTTTTGGTACCCACGGGTGTCTTGGAACAAATCCCCCATGGATACCAAGGGGTGGATGACTATAGTTACCTGTTTGGTCTCTGTCATTTATTTATTTTTTTGCATACTTGTTTTTCAAGATAAGGAAAATCAAGCATGTTTGACCAAAAAGAAGATTCAACAGAAATGCAAAATAGGTGAGTTTTATTCAAGTGCTGACAGCTGATCCACTTGGGTGGGCTCTATCCTTTCCTGCTTTACAGACAAGTACGCTGGCTCTTGGAGAGAGGTTAAGGAGCCCAAGTTTTTAGCCAAGCTATACCTTCTTGATGGAAAGTCTTCTATCTTCCAAAGGAAAGAAAACAACTAAAAATACCAGGAGTGGAGCATGAAGGTGATAGGTCAAAAGCACAGACAGAGAACTTTGCCCAGGAAAGGGGCAAGACATGTCTTCTCAGTAAGGAAGCAATAAAGAAGGACTGCAGAGAAGAGGAACCACAAGGAGGGTCCAACTCAATGACCACACGTTTTGCTTCATTAATAATGTTATGAGGAAGGACGGATAGGGCAATAGAACTGGAGGCTCCAAAATGTGAAGAATATATGGAAATTGAGATCTGTATCATTATTTTTTGTCTATTTCAGTGGCTGTGCATCTCTGCTTTTCTTTTCTTCATACCAGCTTTATATTTTGTTAATCCTCAAAATAATCCAATAGAGGAAGTTACAGTATTTATTATATACAATGTTTAAGGGCTAACATCAGGAGTATAGTGATAAGTGATCTGTCCAATTTCCTGAGCAGAGGGAGATGGATCCGGGATGTAAATTAACTCCTTACATCCATCTTACTCTCTCCAGAATCCCACACTTCTATAAAGAATGCCACACGATCTTTTGGATTTTAGACATTCAGAGATGAAAGAAATCATCACCGGAAACCAACCAAGCAATCACCCAATAACCAAACCAATAACCAGCCCACAAGACCAAAACAGGTTAGCAAGTGAACAACCTATTCCATCTCTACACCATACCTTGCAGCTAGTAGTTCCCCGAGAAACATTTCAACTTTATGAACTTCATTTTTCTTCTCAGGAATGTGCAGTTTACTCTCTCCCAAGTTTTCAGTGTTGAATCTTTCTTCCATCTCATGGATCCATAAGTTCAGTTTTCTGTGCTGATCCTCAAAGCTAAAGAAAAGGAAAATATCTTAGAGAAATTTTGATGTGCTGGTTATACTGGTAAATTCTAAGAGCTGAGGTCCAATGTATTTTATATAGCAATTAAGATTATATGAGTTTTCAAGTTAGAAGACAACTCAACAAGAAGCCCGTCCAAATTGTCTTATTCTAGTAACAAAGTGATGATTTAAAAAAAAATCATCATATATGTATTTTTTGGAACTACAAGAGGAAAAAAAAATACCTCTCAGCTGAATTGATTTCATAGCTGGTAATTGACTGTAAGATAATATTCTCGTGTCAACATGCACTTAACTTTTCATCTTACTATAGAGACCCTTGAATTGGGCCAGTGGGTAAGTGGGGCAGCAGAAGCCTTGGGGAAAGAAAGGAGAGTGGTTTTTGTGTCTCTGTTTCTTAGGGGAATTTGAATTTGGCACAAAAGCTGTAAATTTTGATAACAATGAACACTCTCTAAGAAACATGGACAAGATTCAGGCAAAATAACTTGGCCACCGGAAAGGCAATTCAGTCATACTGACATCCTTTGTCTCTGGGGTAATGAGAAATTTTTCTCCTTCTAGTTTCATTTTCAACCCCGCTGACATATGTTACTTGCTGCAATATAATCCACAAAATTCAGTAGTTGTTTTCTGCCATTATTCTATTCCAGGAAAAGTGGACACAAGGAAAAATCTTGAATAATTAAAAAATGGTATATCAAAGCTCTAACAATTTGTGTTAGCTTAATAGACAAAAATTATATGAAATGATGTCTTTCATATTTACTAGGAATTATAACCATTTTTCCTACATAGAAAATGATAATTTCAGAGCCTAAGCAACCCATTTTGCACTAGAATGAAGCCATACTTAAAGTAGGTCAACACTCATTACAATTTAACTCACAATTTCAAGATTCTTTTTTTTTCACATAGCATTTTATCTATGTCTTTGGATATACCTCCAGTGTGTGACAAAATCTTCATTTATCAGAATGACCTACCTTCCCAACTCTGAAACACAGTCTTGTAGAGCCTGTTTGTCCTTCAGACATTGCTTCAGAAATGCTTGAAACTCTTCATTAGCCTTTGTGATTTGCTCCTGGATGCTGCTGACAATTTGCTTAGGCAAGTATGCATACAGAGTTTGTCCTTCTTGAGTTACGGCATCAAGCTTGCTCTGCCCATCACTGACTGAGTCCAAGATATTCTGTTTTCAGGAAGCAATAATAATACTAAATATTTGCTAATATTCAAAGATCCTGGTGCATGGGACCATTCATTACAGTGCTGAGTTGGTAGAGCAAGAGAAGATAAATAAAACCTGAAGGAAAAAAAAATCTAACAAGGATAGAGTGAGAATTGGGCATGAAATCCAGCACAGTGCCAGCTAGACATGGGAACAACTCAGGACAGAGTGGGAACAATGAGTAGCTGGAAACGAGGTTTTGATTAAGGTCTCAGAGTCTCCCCATTATCAGTTGCTAACCCAGTACAGGTTCTACCTTCTCACACAGTAGTGTGACATTCTTGTAATTGATTGGCCCCTGGGGGTCCTCCCCTACCCTCTAATTCACCCTGCACAGAATGGTCCTCAGGAATGGAAACTGCCTTGCTTAGTATCAGCCCCTTCCTTGGAAGATTTGTGCATGACTGTGCTTCAACAAAGCAAAAGAAATCCGGAATTCAGGGCTAGCTGTTCCTCTTCCCTGAGCTCCAAATTGTCATTTCAATTGTGACTCCAAAATTTGTTCATGGAGTTCCACTGTGTCTCAAGCTTTAAAGGGGTCAACTCCACAACTGAATTCACCATATCTCCTGCAAAACCATTTTCCTTTCCTGTAACAATCTTCCTACCCTGATTTCTAATATAATGAGTTAGGGATATCACTTTCATCATCTTTCAAAATCCTCAGGGTCCTTGTTAATTTCAACATTATTTTTAACAATAATTAACATAGTGATTTGCTCAGACTAGCTACTTAGAAGACTTGCTCAAAACTTATTTTGAACTGATTCTTTTGTAAGGCATTTCTTAACTGCTTCATGTTGGCCGCCTTCTTCCTGAATTCATCTATTTTTTGTAGCCACTAAAATACAAATAACCTGTAATAGCCATTATTTAATTTGAATATATCCCACTCCAGGTTTAGACCACAAGTTATTTAAAAAGAAAAAAAAAGACATGGGTAATTTTTATTTATTTATTTATTTGGTACTGGGGATTGAATCCAGAGGTACTTAACCATTGAGCCACATCCCCAGCCCATTTATATTTCATTTAGAGAAAAGGTCTCACTAAGTTGCTTAGGGTCTTGCTAAATTGCTGAGGCTGGCTTGGAACTCACCATCTTCTTGCCCCTTGAGCCTTTGGGATTATAGGCGTGTGCCACTGCACCTGGCAAGCCCTGTCTTCTTAAAAAACAAACAAAACCCCTCTTAGCATGACAGTGACAGAAAATAGGTACAATTATTTGTACTTTTACTACTATGAAAATTAAAATGAGCTTTCATTTTGAATAAAATCCAAAGAATGGTTAACAGGCTGAAAATGGAGAGGAAAGGGATCTAGAAATGCTCTGGACTGGTTTTCTCAGTGCCTTTTCACGTTGCTCTGACTCAGTAAGTACAACTGTGTTAGGGAAGAAGAAAAGATGGGCTAAAATAATATGAGGTGGGCAAAGACAAGGGTCGGCTGACCTGAGGCACCTGAGCGCAACGTGGGCGGGGCGGGGGAGGGGGAGGGGTGAAGGTGCCAGGTTTCCTACCTGAAGGTCCTGGAGCTTTGCCTCTAGGACTTTGCTGTCGCCAGTCCTATCAGATGATTCCTTGGCTGCTGCTTTTGCTCCCAAAAACCATTCTTGGAATTCCCGCATAGAATCTTTTGAAAGCAACAAAAACCAGGAATAAATCACAAACACTGAATGAGGTCCCAGGATTACCACAATGAATTACCTCTGTCTTCCCTCCCATCTCACTGTGTCTCAGAAAATATTCCCGAAAAGAAAGTGATAATGTAGAAAATAATACAATACGATTTACAACCATGACTGTTCATGGCAGAGTCAGACAAGAGGCTGAAAAAGCAGTGTGTCTTCCTGGAATGCCTGACTTCCAACCTTTTTCTTTCACCTGATGAAGAACATGTCAGAGGGCAATGCTCTGGAGAGTTGGAGCTATTTGCATAGCACGGGGAAGAACCAGTTACTCCTTCCACCAAGCCAATTCAGAGAACCAGGTGCATGCACATCCCAACCTAGGCACAGCCATGCAGAAGCAGGAGCAGAAGGAGTCATGACTCTATAACGGTCACCATATGGTCTTTGCTAACTTCCAAGCTTATTGTCACTTCATTCTAGCATAAAAAAATGTCCATAGTTATTTGAACAGTGGCTGCTGACCACCTGATTTTCCACATACATAAGCCACAGGTAAAACACCCTGATGAAATTCAGAATCATCAAAATAATGGACTCCTGCTTTCCCCCAACAGAGCACTTCTGCTGCTCCACTCTCAAAGCACAAATGGATTTAAAATGGACCTTCTGCAAAATTCCCTCACACTTTTGCCTGGCAATTTCTAAGCAGCATTTGGTTTGGAATCTTTCTCCTAAATAACGGTTCATGTTAAGGCCCCTCAAAGCTCACCATTGAAATGCTTTTCCAGGGAATCCTGCAGGCTGGCCTGGGTCTTGGAGCACAACTGGCTGGCAGCTTCCTGCTTCTTTATCAGCCCTGTCATGGCCCGGCCCAGGCTCTCCAGCTCCACCGAGTGGTACTTGCGGCACAAGCTATTGAGGTTTTCCTGGGTAGAGCTGATGTTGCTCTGCTGACTTTGAAGCTCTTTTTGTATATCCTACAGAATAAAATATGACAGTATAACATATAATAAAAGTATATTCAAGAGTATTCATCACATTCAAGAGAAATACTCCAATCACGTCACCATGGTATTTTTTTTTTAAATCTGAATTTGCTGCTGCTGAAATTCACTCAGGAGTATATACATGTTGATGGGATTTAAAAAAAATAATTGTGATGATAGATATGTATTGATTCATTAATAAAATTTCTCAGTCCTCCTGGGTAACAAAGATCTCTTGATAAGTGGCCAGAATGTGGATTGTAGTCTAGGATTTCAAGCTAATTGAATAGGTCCTTATGAATTTTAGCCCATGATCTTGGCTTGAGTCACTTTTGAAAAAACTTACAAGTTCACATTCTTCAGTGGACCACTTGAGTTTTGTTTCAGGGTCACGGGCTACATGAATTGTACCAGTAGTTTAATTTAAAAATATTATGTCCTTAGCCTCAAGTATAGAAAGAAAATACACCAACAGAGAACAGGCTACTCCTATTGAGAAGGCAAATAACACACTTCCTTTACACACACTTCAAGAAAGCCCTTAGTAATATGGACAGATGACAATGAACTGGAACGTTTTCTTGCTTTTTTGGTCAAAATTGTAGCATTCTTTGGATAAAAGCAGTCACATTGACCATAAAAATGATTAAGTGATGAAAGAAACATCTAGCATTTGAGCTTAAAAATGGGTGGAAAATCAAATTGTTTCCCAATGGTCTTCATTCTTTTGCCGAAAAGTTATATATCCATAACAATATCTACACACACAAACAGAGCCTATGAATGAACCGTTCAGCAATGCATGCTTTCTGATTTTAGAAGATTCATCTTTGATTTCTTAATGCCTTCATTCAGTTCTTCACAGATTTATTACTTTGCTGTGTCCAATATTATGAATTGGTCGGTCACAGCAGTAAGATGGATGATTGAAAGCAGATGTTATATTTTTTACTACAGTCAACACAACACAGGAGTGGGAATGCTCAGTGATGGTTTTTACCTACCTTCACTTTCCTCAGCCCTTCGCAAGTCTCCGCTTGGGCGCAGCTCCTCAGCGACTCTTCCACTCTTGCCAGCCACACTGTGATGTCGTCGATAAACTTCTCCACTTGTGTACTTCGAGCAGTGAAATCCTTCAAGGTTCCTTTGGCTTCTTCTGTTATTTCTTTGGCATGCTCCAGTTTCTGCCTTAAGTCTGCTTCTATAAACTAAATACAAAGCAAGATTTCATTAAAATCTGTGAAGACCAAAGGCACACTCATTCTGCAGGAATTCTGTTAATGTGCAGCTTTGTCAAGAACACATAAGCCTCACCATGGAAGCTGCTCCAATGCTAATATGCCTCTTCCAAGAGGGAAAATTAGTGAGCATGGGGTGCCAGACATATCACGAGATGGGAAACTGGAAAGAGTAGGGACTGTGGTTAATGCTGGATGTTAAAGTGGTGGTCTGACTGAGGTTCCAGGGAACCTGTGAGCTCACTCTGAAAGCTGAGCTAGGTCTACCCAGAGTTGCGGAGGAGGCAACCAAAACCCTGCTTAGTTCTCCTAAGGAGCCCTCACACACTTCCTGTCCAAATGGAGCTCTATGCAGGGCCCACACCCTATAGGATTGTAGGATAAGGCACTTTTCTTGTTGGATCCCACTTTCCCTGTGATCCAGTGGGGCTGAAGACATTCTCTCCCAGGATGATATATTTCAGAAGAGGTGACTTCGTCAGCTCCTTAGTAAACAAAAGGACTTATAGTCACTATAAATTGCAAAATATGATTCATTCCACAATCAAGAGATTCAGGTTTGTTTGAAAATCAAAGCTTTGAATTTAAATTCAAGGCTTTATTCCTTATTCCTAGCTCAAACTTGATAAAAGCAGGAAGCCCAAAAGTGGAGAGCTCTTCTTCTCTTTCTTCACTCCATTTCCCCACCTTGAAGACTCTTGACCCCATGCAGGCTTGGGTAGCAGTAAGTGGGCATGGGGTTATGAAACATGTGACACCTGTTGTGAGCTGTCACCTGAGTTTCACACTCACTCCTTCTCTAGAAGGCCTGGTTCTGTGGGTTTTCCTGAGACTCCCTTTCTTTCTGAGACCTCCCACTAAGTTCTCGGGATGCACTAGTGTGCTCTCCTCTGCCTCCTTCCTGTCTCCTTCTTCAGCCTGTGGCCATCTCTTTAACTTGTGGATGCTGAGGTCTGCTCACCCACCAGATGGCCTTCTCAGCTAACCTAAGATGCCCTCACCTGGTGCATTCTTCCTTTTCTCTCTTTTCCTGACTCTCTTCTGGGCTGGGGATCACACTCTGGCATTCACCCCCTGCTGCCTCTTGGATGCAGGCTGCACCAGTCACTTCTCCTTCCACAGATACATTAAGTTATCCAGCCTGTATCAGGGTTTCTGGAATCTGCCAGCAGCAGGGAACAAAACCCTGTTCCCCAGGTGGGACAACTGAAATCCTCGGCCTACACTTGAGGCAAGTTAAGGCACTCCACAGCTCTTCCCTCATATACATAGGTGTGGGGTGGGGGGGCAGGTAGGCCACCTACCCATGAGCTAAGCATCCCCTCTCAGCCTTGAGTAAAGCAGGTGTCAGTCTGGCATGGCACTCCATAGCCTGTGCAAAGCAAGTGCTCTTCACCTTTGCTTGGCAAAGAAGTTTGCTTCAGCGCTGGACTTAGGCATTACCCAATGGGATTTGAAACCCCCCCTTTGAAACCTTATCCTCTGATTTATTTGGTGAAGAACATTCTATCAAACTCCTTTGTGTGTCCACCCCCATAAAAATAAAGAGATTCCAGGTGCACGCTCTCTTTCCAGTGCCTTCCAGCACCTTCCATTTTGGAAGCTGCCCCTGAAAGTCGAAAAGCTGTCCTTTCCTCGATAAGAAAATTACTTCTGTGTCCTGTGCTTTCTCACCATTTTCTTAGGTTAATGTTGCAGCCAGCTCTTCTGAACCCAGCTCATCTCATCAGTGCAGGTTGCAGGCGAGATGTGTGTGTGTGAGACAGTGTATGAGACAGAGAGAAAGAGAAGAGTAGAGCTGTAGCTTGCTCCGAAAATCCAGGCTCAGTCTTCTTTGCATAGTCCACCTGTTGCCATTGAGATCTTCAGAGGAGGTGACTACACGGCTCCTTTTTAGTTTGAATATAAGTAGCACCTCCTTTGCTTCTTAATACCAATGAAACGTCTACCCTTCTGTTCATGGGTCATCGACCCACATGGTACCAAGTTGTGGACATGCAGTCTCAAATGAGAGCAAAAGTGTGGTAGTGACTGGTTAGAGAGAAGGAGCAAGTCAAGGACAAGGGAACAAGAAGACAAGATAGAGGAAGTCCCTGAGAGCAGCAGCAAGAACGGAGGTTCAGGGGTGCAGCAGAACCCTATGCCAGGAGCCAAAGAGACCTACCAGGATGGGCTTAGGCACGGAGGTAGCCCAGGTTTCCTGGCCAGCCCTGCTCCACCCTGTCATATACCCTTGGTTCCTGTGAGTTTATGTCATTGTAAGAGTCATGTAGGGAGATTTTTTTTTAGTGATGACCCCTTCAAACCCAGTTATTGACCAAATGAATTAGGAAAATATCAATAAGATCATCAATATTCATAAAAGGGGTTCTGTTCCTGTCTAATGTAAGATGGTTCATGAGAAAAACTGGCTGATGATGCTTCCAAAATTTACGAAGGAATGAAGAACTACTCATATAATACTTGAGTTGGAAATATGACGTTAACATTGGCACAAGGAATTCTATAGACATTAATATTTAACCCCACATAAGATAAAGGCAACATGTTTACTTGAAATTATGATGATGATGGTAACACGAGGAGAGATATAATTTTTTTTTTAGAGAGGAGAATATAAGAGAGAGACTCATATACCATGATTATTACATCTGATTTGAGTGCTTACCTGAAGGTCTGGTGGTGTTTCCGGATTTTTAGTTAATTCTTTGAGTGTATTAACTTTGGAATGCAGTTCTTCCAATTTCAGTGCTTTGTTTTTAACTTCAGACTAACAACATAAAAGACACAGGGGAAAAGCACAACTAATCAGAAATGCTGATGTGCTGTAATTAGCATTTCATAATTTCAAGAACTGTCAAGATACCAACTTTAAGCTGTGTAAAAAAAGAGCCCTGTTTCATTTTCTGAGGGATGCTATTACTTATGAATGTGGAAAAAGCTCCAGTTATCATTCAGTTGGCATGTAAGGGAGTACACAAAACGTTTCCTTCTCCCTACCCTCCTTTATTAGAATAAAAGCTCCTGGAAAAAAATTAAACACTGACCACAATCCCTGAGTCAACGGGGATTTCCAATGGGCTGTCCTGTATTCGTTGAGAGGACTATTTTACCAGTTACTATGGCAGCATTAAACTCTTCCAGAAGCATTTCAAAGCAAATACACAGCAAGAGTGCCTTTGTTGTAGATAATATATAATAGATATATAATATGCAGAAACATTTCAAATAGACGTTGTCAGACTATTAAAGCAGAAATCAGATTACTTGGGACATTAACAACTGATATTTTATCCCCCCTTTTTTTCTTTTCTTTTATATTCTTTTCACAAACAACGCAGAAAAGAAAAAAGAACAATTAGGAACCATTTTTGAAAAAAAGATTCTTATAAAAACTTCATTTGTTATTTGGGACCACAAAGGAGCATTTAATAAATTATCCCTCTCAGGTTAAAAATGGCATGTTGGTGGTTTGTAGACACTAACAAACTTTCTGATGTCCTGAATTCAGAAAGTAATTTACTTACACAGTAAGATGGGGAACTGACTTTAGGGCCCTCTAGCCTCTGCAGAAGCTGGATGGGCAATTAAGGAATCCATCTACTGACCCACACTTAGCACTCTGCAGCAGGAAAGGCACTGATGAGTGATGGCCAGTTGCAGTAAACAGAGTCTGTTAGCAAGTATGCCACAGACAGTCACCTGCAAAACCACCCATCTGTAAGGGCCTGATCCTAGTCACATTGAACGTGGGTCTGAGGCACATGGGCTCCCTGGATTTCTGAGTTTGGAGATTCTAGACTGGTCTGACAACTAACTGCCTCTCCCCCTAAAAATACTGCCTTCTAGCTACAATACAATGTCACTGCACAGGGACCTGCAAGATACACACAGTGGCACATCACTCCACAGTATTGCCACCATCTCTGATATAGATGGGACAGATGTCAATAACTCAGGGACCTAGATAATAGTGATATGTAGAACAATGAGGGATGGACAAATTTTGAGTATTCATTAACTTTTTAAATAGAATTTATTTAATTGCACATTTATTTACATCCTCAATTTTAATAGTGTTAAAAGTGACTTACAAAATTCTTAAAAATTCAACAATCAACTTCTTTGAGCTGGTATAAACTGAATCCAGCACAGACCACAATTTGAGCTGTAATGTTACCATCAGCAATAGCAACTAAAGAGACCTCAGTACCCTTCACTTCTGGTTATTTTAATCTGCATAATTTCTTCCAGGTGTGATGGCCTTTAGAAATTAGATTATGAAATCTATCAAACATTGCTTGGGTCAGAGATCATGGAATAGCTTAGGTAATACTTTTCATTTGCCTATATTTTTTCAGACTGTAGCCATTCATTTACTTATCTGCCAATTCCTGGGTATGATGCCAGATACAATGCTGGGCACCAGAGTGTTCAATGGGAATATTCACTGTTGTTACCAAGAGTACAGTCAGCTATGTGCTTTGTGAAATAGATATCTTTCCTTCCTCTATTTCCTCTTATCCTGCTTTAATTTTTATCCTAGCCCAGCTAGTACTTGGCATTTCACACATAACATATATTGTAATGTAAATAATGCAAATTCCACAAAGGTAGGGACTTTGTTTACTACTAAATTTTCAGCATCTAAAACATTTCCTGATATAAGGTAGACATTCATTAATAATTTGATGAATACTGAATAAATGTATGTAATAAATGGGAATATAATGAATTTTAAACAAATTGGTTACTAAACCTTCAGAAGGCCTGAGACTTGCCTTGGAAGCCTGAGGCATCTGAATCTCCAATTTTCTTCCATTTCCAAAGAGGAAGTAGAAGAAGCAAGTACCAAACATATTAATAGCACATTGTAAGCAGGTAGTAAACATGTTTTCTTTTTCTTTTCTTGAACAACAAAAAAATAGGTACTACATATCCAAATACTTCCAATTTGGTTTTCAAATGGGAAGGTGTCACATTCTCAGAAAAATTAGAAAATTAGACATTTTATAGACTTCTGTTTTTCAATTAATATTTCAAAACAGGGCCTTAAATAAAAAATGATAGAAATGCACAAAAAATCTCTTATACAGAGCTGATTAAAATTTTTAGTAAATAGCAGAAGAGAGTTGCGAGTTTTGTAATTCTCTTATGTGTCTTTGAGAAGAACGAACTGAGAAAAGACTCCACTTTCTCACATTCAAGACAATGATGTACCCCCAGCTCCATATGTAGGCATAGTGAGTTTACCTCAAATTCTCTAAGAAATTCTTCAGTTTTGTGGCTGTTGTTCAGGTTGTTGATATTTTCAGACAGCTGTGGAAGAGAATTATTGGACCACCCCTCGATCTCATCTTTACTTGAAAGTACATCCTCCCAAATGGACAGGCCGCCCCTCAGCCTATCTATGCTTTCTTCAATTTTCTCTGATACCTAGGACAGAAAAGAGAAGCCATGTCATTGATAGTATGAGGCTTTCAAGGACTCATTCCCTGATGAATGCTTTTTTAATTAGAAAATTATATTCTCACAAAGTTTAACCAAAATTATTGTAAGCTAATTAGCACATGTGATTCAAGCAAATGCCAATCAATACATAGATTGTTTCTGTCATTTGGAGAGTTGTTTGAATTTCTGAGACACTTGATTTTCATTCATAAATTCGGATATGAATGGCTACAGGTCTATTGAAATCTACAAAAATATAACTCACTATGAGGGTTGAATTCCACAGGATTGAGGTCCATCTATTGCATTTATTGTTCAATGTAAAACAATTAGCACTATTATTTGTAATGCTGAGGAACAGGAATGGACATTAAATTTGAGCACATTTATAATATAAGGAAATACCGTTGGCAGCAACAGACTGCATATTCACAGTATTATTGCTAAATATTCTTCCTACAGCAAAGGTCTTACATCCAGCCACTTGTCCACGGTTCCTTCCATGTCTGTTTTCACCAAGGCGAAATCACTACTGTGGACTTTTTTCAGTTCAGATAACAAGTGTTTGCCTTTACTGGTAAAATTGTCCAATTCTTTCTGCTTACAATTCATTTCATTCTTGGCAGATTCATGCTGTGGACATAAATGTTTCCTTAATTAACAAAATCACCAGTGATAAGAGTTTATAGCCATTTGCTTCTGAGAAATTTAATTTATGGTTGACCTTATTCTGAAATTAGTGGTATTATTTAACTCTCTCACTCTCTCTACACACACACACACACACAGACGCACACACATACTATGTATGTGTATGTGTGTGTATGTGTATGTGTGTGTGTATGTATGTGTGTGTGTGTATATATATATATATATATATTGCTTCTTGAATTATTAGAATCCTAGGATATCAGCATTCCTAGAAAAAAAAATTGTGCTGTTAGCAGGAAGTACCTATATCTACGTGAACTGACACATAAAAAAAACTGTTCAGAGAATTGTTCTATAAGAAGCAAAACTACTCATTTGGTGGTGGTAGTATTAATGGTGGTGAAGATGGTGGTAATATTAAAATAAATGCATTTGAATTTTACCTTAGAAACAGCCCATTTAAGGTCCTCTTGATCTTTTATGGTAGTTCTGGTCACAATGACACTGCTGGCACTTTCTAGGACCTGAGACACAGTTGACTTCAAGTTCTGATACTCTCTCATCAAATCAATAAGTCCACAGCACTGACCCTGGCTATAATGATGGAAGAACATGTATCATTTAGCGGCACATTAGGAAGGACAAGAGTTCCTTAGGATTGGACCTGGTATTTCACTATGTGCAAGTATCCACGGGCAGATGCTGGAACCCAGAGAAAATCACATTTTTCCTCTGCTGTTGCTGGTTAATGCTACTTAACACTAATGTCTAATAATGTCTAATATGTTCTTTATGAATAAAGGAAGCACACGGGCATTAAAATAAAATCCGTGAACTCAATGACAAACAAGCAACAGCATATGTTGTTGACAATTCCAACTTACTTAGATTGAGTCACTCAATGTTTGTTTGTTTGTTTTTTTTTTTAATGTTTTCATGGTGTTCTAATTACTTCATAAGGGCATACATTGGGGGCAAAAAAAGAAGGAAAAGCAAAACAAAAACAAAGCAAATAAAAACACAGCTCAATAATTAAAATACTTATGAACATGAAGGTGAGATTCACTATGATATATTCATATATATACACAGGAAAGTTTGGTCAGGGTCACTGCATCTTTCCTCCCTCTTCCCATCCCTCTCCCTCCCCTTCAGTCCCCTTCCTCTGTTCCACTGATATCTCTTATGTATTTATGGTATTTTTCTCCCTTTTTTTTCTTTTCCCCTTTGGTCTAGCTTCCCATAAAAGAGAAAACACTGGATCTTTGACTTTCTAAGTCTGGCTTATTTCACTTAACATGATGTTCTCCAGTTCTGGTGACTTACTGGTAAGTAGCATAATTTTATTCATGATTTTTATGACTAATACTCTGATATATACATATATATGTATATATATTTTGTTAAATATATATAGTATATAAACATATACATATTTTATTAAATATATCACATTTTTGTTATCCATTCACCTGTTGAAGGGCACCTAAGTTGGTTCCATAGTTTGGCTACTGTGAATTGTACTGCTATAAATATTAATGTGGCTACATCCCTATAGTATGCTGATTTAAATCTTTTGGATATAAACTGAGGAATAGGGTAGCTGATCATATGGTGGTTCCATTATCAATTTTGGAGGGAATCTCCATATTGCTTTCCAGAATATGTGCATGTGTGTGGCAAATAACACAAAAACATGCTCAATATCATTAGTAATCAGGAAATATAAAATTAAAAACAATGAGATATTTCTATATATCTTTTAGGAGAATGTCAAACAAACAAATGAAAAATGCTTGACAATAGCAAGTGATAGAAATGGTGTGGAGCTTCTAGAAATCTCTGACATGCTTGAGTGCAACATGGTGCCAACATTTTGGAAAATAGTTTGGCAGTTCCTTATAAGCATATACTTGACCATGTAACACAATCCCACTTTTAAATATTTAGCCAAGTGAAATAAAATTTATGTATAAATAAAAACTTGAACATGAATGTTAATAGGTGCTTCATTTATAATCATTCAAACTGGAAGTTATCCATATACTAGTTAATGGAAAAACTGTGGAACAGCCAGTCAATGGAATATTTAGCTATTAAAAAAGAATAAAGCAAGGATATATACACAATATGTTTTGCTATGTAAAAATAAAAGTCAGACTCAAGACATTACATTCTATATGATTCCATTTCTATGTGATTTTGAAAAAAGGCGAAGCTACATATACAGATGTCTGACCAACGGTTGTGAGGAACTGGACAAAAGGAAGTGATATCAATTACAATAAGACATGAAGGATTTTTTTTTTCTTTTTTCAGGTAGGAGAACAGTAACCATGACATTTGATGATTGTACAACAGTGTGAGTGTGTCAAACTTCATAGAATTGTATATGAAAAAGGGTGAATTTTATTGTATTTAATTATAGCTCAAATGCAAACAAGTAAAATTACACAAAACAAAAAGAAAATCAGAAGTTGAGACTTATCCAAGCACTTTGTAATTGTTAATAACTACTTTTAATTTACAGTGCTAGGAATCATACCCAGGGCTTCAGACATGCTAGGGACTCTGCCACTGAGCTACAACCCAACCCTGACAACTACTTTTAAAGCATTGAATTCTGAATGTCATTATCTCAACATCCTCAGTAAAGCTCCGTAGGACAAATTTTTTAATGTTACTAAAGGGATATAGAATACCTATGAAGGTGAGCAATGCATTCAACTCATAATCCTATCATCACAAATCTCTAGGTAATGGCCTAATGTCACAAAATTATGGAGATTGAAAGTAAAACTGGGACATTTCTACTTACTTTTCATGAATTAGCTTTTTGGTATCATCCCAGGTGACTTCTAAGCGGTTTATCTCTCTGTCGACTTCAGGTGCAAAAGCTACATCCTTCTGGGCGATTTGTTTAGCTTTGTCTTTCAACCAGCATAGCTCATGTTCATGAGAATTCAATTCATCTTCTAACTGATTGAACACTCTCAACCTGTGAGTTAAAACATGGTTTCACTGCTAATCCATTAAGGCAGTGAACTAATTTTACTTTTTGTAAGCACATGATGAGTCCAGAAAGCATGCAGCTTAATAGCTGGAAAAACTTAACACAGCAAGAACATTAATGCATATCCACTGATGAAGATGCTTTTAAAGTTAAATTTGCATTATGACTTGACACTGTACCTCAGAAAACATTGAAGAGCATTGTATTTTCTTTCCATCTTCTGTTATGCTTGAATTTTCTATTTGGTTTTGGAGGTATAAGACTTTTAAGGCTAAGGCTAACCCTGTGGTCAAGGTAGGTGAATATGTATTACAAGGTCATGCAAAACAAACAAACAAACAAACAAACAAAACCTTCTGTGCATGAGGTCCAACCCAGGAGAATAATGAACATTGAAGGGTTATAGTTATTTCATTCAAAACAAAACTAGCTTTCCTGAGTTCTGTGGAAAATATCTATTTTTGAACTTAAATGTCCTACTTGATTGAAAAGATTACCATGAAAAAATGATATGTTTCTTTATCCCTAATAATATTTAGGCATTTGTAAAATGTGACCACAAAGAGGTAATTACTGGCTCATCTTCACACTGGTACCATACTGTAGAGTGTAAGGCAAGGGCACATGTGGTTCTGGATTCCCAATGTGGATTGGCTGCAGGCAGGTGTTGTCATTATGCCCACCTTGCAAGAGAGGTGCCCAAGGTGGTGGAGTGAAGCCTCAGGATGGTTGGGGTTTACCAACCATCAATTTACTGCTGCACTGTCTCAGTGTTTGTGTGTCCTTGGTGGCCTGGGGATACTGATGGGGTTCTTGAGGCCAGTCTGACCTTTCTCCTGCAGCTTTAACATTTCTGTCGGCTTGGCCTGAGTTGGCCAGAAGGTAAGGCTGCTCTTTCCTATGTGGGAAACACTAGGCACCTTGTTCTCTCTTTAAAGGCTATTTTCCCAGATCCTGTCCCCTTTTGTGAATGTATTATTAAACTAGTCACATTGCTTACTGCCCATAAGGGATATAATCAGGAGTCCAAGCTGGAGTCCTGATATTAACTCCACTGTCACCTGACTAATGCTTTTGGCTTCTTCTTTGATTTGGGGTTAAAGGGGTCAAATGCTAATGGTCTTAGCAGGGACAGCATAATTCTTAACAAAACCATGAACATCTTGGGATGCTTTTCCACTGTTTCTTGGCTCCACGAGCCCAAAAGTGGCCTTAGAAGATAAATGGGGATAAGGTTCTATTAAGAAGAAAGATGAAGATAGAAACAAAGGTAACATTAGGAAAAAAAACCCAAAAAACTCACTTGTCAAATTTACAGAAGGAACTAACCCTGATCCCTTTGCTTCTCCACTGATCTCACTGACAACCCCAGATGTGCTGAACCCTTGATTCTGCCTTCTCCATACATCTGGGCAGACTGTGAGGTGGACTGGTTTCACATCTGATGGGTGAACAAAGATCTCAGATGACTCCTACCACTTTCCTAAGCTCTTCTCTATGAGAGACAGAGAGTGCTATTTCACCCTGATTTCTCTCCTCCAACATCTGCCACCTACTGCCAGCCAATGCGTTTGCTGTGCTCTTTATTGAGGGGCTGGTGAGGCCTAGAGGGAGAAATTTGCTGATATTTTTACACCAGAACTACACTACTACTACTTGGATCTCGGTCTTCATTCTTTCTACAGAAGATGAGCTCCTTCTTCTAAAATGTCTCACAAATATATAACATGATTTCTAATCTGTCCTGGAGATACAATCTCAAAGGGGTTCAGATATCACCCACAGGGAAATTCTTGAGGAAGCCACAGAAACTTGAGTACTTCTCAACTGAATTAGCCATGAATTTTATCTTCAGAATCTTTTTGCTAACTATGGCACTATTGAAGCTTTGCACGAAAGTTCACTCCACAAGAAATGAAAAGCGGAAGGGACAGCAGGCTTCAGCGCCAGCCACTCCGAGTACCTCTGCTGAAGAGCTTGGCGGGTGGGCTCCTTCAGGCCTTCCTTGTCAGTCCTCTCTTCGATGTCCTCAATGCTTTTCAGCAGCTCCTCTCTCTGGTCTTCAAATGCTTTCTTCAACACTGCGAGTGCATCCGCCTCACTCTGCTTGGTCCCCAGAAGGCTCTGGATCCTCTCTAATTCTGCACAGAGCTGATCAGCCATGGCTCTACAGGACGTCCTTTGCTCCCCGCTCCCACTTTTCAGATGGTACTGGGCTTTGGTAAGAAGGCCATCGAGACCGATGGCAGTGGACTCCAACGCTTTAACATCCCGAATGGCGTCCCCGAGGTCCTTCTCCAACAAGTCAGACTGCTTCTTGTTCATGCTGTTGGTTGCTTCCACCGTTTGCCTCAGCTGGTGGAGAACCCCGGACAGAGAGGCGTGGGTCTGCAGGAACTCTGCCAGCTGGGACAGGGCAAGCTGCCTCCTCTCTACCACCTGATTGGCCTCCTCGAAGAGCTGCAGGCAGTCCTCCGCCTTGCCCTGGAGCAGATGGAGGTCCTCAGCATGGCCCAAAGACCCCAGCTTTGCCAAGTGACCCTGCAGACTCTGCAGCTCTCCCTTTTTGTTCTCTATTTCTGTTGCATGATCCTGGAAGACAAGAGAGAGTTGCTGAATCCTCAGGTATACTGGAGTCCATGAGTCACAGAAGCAGGATTCATGAGGTTAAGTTGGATTTTAGATGCCATGGATAGCATAATGCTTAAAGGTCATCTACAATGAGTCTTTAAGAAACATTCACAGATTTTCCCATTTTGTTCATCCATATATGTCATATATAAAATATATATATATACATATATATATAAAAATTATGTGAGTCTGCCATATAGGATATTGGACTAGCTCACAAGAAACCACATTGAAAATCTAGCAGAAAACTGCGAACAATCTCAGCATGGTTCCCATTCATGAGAAATTTTATCCTAATTTCTGTCCTAATCCTGACCACAAGGACCTTACAGCTGCCCCTGTCTGATGATGAAACTGAGAGAGTTCTCTAACCCAGGTTCCTGAACTGTCTTTTCTTAGAGCATTTGCCTTACAAATCATAAATTCATTCTTTGTCCCATTGAGATTCACCTTTTCAAGTCTGATCAGTTTTACAACCCAGGATTGTCTTTCTCAAGGACATTCCTCCTTTGAAATAAAATCATCCCAGAAGGCAGAACCTCTCTTCCAGTCTCCTTGGAGGGAGAAGCCTGACTTTGGTACATTCTTCCAAGTTGCAGAACTACCTCCTGTCCCAAGGACAGATGTGTGTTCTTTGTAAGGCCAAACAGCAAAACTCGGCAAGGAGTAAACACCCAATAAATACTAAACATTTTATTATCAAATTTTATTTTAAGTGTATTATGTAATTCTTCTCCACTCTCCCCATGCTTGAAAATCAATATCCTGATTTTAAATTTTTTTTGGTGCCAGGATAGACACAACACATAATTTATAAATAAGGAAAATAAGCCATGAATTTTTAAACACTTTCAAGCTAAATAGTAATTCAGAACAACTTTATCATTAAAGCATTGAAATCTGTATTAATTTTTAGTACAGGAACAAAAACGAATTCAAAAGCTTAAAAATGAACATTCTTATCACTTTAAGCTACAAATAATTTGCTCCACTATGAATAAACAGTTTCTTGTTGTAGTTCCCTATTCTATCTTGAAGGGGTTTTATCTGCTTAATTTACCTGTGTAAGAAATTGGCAGGACCCATATACTCGATTATTAAAACATTTTCATATGAATGAAAAGTTAGATTACTGCCACATATTTTCCTTTGTAATTCAAGAACTCTCCCTTGTGAACAAATTTTTCTTCAATCTTTTTTATTTCTTTTGAGAACTTACCCTAAGTGACTCCATTTTATTACTATTATTATGATTTTGTGGTGCTGAGGATTGACCCCAGGGCCTTGTGCATGTAAAGCAAGCACTCTACCAACTGAGCTACGTCCCCAGCCCCCCCCCCCCTTTTTTTTAATCCTAACAGATTTACCTTCTGCCGAGTAAAAGCTACTTGATGGTCCATGATGCTTATCTCAGAAGTAGATTGTAATTCACTGAGAAATGCTTTGATCCAGACAGAAACAGAAAGCAGCAGCTCATCAAATTGCTGGTGTTCAGCAACCACAGACTGAAGAAAATTAATCCTATGTGGAGAAAGGGGTTAAAGTTAAAATGTTCCATTAGTGAGCAGAATGGGTTAAGGACGGATTTTGGAAATGAAGCCTACCCCATGATGATGTCTTACATGGACAAGCTGGACCTGTGGATAGTTCCTTCTTCCAAAGTCCTGCTTTCCTCACAGTTTTCTCTGTCTCAATTAATATTGCTACCACCCACCCTGATGGTCCCCCCATTCCTCACCACCACATCTTACCTGTGCACAGTGGGTCCCACATGCTCCACCAGATATACTGATGCTTTGCTCTTCTCCTTTCCACTATGCTCATCCTGGCCTGAGTTTCTGAGTCTCTTGTTTAAGCTGGCCTCTTTCCTGACACCTTTGCTTCCCTACTGTCCACTCTCTAGACTAGTCAGAAACGGTGTCATGGGATCAGAACAATCCCTGTCATGTGTCTATACTGGAGCAGTTTCCTGTTGTACTTGGGAGGTCATCCCCCAGGACTCCGTACTGTGGTCCCAAGGGATCCCACGTACTTGCTCCTCTGGCCTCATCTGATGCAACGATGTCCTGCACTCCCTCTGACCTCCTGTCTGTTGCCCACTATACCCACTTATTTCTCCTTGGAGCCTTGGGCCATTTGCTGCCTCTGCCTATGTCCTCTTGTTCTCTGCTGGCCAATAACAGGTATAGGAGATGAGAATCCCAAACTGGGATCCCAAACATAATATTACAATCAAATATTCATTACAATGGTTTGTATCCGGAGATCAACCTTTTACTATTTCAAATTTTTATCAAAATTTTTACACATATTAATTGTACATATTAGAGAGCTCAACTTTTTAACTTTCATATTCTAATCCTTGCAAATTTTTCTACACATTACAGGAATTCATCATATTCTAAAAAAGTCACACATTTGTATTATTAGCTTAAAAGTCCTTTATTTTCCCTCTGAGAGCAGACAGACCCTGCTCATTTTTAAAGAAAATTTCTCATCTTTCGAGAGTTGACCTCACTTCCTTTGTGGGCCAGTTCAAATGTCCCTCTTTTTCATTCCTTGAATACTCCATGCTCACTTCTCTCAATGGTTTTCTTGTTGTTCCCACACTAATCTATAAAATACCTGAGTTCAGGCTTTGCTTTTTTCTATGGCACCAGCCTCCAATACAGTGCCTGGCAATCAGCAGATACCCAATAGGCATTTGTTGATTGATTGAACAAATGAGTAAGCAATGGAATAAATATAAGCTCCATGAAAGTGGAGTGATCCACAGCAAATTGAAGGGTGCTCTACTCATTCAGAAACTAAATAAATATGTGCTGAATAAATGAATTTTTAAAATGGTCAGAATGGTTAAATGCTTATCCAAGATTCACATCATCATATGGGTAATCAATATCAATTTAAAGACAAAATCTGTTCTCTTTTTAATTAGAAAGATAAATGAAAATTGCTGATCATCTAGTTAATTAAGATTTAATCCACTTTTGCCTCCATTTAATATATGAACAGTTTCCCTCATTCTCTCCAAAGATCAATATTGAAATGAAATGATGTGTACAAAATGCCTCTGGCTGAGAAATATCACAGGAGGCAAAATTTTAATTACCATTTTCTTTTCTTATGCAAATAGCTCAATCAACAAATAATATACACACTAGCAAAAAAAAAAAATCACTAGCAACCCTTCACTCTTCAATATATTTCAACTAGTTTACTCATTTTCCCATGCAGGTAAAACTAAATCTTTGAATTGAGGTTCACTGGCAATGCTTATTTTAAGGACATTGAGTTTTAAAATGACAGTTTTCTTCCACTGCCTGGTAACAATCCCCTGATGGCTGAGTTAAATAAAATAAAATTATGGCTTTTTAAAATTTATGTTCACCATTCAAAATAAATGAACACTATTAAGACTTTTTAGAACCAACCTCTTCCCAATTATCTGTGGTAGGTCTCTCCACCTCTCGTCCAGCTGCTCCAAATGTACTCTGATCATTTTTACATCTTCCTTGGAGGTGACTGAGAAGAGTGACTCCTTCAACTGCAAGAGGCTGCTGTAGGAGGAGGCCTGAGACACCACTTCACCCTGTAGGGCCTGGGAAAGCAGAACACGTTACAGACCTCCCCATGAGAGGACAGGATGGGGAGGGCCCTGCAACAGAAGGTGGCCACTGCAGGTACATTCTTGCAAAACGGAGGTCATTAAGGCCAAGACAGTTACTACTACTTGACTGAGCGATGGATTCACTTGACCATCACTGAAATTTTTTAAATGCTACTGAAACCTAAATGAGTTTTCTGGAGTCTGAGTTATAAGTTAGGCAAAATTGAAAGCTGAGGAACAAAGAAACTGAGGAAGCAAAAAGAATCACAGAAAAAGTATGGTGGATAAGAACCAAAGAACATCTAACAAAAACAGATGCAATTCTAGGCACCAGGAACATGGTGTCTCTCTCTGTTTAGAGACCACATTAGGCCAAATTGTGGGGCTGAAGAGCTCTTATTTAACTTGCATGAACAAAACTGCCTATTTTAAAATTGAATTAACAAAGACTCATATAGATAGAGAACAACACAAAGAGGTGTTAATGAGATGACATGGGTAGTACATATGACAGCACATAGTAGATGCTTATCAAAATGCTTTTTTCCCTTCCTAGCGGAGCCCAGTATATTATAAAAGGAAAACTGCTATATGTACATATCAGAAGAGAATCAGCCTATGAATGACAGGGAAGACCCCAAAGCAGAATGGGAACACATGCTAGTAGTATACAGGAAAGAAGGGGCCCAGGATGGCCAGGAGGTGGGAATGAATGTTCATGGTCAGCCCATAGTACACAGTGTGTGGACAAGGGAGTGACAGAGGCCTAGAGCCCCTCTCAGCCCTCTCATGCACAGCACTTAGATTCCACATGGAGACACCGAGGAGTCCAACTCAATGTACTGGGACATCTTCATGTCTATGCTTTGCTATTTTTAAGGAGAGGAGCTGTGACTTAGCTTCTTGGACTATCTTATATATACCTAAGGAACCAGACTGATTGTCCTTGTGCTCAGGGTAGCCACTGTAGGTTTCTGAGAAGGGACTTTCCAGGAGATGAATGCAGAGCATCCATGTTTTTTAAGCTGGAAAGGGGGAGAGAATGGGGGTATGGCCCCCTCAAAGTCAAGGAAGGATAAGAGCTGAAGATGGGCAATAGATTCAGATGCCACAGATTCCTCTGATGGAATTTTTTTTTCTTTGTGTACTGGGGATTGAACCCAGGGGCACTTAACCACTGAGCCTCATCCCAGTCCTTTTTGTTCTCTATTTAGAGACAGGGTCTTTCTGAGTTGCTCAGGGCCTCACTATGTTGCTGGCACTGGCTTTGAACTGCAATCCTCCTGCCTCAGCCTCCCGAGCTACTGGGATTACAGGCGTGCACTACCATGCCCAGCCCTCTGATGGAACTATTATTTTTTAAATTTTTAATTTGTTATATGCCCTAATGGAATTATAAGAGAATAAATTATAAAAATGAAGAGAACCCAGCTCTATCCTAAACTTGTGATAAAAGGTGATGGAGAAAATTGGGATATAAATCTATAATACAATCAATCTCTGTTAAGCAGCAATTTGCCTATTGAATTTTGGGCATAGACAAATATCACTTCAAGTAATTTATTTATCTACAAAAATCAGTAATGTTGACTGGCTTCATTAGTGCCATGTGATTTTTTTTTTAAGTTTCAAAAGTTGTCTTCAAAGTTGTGATAAGCTATTATTCTTTGTCTTTCTACCTATTATCCATGTTTGATATCACTGATATTATTTATCTTGCTTGAAAATAATCATGGCTGTTGATTTCTTTCAGCATTATTTCTCTCTTTATTAGTGATTTTCTATTACTGAAAATTCTTATAAATAAATATGAAAATGGAGAGATTATACCTTGTACCAGTTTTGGAGATTACTGACTGATAGTCAACCTCATTCCATATACTTCTCTGGCCATCCTTCTCACAACTCCCCTGGCACACCAGCTTTATTCCCATCCCAGACATTATATTGCAGGATTTTCTCATGCACCATGGAACTAGGTCACCACAGAATTCCACCTGCCATTCCCTCGTCTCTCAAGTCAGGGTTGTAATCTTCTTTTCAGGATACATACCTTGATGTCACATGAGGCTCCAGGGATCACAAAACCAAAGCAAGAAGTTTGGGATAGAGATCTCTTTTCTTTGTTTGTTTTTTTATTCTTTTGTGGTGTTCAGGATGGAGCCTCAGGTCTCCTGCGTGCTAGGCAAGCCCTCTACCACTGAGCTATATCCCCAGCCCTTATCTTATTAATTTATTTTTAAATAACACAACTGTGACAAAGAGCACTTCATTTTCCTTCCTTGCATTTCCTTGAACTTGCCTGTATTAATTGAAGTTCACCCTCCACTTTGACTCTGTCTGCAGACATGCCCATTTCTGGGGAACTGGCCATGGCTTCACATCGCTCTAACCAGGTCAAAAAGGATGACAGTTCTTTCTCGAGCCTAAAGAAAGCAGAGGAAAGGAACACATTCATCCAAAATCATCATGCCAGAAGACTAAACCTTTCTGAGGTCAGAGGGCCAATGCGAACCATTATAAACAATGCAAAATAGTCTTTGTCATCCTTGCATGTGAGGGACAAAAAGCAGTATGTGTGGATTGCACCACTTAAAACTGTGTAAATAAAATGTGATATATATACACACAACGGAATATTACTCAGCCTTAAAGAAGAATGAAATTATGGCATTTACAGGTATATGGATGGAGTTGGAGAATACCATGCTCAAAGAAAAAAGCCAATCCCCAAAACCGAAGGCCAGACGTTTTCTCTGATATGAGGATGCTAATTCACAATAAGGGGGCTGGTGCTAGGGAAGAATAGAGTTACTTTGAATTGGGCAGAGGGGAGTGAGGGGAGGGGGGTGTGGGGGTGGGAAGGATGGTGGAATGAGATGGACATTATTACTCTATGTACATGTATAATTGCACGAACGGTGTGCTCTGCATCGTGTACAGCCAGAGAAATGAGAAGTTGTGCTCCATGTATGTACAATGTATCACTAATTAGAACAACAACAACAACAAACTGTGTAATGTGTAAACATATAGACTCTTCACTCCTGGACCTTCACCTCCCTATGGGAGGTCCTGTAGTTTTATATCTGGAATGCTAATTCCTCATCACTTAAAGACAGTCCATAAAGCATTGCATGTTTAAGAGTGGCAGTATCTCAAGAAGACACCCTGCTCACCTCTGCCAGTGGGCCAGAAGGTCCTCCAGCGCAGTCTGTCTCTCCTTAGCCTTCCGGAGGGTCCCCTCATAACGTTGTTGCAGAGCAGCCGCTTCCTGCAGGCAGGATTCTCTGTGCACCACCTTCCGGGCACTGGCAGAGAGGGCAGTCACTGTGCTGCTCAGGGACTCCAGGGCCTGACAGAGATCCTGAGGAGAGTGCAAAGAGAATAGGGCTGTGCCCCCAATTCCCAGGAGATAGGTTCCTGGATGGTCTGCAGATGCCTGAGACCATGGAGAGAGCCAGACCCTGATGATGCTATGCTCTTTCCTATGCCTCTATACCTGTGCAAAGTTTAATTTTAAAAGTTGACACAATAAGAAATGAGCAATAACAAAATTAAACAGCTACAACAATCCACTGTAATAAAAATTATTTAAACTGAAATTATTATTTCTGGTAGCTTCCATTTAGTAGTTTTGGCTGTGGGTATCGACAGGTAACTGACATCACAGAAAGTGAAACTTTGGATGGGAGACTGCTGAACATCAGAGGCAACCGACTAAAAGTCAAGACCTGGGTTTCCTTTTTAAGACCCGTCACCATGAAACATTTTCCCTCCATCATCATAAATGGCAATGGTACTAAAAAATATCTGCTATGATTTGCAGCAAGACTTGGTGAAAATGAGGGAGTGACTTCATGGATGTCAAAGTCAAAGGTGGGAGGAGATTTTCTCTAATAAGAATGCGCTGCTATAGATTGGAATAAATTTCACATTCCCCAACAATTCAGAATGTTTGTGAAAATCATTTATTTTATGCTAAATATGTCAGTCTTTTAAATTCAATTCTTAATTTATAATCACTACATGTAACATGCTATATCATCCATAAAAAAACCACATGGAAAGAAGCCAGGCACAGTGTGAACCAGTGTGAACAGCTACTCTGGAGGTTGAGGCAGGAGGATCACTTGAACCAAGGAGTTTGAGACCAACCTGGGCAACATAGTAAAACTCTCTCTCTCTCTCTCTCTCTCTCTCTCTCTATATATATATATATATATATATATGTGTGTGTGTGTGTATTTCAGATATTTGTTTTTGTAGACAAGTATGTTTACTTAAAAAGATACCCTACACACAGAGAGAAAGAGTTATGGCTGAGTTAGGATTCAATGGTGATAATAATAAGACACCTCAGAATGGGACAGATAGTGTGCTGTGCTATGAACACTATAGGTATTAACTTATTTAATCTTCCTAAGAACCCTAAGAGGATGTCCTTTCATTATCTCTCATTTTACAGAATAGAAAACCAACTTGCTTTAGGAAATCTAAGTATTAGAAAAAAATAGAATGCCATCCTCTCCAGCACTCTGTTATCAATTTAGTTGTGTACTGGAGTAATTTCATTAAATTGGATTTTCTTTTCGTCATTTTTAAGTATTTTTAAAAATTGGGTAAGTATTATAAATGCATTCTCATTACATCAAACAATATAAATCCCACTCCCCTTTCCAGATGTGCCTTGTCAATCATTTGCTTTCTGTCATTGCAGCTCCTTGTCCATATTTATATATATATATGATCACATGCATATGAAGTAGGGATGATATTTGTATTTTGTTTATTCTTAACCTGCTTCATTTTATCATTTCTTTGAACATGTATCTTCCTCTTTGCTCCTTACCCCTAATCCTTCCAATGCCATATGTTTGTAGCCTTGCCAAAGATTTGACAATGATCACCGCAAAGACCAGATTTTAAAAGCCAGTTGTTGGAAACAGGTCACTGAGGACATATGTATAACACCTGAATATAACAGGTTGAAATATGAAATCTGTGGTGCACATGAAAATCATTTATTTTATGCTAAATATGTCAGTCTTTTAAATTCAATTCTTAATTTATAATCACTACATGTAACATGCTATATCATCTTTTTGCACACTTGATTTTCTATAATGCTGGCAAGAAGTAAAGGTTTTATTAAAACTATTATCTGAAAATATTAGTAAAAGAGAAATATCTTAGTAAAAGAGAAATATCTCTTAATTGAATATTCATTTTATATATATTTTAGTGAAAATTTACTGGCATACTTACATTTCTTGTGTTATATGAAGTGGATACATTTAATATCTTATTCCTTAACATAATTTTTCCATTTTTAACTCTCCTAAAAATATTTACTGTTTTCTTTTTAAGCTGGAGTTATCAAATTTGAGAGTGGATAAATCAGCAGAATTGTGCATGCATGCTCTTACCATATGTTCTTGGAGAACTCTGTATGTTTCTGTAGCCGAAGAACATATTTTAATTGGATCATTAAGTTTGTCTTCAAATTCAGACACAGACTGCTGGATCTGAAAAAAAAAAAAGGTGAAATATAATAATGTTGGGAAAAATACACATTGAGAAAGCAGTTGAGAAAGAAAGTTACTGAGACAGTATCGTACCTACCATCTATGGATAACTTCCAATATGATAACAAATGAATTTTTAAAAATCTAAAGTCAATGTGTCCTATTATTTGAAAGGAAACTAATTAAGCCTTAATGATGATCTGAACATAATGTATAGTGACATTTACAGGCTCATTGTACCTATATAAATATCTGTGTGTGTATGTTTGTGTAGACATATATGTTTACTTAAAAACATACCTTATAAACAATTGTGAATTTAGTTCATAACTGACAACTTGACAATCCTGACAACTTGGTAGACAATTGGAAAGTTGTTTTTTCTTCATTACACTATTTAAGGAGTTTTTGCTTCATTTTTCTATAAACGCAATGCAAAATGTGTAACTTTAGCCTGCATGTATTCTTACCTTTTGAAGATCGTCTTCAAACTTTTGCTGCTGAGACAAATGCCCCAGGACTGTTCCTTCAAGGCACTGAGCATGCTCTCGGAGCTCTTCCCAGTATCTTCTTATCTGTGTCAACTTGGCTTTGATTCGAGCAGATTCCCCAGTGGTAATAAACTGAGCAAAAGACTGAGCTTCTTCTTCTAACCCTGTAATGCTGCTGATCTGACTCTCAATCTCCTGGATTGTCACCTAATATTTAAAAAAAGAAAATGACAATGCAACTGAGTAAACTTGCCTTCCTGAGACGATAAAATTACCTACAAGGAAAAATAGAAAATTTCCTTAAGCGACATCTAAACATGCTTGGAGGGGGTGGTTGGAGAGGTGAACCAGCACCTTGCTTCCTGACTATTTGAGGAGGACGCGCACACAGACAGTGTCTGCAGCACACACCACTCTGTGGTGGCTGTGTTCACTGGAGAGGGAATAAAGAGAAATGCTGCTCCTGCTTGCAGTGAGATTAGCAAGAGGATATCGCTGCACCTTTTACACTATCTCCAAACACACAGAGACTTATCTGCTTACTCACTGATCAAGCACTTAAATCAATTGATTTGGGGAAACCATGTGTTCTAGGAATTCATAGGAACACTAATATTGGCATTCGATTACTTTTTCTAAAATGTTGTTGAGTATTTCATGATTTACTAACACCAAGTTTTTCTGATTGCACTCCTACTTGGAGCTAGTCTTTCCTAATCTATCCCCTGTGTTGCATGCCCGTGTTTTCCAAATATAGAATGAATTAGGACACTTGACTCCCATCCTCAGGGATCAGACATGCTAAGAAGGACCCAAGATTTGTGATCAGTTCCCATGGGCTGCTGTTGCTGCTGCTATGAGAACCACCACTTTCTTCAAAAGCTATGCACTCTTTTCAGGAAAAACTGCATACTATCATTTTAATTTGAAGCAGAAAGGATATTTTACATATAACCCAATGCATAGAATGTACCAATGGCTACTAAAAATGTGCATGCATATGTGTATGGACCCAGGGGAAGGTGTCTCTCATAAACATTGGGCTTATTCATGTGTGAAACAATGAAATTTCTTTCTCTGAGGAAAAGGGCCACACTTGTCCAATAAACATAATGCCCAAAAACTCAAGTTTCAATTACAAATAACTTAAATGGAAAATACTGTTATGGGGGGGTGGGGAGGGGAATAAATTTGTGATTTCTAAGTGAGGCAATCAGAAATAAATTACATAGGATTGTCAGGTAGGCACCACCATTTATTCATTTTATTTTTCATATGTATGGTATATCTAATAAATATTTGAGCATTAATGCAATCTTTCTTTTTGCTGATTTCTAAGATTATCTTACAAAATTTACTCATCAATTCAACAAATAAGTGTTGAGTGTCCTCTAAGCACTAATAATTCTTCTGGGTGCTTACAACACTACTTGCTTAAGAACTAAGAAAGTTCTTAGTTATTGGACTAATCCATGTCAACAACAAAATCATAAATGGAAACCAATCACATTGTAATAAATAGAAATTCCATCCAAGAAAAGTTGGAAGATGAATCTAGCATATGTTCTTATCATTTACCAATATCAGGAGCAGCGTGGAATGATGAACACGAATCAGCTCACAACATTTATCTTCACAGCAATAAAAATGCTTAATTTTAATCTTAAGATTATTTTAAGATGAGAAAACTATAACAAGTTTTACATTTATTATTTATTTATCATTTCCTATAGTATAGCCTTCTGTTGGGAAACAGAATATGAGCCTATTAAGCCAAATTTCATAGATCTTTCCACTCTATTTTTGCTTATTTGTAGCAGATATTTTTTCCTGATATTGACATTTTAAAATATATTTTAGGTCATTTTCAAAATGCCATTTTGGACATATTAAAATGTATTTCTAGTCTGATGGTAAGAAAATCCACAAGTTACTGTTTATGTATTTAAAAATAAAATATGTAATTTTCATTTTTCCTGGAGAATAGCAAGATGATATTTGATCATTGATGTATTTCATAAGTTCTGGAATATAAATTAAAATAGCAAGGAAGGAATTATTAAAAGGATAAAAAATCTGTTAATTTTTTAAAGGGGAAATTTTGGGGACAGAACTACTTAAATGTAATATGCTCTTTTTCTAATCCACCACAGAAGACACGGCAGGCTGTGCGTGTGCCACACCATGTGTGCTTGATTGCAAAAGATGTACGATGAGCAGGGGTGATTTGTTCCACCTGTGATCTTAGCTAAGTGACATTGCACCCTCCCACCTTGCACATGGTAATAACTTGTTCTGAGCCATAGTGTGAAATGTTTCCTCACCTCGGTATTTATTTTACTATATTTAATAGAATGAAACTTCAAAGCGTTTTCCAATTCCAAAAAGAAAAAAATAAAATGAGATAAAAAGTGCCTGAATTTTAAAAATGTGTGTTGTGGAGTTACATAAAAGAAAGAACCATAAATGAGCACTGCAAGCCCACATCTTTCAGCTCATTTCTCTTAAACTGAGTGAAGTGTTTGATGATAATCTAATCACATGTTTATCTTGGAGCTTGGAGAGCTACTGTAACAGAACATCTCCATCCGCACCCAAGGTTATAAAGGAATACATTACAGCCACCAGGTCTGATTGCTTCACCTACAGAATGTAGTGTTTTGAGCTCCCCCTTGTGGTCAGTGAGGGTAAACACCATTAATACTAATTACAACAATCCAAGTAGTTCTTAAAAAGTAATTGTAGATGATGGATACACGTCATATTTTATAAGAGAATCAAGAGAGCGCTCCATTGAGGTTAATGCAAAATCAAGAAAAAGAATAATGTAACCATAAAAATATTTTAATGATATTGCACACAATATTGATTTTGAATGCATAGGTCTGACAATATTAATACACAATTCCATGTATAAAGTATTACCCAGCGTCAGTCAAGATCTCTTAGCTTGGTTGGCATTTTGTGTGAACTTAATTTTAATTGAGTCACAGAGCAATGAAAAATTTGTCTCAGGACCAAATAGGTTTTGGTGAAATAAATGTAAGAAAGAGATCTTAAAAGCTAGACATAGATTATTAATGTAACATCCGAGCAGGTCACCTTAATTTGGCTGATCTGCATGTCCATGGCAGAGGATGAAGTTTCCAAGGCATTGAGTTCTTTCTCTTTTTCAGTTATCCAGACGGACAGGTTCTCAAAATTACTGCCAAAATGATCCCACTTGTTTTTCACCATTTCCATGGTTTTAATACTAAAATTAACCAAATTAAGTAAAAAAAATGTAATATTTTAACAGAGAACAACAACACCAGGTGAAAAGATAGTGAAGACATTTGTGACTATTTCAAAGTTGGAAATATTTGAGGAGGAAAAAATGTACACTTGATCTGAGTAGTCAGGTCTCAAGTCTTCCTATCTCTTCTGAGAATGAGCTCTTAAGGAGGCATCATCGAGGCTGCTACAAACGCAATCGCATTTTGAACAAAATATTGCTGAGTACAAGGGGGTCAAATCAGGTATAATCTAATTAAATGCTGCATGTGACCAGCACTTGCCAAGACTTATTTCAATAAACTATGATCCCAGTGTACATCATTTTTTAACAGTCCTGTTTTCAAGGACACGTTCCTCTTTCCTGTAAAGGAGAGATTCCACCATAATGCTTTATACTAAAAGATCTTTAGGAGATGTGTCCTATGAATCAAGGTAGCACTTGTGGTCTGAACCCTTGCTGCCAGGCGGGAACTGCTGCCTTTATTACAGCTACGCCTTTTGATTTAAAATCTAGAATGATTTCAGCGATTCATACATGTTTTATGGTCCTAATTCTAAAAGACTTTCATAAGCTCTTTTTCATGAGCACCCTGCTTTTAGACTACATAAGTGTTATATGTAACAAGATTTCAACTATAGATTTTATTTGTATTAGCTACACCTATATAACCAAGTGAATATGGCTTTCAGATTAAAAAAAAGAGTAGGAAACTAAAAGCATATCATTGAATTTATAAGTCCTTGGGTTAAAAAAAAAAGAAAAAAGCAAATAACATCCCTGTTTACCCAAAGGCACTTGAAGACATGAATAAAAAAGCAATGGCATCATTGATTGTCAAATTAAATGGTATTGCAATCTTAAATTTATTCCCTGGGTATGCCTAATGCTCTTAGCAGTATAGAAAATATACACTATGTTATGTTGCAAGATTTTAAATAAGATTCAAATGGGAATTCTTAATAGAAGTAGTTTCTTTTCTAGTAAACTCTAAGTTTTACTATTTCTATTACTTGATGGAAGATATTTAATATAAAGTCCTCAAAATGTTTCAAGTTATATTTGTTTCAGATAAAATATTTATCATTTTTTAAAGTTTGGGCAAATGTAAAATGTCAATTTCAAGGTGTTAATATTATAAAAAAACAATTTTTACATTTAAAATCCACCTTAGAAAGATGTCCTATTTCTTAAGAATAATAGATTATGTGTCCTTAATTTGAAACTACACAGAAGTATTTAGCCATATAATTTGGGGGAATATTGGACATATCCTCATAAGTTTATCCCCTGCAAACTTTTAAAAATATGTTGTTATCTATAGCAGGATATTAATAGGTTCAACTGCTATTTGTTTCTTTTCACATAAAGTAACATTAATGTTTAAAAATAAAATAGATTTTTAAAGTTAATTTCTGAAAAAGCATGTCAGACAGTGACAATTTGAATCCCGAGGCACTGTAAGTAAGCTTATGAGCTTTGAATTGGAGACATTTGGTCTATGTGATGTGTGTTTAGGCCTAGATCTACACTACCGAAATATCTCCCCTTCCTTCTAACTGGTGACAGCAGAATAATAGAGTTTTAAAAAAGTAAAATATTGGCATTTTCTCTAGATTTTGTCTACAATGTACAAAGGCCACAGAATGGAATCAATATGGCTTTCTTGTGAACAAAATCAGTTTAAGATGTTAATGCCACATCCCTTACATATTTTTGTTTTGTTACAGATACTGGTTCCTGTGTTGAGGATACTTTCTTTTGAACTGTGAATCATATCTCAAGACATGCTGAAATACACAGACACTTTGAGATCTTAAAAGACGGTTTTAAAAACAAGACACAGGGAAGACTGCATTAAGCTTTATCTCAGAGAAGAAAGCTTAGGACTGGTGAAGCACATACTCTTCTTCAAGCGTGTCTTCTAGTTTTTTGACCTGCTCTTTGATTGACGCAGCCTGTTGCTGAAGCAATTGCTTATTCTTGGGCCCCAGTGGTATCTCTGAAGCTTCCTTAACCAGGTTCTCAGCCTGGATTGCAATACTTTCTGTCCGCTTAGAAAATTCCTAGGAGAAAGATATTAGAGCCATTAGGTCCACATTTTATACTCTTTAACCCTGTCCTCAAGGAAATTGCAATATTGTGCATAGTCTTCCCCAGAATAGAGGGGCAGCTGGCTGGCAGGATTTATACATAAATAGATTTATGTAGTTCTGAACAATAAAACTGATTTTTAAATGGTCAATTTAGACACTTCACTATTTTTTCTCTATCTTATATAAACAACCAGTTCTATCTTCACAGTTACCCAGCAGTCCTCTTAGAAAATTTTTTCTCCCTTATTTCCTCCTTTGACTTATTGTTTAGAATTCTGAGCTATATTATAGTAGTTAACTTATCCATACGTATGTTGATTTATTACAGGCCAGCTCACAAAATGATCAACAGTGATCAGTTCTTCAATCATACAGATAATAACTTGTTAATACAATTGAGGAAAATCTCAAACAACGCAGAATACCAGTGATCTTTCCTGTCCAGAAACGCCAGAAAGGTTTTGTTTACTAGTTCCCTGAAAAGAGATATAATCTGATCTCAATGCTGTTAAATCTTATTTTTTTTCCAATGCATATGCAACATGACAGAAAGAAGGTGAGTTTTCAACCCTTCAAATCTGGGCTAGAATCCCAGATGTGCTAATCACTGGTTGTTTTTCCATGTAAATGCAAATGATTGTGCTTGTCTTGAAAGGGTACTCTCAGCATTCCATTAGCAAATTCATTTTTAAGTACCCTACACTCTGGCAGGTACCAATTATCATTTTTATGTCCTTCATATAAAATTGAAGAAAATGGTTTATTAATTCTATTCAGGGATTGTTCAATGATTCTGAGCTATTTTAATTAAAAAGTTAATTTAATATGCATGAGGCCCTGGTAAACTTTAGATGTTTTCTGAATTTTGTCAGGTAAATAATGTGGAATACTAGATTAAAGAAGGTAAATACAGTGATAATCTTGAATGAAGAAAATCAGTGTCTCAATTCTTCTCATGTAAGAAAAACTCACAGGAGCTTTATAATTTTGATCATCAACTTACCTTCCTAAATAGGTAATGTAGAAAACCAACATAAATATTTGTAAAAAGTCAGATTTTTCACCCAGCATCTCCCAGAATGATTATAAAACGATAGTTACAACACAACAAATCCCACATTACCTACAACCATAATGCACCAATAAAAAACGTGGAAAAAAGTTACTACTAAATACTATTTAAGCTTCCTATTTAAAAGATGTATTGTCCTCACAGAAATAACAATGTCACTTCACATAAGTAGCCTGCAATTCAAGAGAATAAAATTGACTAAGCACCGCCTCCTTATGAAATAGAGCTTTATAGTGTCCTAAAATATGATTTTTGCTGATGTCATAACATTATATTCTATACTTAAAAGAACCCACCATTACCATCTGTGAACTCACAGTCATTTTAGAGTCAATTGTAAAGTCTAAAAATCTCAGCATAATCTCCGATTCCCATGAAAAGAATCAGAGGTACAAAATAGTGTCCCCCAAGCCTGAAAGAACCCAAGGAAAGTAATGTTTGAAAATGCTTATTTTGTTCTTAGAGTATTTTGTGCAAACTATGTGTAGGGAAACACAATGGAGAGGAATTCAAAGAGCAGAATGACATCTATAAGAAAAATGTGAAGCAAAAATGGAATAGCATTGTAAGGCTCATTGCCAAGTCCTAAGCAGGCAGAGGAGTGGTCGTGGGAAGCAAGGGGAGAGTATGATTTGCATCAGAGAAAGTGCAGTTGAAGCCAGGTTCTGTCCTTCACTAGCTGAGTGACCCTGAGACCTGAAAAACTCTGAATTCTCAACTCCTGACCAATAAAGCCATGCCTTGTAATGCAGATTCAATCTGACCTTGTTGTGGACACCCTCCAATACACTGGGGCCTAGAGGGCACAGCCACTCCAGGACTGTCACATAGAATACAGGTCGCAATATCAGTGCAAAGTGAGCACAGAAGGAGAGGAGAACAGTTATCCCAGATTACACACGCTCCTTTGGCAGAGGACATAAACACATAGAGAAGCCACTCGGTTTTTGAATGAAAATGTAACATAGTGCCTTAGAGTGCAGGCTTTGGATAGAGATCTTTAGGGTTTGAATCCTAGTGTTCCTTAGTGATCAGGAGGTCAGGGACAACTTTGTGCCTTAGGTATCCCTATTTATACAAGAGGATTAAAATGAGGCCTGTTTGTCAGGAATGTTTTAAGAATCACCAAGTGATTAGGCCCGCATAGATGACAGACTTAATAAACATTACTGCAAATTATTAAATCACTCCAAAACTGTGGAAGATCACGGAGGATGAAGGAGAATTTTGATAATAAGACTAAAAATATGGCCTGTGTTTCATCTTTAGGCACTTTTCTGATCCACGGGGATGACACAAGTGGTCACAGGGCTGGATTTCCCTGGAGGGAACCACCTATGGAAATCAATCCAGTAAGCATCTTTGTGTTTATAAAAGACATCTAATATACAATTTGGATACATAAAGTAATTGAAATTTTAAAATAAATTTTAAACAATTTTCTTTTTAAATGGCTAATGAAAACTGAAGAATCGAAAGTCTCCGGCCTTATAAAACTTCACACTCCTTAATAAATTAATAATAGGAGAAATGACATAAAATTAGCAGTATGAGACAGAGAAGCTTTTCCTAAGAAAACAGAAGCACAGGGGTTTCCTTGCTAAAGGTTGGGAAAGTATGGCCGCCAGGTCTTTCCCTGATACACTGGCTAATCCATGGTTTCATTAATTCAGCCTTTCCCTCTCTTATCCTTTCTCCTCCTCTCTTTCTCTTCCTTCTTTCCAAAGACATAGAAAAATATTTATTTTGGAAAGGAACTGCACACTCAACTGCACCTCACACTATCACAAGAGGATAAACAAGAAAACACACTTTTGGGGGAAACAATATAAACAAGAAACACACTTTTGGGGGAAATGGCAGCCACCTTAAATGAGAAGCCTTAATCCTATCTTTCTATAAACCTCAACTTGGCATAGTAGCAACCAAAAAAGCCCAAACGACTCCTCTAAATGCTTCATGCGAATGTATTGGCCTGCTCTAAATACCCAAGGTATTTGTGCTTCCATCTTAAAAACACTAAGTACACTCCTAACTGCTCTCTTTGATACCCAGCTGGAATATCAAACTCACTGTGCCCAAAATTGAGTTGGATCTTGCCCCACTAACACTCCTTCCAATTCCCCTACTTGCTCTCGTTATCTGGTCAGGCCCCAAACCTGGTGCTTCATATTCTTTTCCTCTGCTCTATCGAGATACTTTCTCTACATTGGTGTCAACTTCACCTTATCTTGTGTACCTGATCCCATGCATTCACTGCCCCTACCACCTTAATTCCCATTCTAACTCCCATGTGCCCATATGTAGTAACTTTCTAACTGAATCCCAGTCTTTCACCCTTTCAATCAGTTTTCTTTATCTACTTAGAAACTCATCTCCCTAAAGCACAGCTCTGGTTGTGTGACTTTTTCTCAAAAATCTTCAAAGGCTCCAGCTCCATGTTTCCTAGAGAAAAAAGTTATAGCTCTTCTAGGACTATATGATATTGCCCAGTTTTGCTATGCAAATTCTCATTGCTTTATCTACTTCACCATACAGGATCCTGGTGTCCAGCACTCTGACACCCCATGCAGTTTCCCTTCCTAGGAATTTCTCTCTGTTCTAAGCTCCAAGCTCAGCTTTCCTAAGGTCCCCTGCCCTTTGCATTTCAGATTCAAATATCATTGCCTCAATAATTTTAAAAATATACATATCTGTTAGTGAATTAACCATTTCTCAATTTCTTGAAAAACTTCACCTAGATCTTAATGTTTAAATCCTACTTACATTTTCATTTCCCAATATGTCAAAGAGTAAATAACAACTACTGGTTAAATAATAATAAATAATAGAAATAATGGAGGACAAATAGTATGTTCATTGTAATAATGAGCACCAAGGAACCATGTGGTACTATTGATATACCTTTGTCTGTTCCAGTTCTGAAGATAAGCTTTCCAAACTGCTAAAACTCAGGAAGCGTTCATGGCTGGAACCAGTTTGAAAAAGGTATCTGACCACTGTCTCTTTGTTTGTCTCAAATCGCTCCCATTTCCTTAAGGTGACCTTAAATTCGAACAAAAAAATACATACATATATTACCAAAGTGTTTGGAAAAATATTGCTATATTTTCATTCATTCTCTAAACTGTCAACTTCCAGTGAATTTTCAGTTTAAATTTCACATAATCTCACTGAGTAAAGATGATTCCAAACCCAGTGTGGTGGTACACCTGTAATCCCAGCTACTTGAGAGGAGAAGGCAAGTTCCAGGCCAGTCTGGGCAACTTAGCAAGGCCGTGTCTCAAAATAAAAAAATAAAAAGGATGAAGCTCAGTGGCAGAGTGCATCTGTACCACGTGCAAAAAAGAGGATCCTAGTGTTTTCTGTAAGATTTTTTTTTTCTGGGCCTCATGGTCTTTATCGAAACAGGGCACACAGACTAGATGGTTTCTGAGTCTCCCATCAGTTGTAACATCCTACCCATTAGCAGAAAGGAAGGATGGAGGGGGGTGAGGTGGGGAGGAAGAGGAGTGAGCAGGTGACAACCTCAAACTGTTTTTAAGGGAACCTGTCTACATCTCTATAAAGCATAGAGGTGCTTAAAGGAGTAGCTGCTGGACTGCCTGAAGAGTGAAACATATAATCAGATGTTGGATTCAGGCAGGTGTGGATCAAATCCTGGCTCATCATTGATCACTGCTGTGTGACATGGGGCCAAGTCCCCAAAGTCTTCTTAGGAAACTGCCATATTTTCATTCACTGCTGTATCGACAAACTCTTCCACACTGGCAAAGTGTGCTGACTTCAGGCCTCAGAAGGCTGATCGGCTGATGCAAAGAGGCAGTTCATGTGAAGAATTTAGCAGATGTTGGAGGATCAGAGGCAGAAGCAAAGGTTTGCTCCTGCTGATAGGAGACATAATTGGACGTCAACACAACTTAGGTCTCTACCAAAATGGCCCCAAGTGACCGGCCCTACCTGGATGCGGCGTTCCTGCCTCTCCCTGCCCTGCTCCACACTGGCCAGGGTGCTCTCTAGCTTCTGAAGCTCCTCCCGGCCAGGGCCAGCCAGCCTGCCTTCTGTCTGCTGCGTCTGCGCCATCTGCTGCTGTAGGTCCCTCTTCTTGGCTGAGATCATCTTCATCTTTTGCTGGAAGAAGTTGTTCAATAGATGGATGTAAAATTCACTCTCTCGGCAGCTAAGCTAAGCTGGGCCACAGCACCCACACTTATCAGAAGTACAGAAAAGTAGGGCCTTGTGCAGCACAGTCCCACACCGTTTTAAAGTGAAGTTTAACAGTTAAAACAGTAAGAATGGGGGCTTTGTATTAAACTAAGGTGGGCATTTTACATAAATATTTTATGTTTTTAATGGTAAATATAGCAATAATTTGGTTTTATGTTTTAATTGTGTGAAATTTGGACAACATTTAACATTTGGGGCAATACTTCAGAAAAAAATGTGGCTAAACAGTGCATTTGTCATGACTCCTCTTAATCCTTTTCAGCTGAAAAACCTGTAGTTCCAATTCTTCTGTTATCATTGATACTGTAAAAATGCAGATATTAAGATATTTCCTTCTGGGTGTATTATAAATAGTTTATGTGCTGAGATATTTTGAGGAAAGTTGTGCTTTAAAAGAAAACTTTTCATTGACATATAATCCTCAAACAGAATAGCACACAGATCTCAAGTGTACAGCTTGAGTATACCTGCCCACAGAAACAAGTACCTGGTTCGGGAAATAAGAGAAGAGCTTGAAAATACTAATATGTATATTATACATATATTGATATTATACATATATATCTGCAATCTTACTTTTCTCTGAATTAAAGTAAACAGAAAACCAAATAATTTTACAACATTGAAGACAATGTAAAACAAAACATTGTTTTCTAGTCTCAGGCTTTGTATAATTATTAAATAAATTTATAAAGATTAGAGGTTGCTATTTTACACATACTTTTAATCAATTCCATTTTTGTATATATGGAAATTTATCATTAAGTATTTTATTTTTATGAATAAAGTATTTATTTATATCAATCATATCTCCATTTATATTGAGTTTGACAAGTAATACATTCCATTTATGAGTATATTTTAATGTCCACTACCAGACTGTCAGGAAATAAGTTGATTGTTTATTGTCAGAGTCTGGGGGGATAGTTCAGTGGTAGAAAGGCTGCTTAGCAGGCATGAGGCCCTGGCTTCAATCTCTAGCACACACACACCCCGTACACACACAATATTTATTATCAGTATACATACTAGATTCCTTAACTTCTAGTTGTGATTCTTTATAAGTGTACATTCTCCTGAAAAGTCTGATACTTCAAAGAAATTATGTATTTAAACTAAAACGTGTTTGAAGTGGTAAAATGAAGACCTGTTTTAACATAATGAAAAGAGAATAGTGATCTCAAATCTGAAGCAATTTGTGTCTCTGTGATTTCTTCTATTATGAAAAGTACAATTTAGCCAGCTTCATGTAAATTTTTGCACCTAAATCAATTTACTCTCCACACTATTCCTTGAAATTTTTGATGTCATCAAATCATTCTTTCTAGGAATTTTCTTGGAGGATATTCTGAATTATCTAACATTTAGCAGAGAGAATAGAAAACATAAGTGCCGTATTGTTAAAGCCATTCAGCCAGGTTCCTTCCCTTCCTTGTTCTCCCCATCTCCTAGCCCAAGACATACTCTTATTTATCTCTCTGGTCTGCAGGGTTAGAGGGCATTTCTACCTGGTGATGAAGAAGTAATTGCTGTGCTTCAAACAGATTTTCAGTGTCCAAGATCTTCTCAGCTTGTTCCTGGACTTCTTGAGAGCCAGAAATTAATTCTTCAAGGGAACTTTTTACAATTTCTTTGTACTGAACACAGTCCCCAAAGTTGCTTAACATCTTTTCAACCTAGATTTTTAAAAAAAGTAGAGTAAATCTTAGGTTACTTTGTGAAATTCATGTAATACTATTTTGAAGTATGATCAACAAATTAACACAGCATATATCTACTATGTACAAAGCGATTCCTTGATAAATGTACACATTGAGAAATGACTTCACCAATCAAGCCAATTAACCTATCTACCAACTCATACATTTAGTTTTCTGTGTGTGAAAGAACATTTTGGGTTTATCCTCTTAGAAAATTTCAAGGGCATAACATAACATGATTAACTATGGTGATCATATGGCACTGGATCTCCAGAATTTATTCATCTTATAATTTAAAGTGCATACCCTTTGATCAAAATAATCCAATTAAATTCCATGAATTTTTACATATTTTAAGAGTATACATACTGTCAGAATAACTAAAAATATATTCATAGATTCCTAATTTTATTCTTTCACATATTTTGAAGCTTATTTAATTATTATTAAACCACATAGCCACTTGTAGAAACTGCAAGTTTCAGTTGATTTGGTGCTTTCTGCCATATTAAAAACCTAATTTAAATACAAAAAAAAGGAAAAAAAACCAATTTCTTTGTATTTAGCAGTCAAAGCAGGATACTAAAACAATCCATTAAACATATCGTGTGCCGGTTCTCTCTAATTATAATCTCATGACTAATACCTATTTGTAACATTGCTTTACATAGAGTTCATCCTATTTATTAAATGAGAAAACAATTGTTGAGAAGAAAAAGAATTGAAGAGTATTTGTTAAAAATGTACCTCCAATATTTCTAAATAAAACATAAATATAATTCCTAATTTTGTTGTTGGTTAGCTAATTCCCTTCCTCGCCATTTTCCTGAGTTTTAACTTTCCTCTTCTGTCTGATGTCTGCTTTCCCTAGATTGACCTAGAGCTTCTGTTTTCTCCATCTTCACATAGATCACTGGTTTCAGAGTTGATGGTCATCTGTCTTCCATGGAAGCCTTCCAGTTCGTCTTTCTCTTCTCCTCTTTATTTTTCTTTGACCCTCTCTGGTCTGAGTTTGTCCAAGGTCACTTGGAGGATGCTCTTCTCTAAACAAGCCGCAATGAGAACCTGGGAGAGCCACAAACTCCAGATCTCAGCGTAGATCATCAGCTCTGTTGAGAGCAGTGACTCTTCATGTCACCCTACGAATCCACCCACAGCCTTTCCTTCTTACACAGACAATTGCAAATGTTCCTGTTCAGCATTAATTTAAACATTAAGTGGTTTGTTATCAAAGGAAGGACCTGGTTGTGCCCAGTCCATTTTCTTATTTAAGTCTACTTAATCAGAATGTGTTTTTCTCCATTCTTCTTTTGTTTCCACTAAGTGATTAAGTAGAAAAAAGATTGCTAAGAAAAATTATGCAGAAGCTTAAGCTAGATGAGTGTGCAAAGAATTAACATCTGTGCAAGCAGACGTTAGAGGTGGCCTGTCGCTAAGTCCCACGGACTTCACTAAGAGAACACTTGGGGAAAAAGCAAATTGCTTCATGAAATCTGACAAAAAACAATTAATAATTTTAAAGGTCGCCACATGTTTTGTGGGGGAGGAGCACATGATGTCACTGAAAGTCACTGTTAGATCTTGGCTCCAAGATCACCTTCAATATTCTAACTTTCTAAACTGTTGTTCCTTTTGCTGTCTTCACTAAAGAAAGAGCAGGAGGGCAAGGGTCAAATTTTCACCTAGAGTATGGTAGTGGTAACTAACTAAACTTGTCCATTGCTATGGAAGATGGGTCATCAAAGCTTTGAATCAAAGCGTTGAAATAGCTTATGTTCAATAATGCTATTTTCAATTTGTTCAAGATTCTTAAGAAAACTGTAATTTATATATATTTATAATTTTATAATTATATCAAATTTGTAATTTGATACAATTTATATATCAAAATCTTCACATCAAACTAAAGTCATAAGCAATCCTAAGTATTTGGGGCTTGTGTAAATTCCCCATTATAGTCTCCAGCAGAACTATCCACGTGGATTAAAATTTATGAAGTTAGTGCCAATTATTAAGGAAATCTGTAGAGAATTCCAGATCTTCAGAATAAGAGAGTTTGTGGACATTTTGTAGTCATCCAACAGATAATTTTCTATGCAAGTTTATACTTAAATAATGTAAAAGAAATACTGGTAAACACCTGTTCTACTTTACTGCCTTACATTATCTTCCCACTCAAAAAACATTGGACTATACAACAACCGTGGGTGGAAGAGACCCAACTACAAATTAAGTAGGTGGGTTTATATATATACAGACATTGGAATGCCTATTGTTAAGCTTAAAATGAGCTGACTTTGGCTAACAGAGAATTTTCCTGACCTGCTGACTAAACATTGGATATTTTATTATTACCAGCTACTGGTCATCAAACATTTACTCTGTCCAGGCTCTACACTGAATGCTCTGCAGACATTATTGCATTTAATCCCTGTGGCTCCCTTTTGGGGTATTTTTAATAGTGTTTTACAAGTAAGAAAGTTGGGGCCAAGAGACATCAAATAACAAACTCAAGGTTATATAGGAAGCAGGACATCAGACAGAAGCTGTGGCCATGGATTTGTCTGACCCTTAAGCCTTTTTTCTAATCTTTATGATATAATTTAAAGTGACTATAAAATAACTGTAATTTATATACAGTTTATTTCAGCCCTGAGCAGAAATAAACTGCCTTAGTAAGAGAAAAAAAATGTAGGCTGATAAACATTAACCTTTCCATTAATCTGAACTAATATATCCAATAATGGCATTGACCATAATTTAAATATCCCCAATTTTCCTCCAAATCTTCTCATAAAAAATCTTCTCATAAATAAATGTGATCACTATTTAAATTAGTTTATAACTGTTTTAACTAGTTCACTTATATAATTACTTGCTAAGCTATTATCAAGACCCCTCCAGGTATCTTACCCCCAGAACTCTGTTTAGAGTGTGGATAAAGTGACATACCTCTGACAGCAAAGCCACGAGAGCCTTGAAAGAGCTAGACAGTTTTGCCAGCTCATCTCCTTGCTTTTGTGCTTCAGTCTCAGAAGAAACTTCAATCAAAATTTTCAGCCTGGATTTCAGCCAGCTGAGTGTCTCCCCTTTTTTGGCAACATCATTCCTGATCTCCTGGAATGAAAGAACACTTTTGGTGAGCAAAGTGCAATGGTGATTCTCAATTGTCAGCAGGAAAGGACTCCACCCAAGTCTTGTAGGGTGGATATAAGAGAGCCAGACAGTCACTCCCTGATGGAGCACCTGCTTATTGTGCTTTGAGCACAAATTTTTAACCAAAGTCCACAGAAGAAACATTCTTCAATGTCAATAACTGCTGGGTAAAATAAGTTCTGACTATACCCCCCAAAATCATCTTCATAATTAGATTGGGTAGATACAAGTATTTCCTAAGCATTCTAAAGATGCTCCTAAAACTACCATAGAAGAAAACAAGACAGCCAAATAAGGCACTATAATATATATATACTTTGTTACTTTACTTTCTGTGATCTGGAAGGAACATGGCAGAAAAGAAAAAGCATGATATTCCTAACATATTTAATTAGCTGTTTTCTTTTATCAAAGAGTTTAGTTACTTAATATTGTTATAGATGCTCTAAAGATTTAACTTCATTAACTTATACTTTTTCTCTCATTTTTTTTAGCTTTTAGAAGTTAACACACCAAATATTAAGAGGTATACAAAGGATTACAGCTCTAATCAAAGCAGGGAGCGTTTATCAGCCAAGACAATGCTGGAAAGACTCTGGGGCTTTGCACTTGCAGGGTTGGTGACCAGCAGCATGGTGACTGGGCAGTCTGTCCCTCCTACACCACAATCTTTGGTGTAGTGCAAGGGCAGGGGTCTCCAACACGCTGTCCCAGGGTTTTCCCAGGGCAAATGCATACCAGTCAGGAAATGGTTAATTCCAATCTCTGCATTCTAAGATGTAGTTTTTTGTGTATGTCATAACAGCAACCAGAAAAATATAGATATCTTCTATATGCACACCATGACATTATTGAGCAGCTCTAGTTTTGATGCAACTACATAATTTAATAAGAAAGAAAATAGAACTCAAAGGTTCATTCTCTTCTTAATGGAAATTACATGACACGCAAGGATTAAAAATGCTTAAAAGGAAGAGTTTTCACAATAGCAAGTAGAAGAGTCAAGCTAAGAGAATGGATGCCGTTTGCAAAAAGCTGTCTTGAGGCCTGAAGCTCTGTCACCCTGGCTGGGTTTAGCAGGCTGTACCTCTGCCCAAGGCTGAAATAAACTGTCCAGCCTGAATATGATAAAGAAAGGAAACTTGGAGAGCTTGCCCATTTCCGTGATTTTGCATGGCTGAAGATGGACTGCATAAAAGCACACAGCCTTCTTATTTTCTGTGTCAGTTCTTAAATCTGTGCTGTTACACATGCATGCATGCAATGTTCTGCTCAGCAGTCCCCATTAGCTAAAGATGCACTGGAGACCCTGCTGAGCATGATCTCAAAGCTTCTGTTGATTCAATAGAAAACCCACAGTTCTCCATAGTAATATGGGAAGACTTATCTTTAAGATAATTTTCAGAAAAACCAATATTTTTTTTCCTAGAAAGAAAGAAAGACAACATTGTCTAATATTTTGTATTTATTACTGGAAATCATCCTGTGGCAGACAGTGGATCAGAACTTACATCGGAGGCATGTTTAACCTCGCTGTAGTTGGTAGTCTCAATGGCCTTATCCTTGAAGGCCTTCAACTGCGTCTCCTTTGCAGCTATCCAAGATGACAACTCAGAAAATCTGAAACAATGCAAGCATTTTCTAATTAAGGGAGAAAATTCTCAGGATGATTAGATTTTAGATTAGATTTCTATTTTGAATTTACCCTTGGAAATATAACAATCAAATGGATTAACTAATCAATGAACAAATTCTCTGGAAACTTTTACATGACACTCAGAGTAGAGGTGTCCACCTCCAAGCTCAGAAACATGAAGGGGCCTCAGCAGAGGACAAAGATGTGTCTCAGGGCCTGAGCCCTTGGAGGAAGGAAGGTGCCATCTAAGGTCTGGTGCCTCCAAGAGGCTGGAGGCCACCTGTGAGGGAGGAAAGGACTGACCAAATCGGCCTCAGAGACAGAACATCCGGCCCATGTGTCATAAAGCACTTCACCCTATTTCTAACTAACCCATTCTTTTTACCAATTGAAGCATTTTTATACAAGAACACGGGCCAGATAACGCAATTTGATTTTCTTTATTGTGTGAAATAAAACATTCGTCATCTCTTGTTCTATAATGGTCTCTCAAGTAACAGAATCAAGATAGATTAGGTCCTTCTCTGGAGACAACCCCAAGGCTACCTGCTGGCGTAGTCTTTCCACTTGTCTGGGTCATCCACAAGCTTCGCATAGGTGCAGTCAATGGCAGCTCTGAGCTCTTTCAGGGCCGTGTGACAGGTTACAGGTGTTTCCCTTACTGGGTCCCGGACTGGGAGTTTCCCACACAATTCTTCAATGAGTTGTAACCTTTTCTCACAGAGATGATGAGGACCTTTGTCACTGAAGAAAATCTAATAAGCAATAAATGTTTTTAGAATCCACATGAGAGTCATATAATACCTTAAAATTTCACAAAAAGACTAAAGGGAGAGTCCTGTAGACCACCAGTTGTAAGGTAATTACACATTTTTTTTTTCATACTCAAAGCAAAATCTGAGCCCCTCCTTTAAGTAACAAGGCGCCTCCCCAGGATTACACATTCAGGGCAGGAGACCTACCCTGTGCTCCTTAATGATATTTTCACTGCCTTCCTGGGGCACCAGCTTGGTCTCTCTCTCCAGCTCAGCCATGCATTCTTCTACAGAGGCTAAGAATCTCTTCTTCTCCACAGCAATCTTCAAATGCAGCAAATGATAAGGGGCCTCTCCTTGAAGATCCTGGATTCCATAGGAAAATCCAAGAAAACACACTCATGCTCCCGATTGTGTACATTTTCAGTTGAAGTGGCAAGAAGACTTAAAATATTTACTTCGTATATTGTACTTTTCTAATTTGTGGGGCTGCAGCGATTCCTTTCAAGCCTGCTGTGGGTCATGTGTCTCCACAGTGATCTTTTGGTTTAATTTTTACATTAGTGCTGCACAGAATGAGTGTTCCTATTTTTCAGATTAGACTATTGAGGCTCCAGGGTAACTGAAAAAGCTAAGGGAAAACTTGAGGAAATTTTATTAATATCCATCCCCCTCCCACACCAAAAAAACTGAAACAAACAAGGATTAAAAAGCCCAAAAGAGCTGACCACCTGCCCGTCCTCCTCTGATTAGACCATGCATTGAAAAAATAAGCAAGCAAGTGTGCAACACATAACCATCTAATGTTCTCTTCTCTTGATATAAACATAGGCTTCCTTATTACTTTTAGTTCTGTAACTTATTAATTTTAGCCAACTTGAATCCTCTAGCACTTAAAAGGATTAGTTTGGGAAAGAATACTAATTGATGAGAAAAATGAGCTTGGACTATGGAAAAACAAGGACACTTCAATTAAAGTGTCGATCCATAATACATTTAAGGTATGCTGAACTTCAAAGGCACTTAGAGACCTTGGATTTCTTTGAGAATCTCTTGTTTAAATGAGTCACTTTAATTTTCAAATCTAGAAAGCAAAAGTGGTATATGTCTTTCCACTGTGCTTTTCATATGCACAAAAGATGATGTTTTAGCCCATGTTACTGAGACTTAAAAAATCTAGAAAGTAACCTAACCAGATGGAGAGCTGTCAATCTGGCAATCCCCAAGGCTCCTTCACATAATGCCATGAATTGTCACCTTGTGCAGCATGCACTCTCCTGTAGCTGGGGCAGACTTCTTGCCCTCTGTTTGGGGAGGAAAGCCCTCAGCCTCTGCAAGTTGATGTACCCATTTCCAAAGGGCTCTGTGTGCCAGGCCCACCCTTGCTTCCCACAGTTCCTCCACAGCATGTGACACTTGGATCACACTGGGCTCCAAGGGATCCTGATGCCTCCCACTTGCACTCCACCTTCCTCTCCACCCCAACATCTCTGTGTTTTCTTTGAAGTCCTAGCTCAAAATTGTCACTCTATTCACTCTTCCCCATTCTCCAAGTGGGTCCACCTCTATCTTTCAAAGCTTCCATAAATATAACATTTATACATTTTGAGCTTATTATATACTACACTTTTATCTTTTGTGACTAATTATCTCCCAAACTGAAATCTAATAAGCTTTTTTTGTGGGAAAAGGAATATGTTTTGTTCATTTCTGAATTTTTACCCAATAGATACTTTTATTTATATTTTTACAATATAGCTATTTATATTAGATGATAAAATCCTTGAGGACACTATACACACACACATAGGCATACATATGTAATTTAATATTTAATAATTTATATTGTTAATGTAGCAATAGTGTATTATAGTAGTAATATATTATTATTAATACAATAATTTATATAAGTAATACACATACAGTGATTTTATTACACACACACACACACACACACACATACACACACATATAGTGATTTCACCAGTAGACCTATCATGATTTATTCAACTGAGAAGTGTTTATTAAATGTCAGTTGAATAAATTAAATGCCCTCATCACACAAGCTGGAAAAAAAAAAGAGTACTTAAAACATATGATAACATTTATGCTACTGTGAAATAGGCATATCGAAATTCTACCATAGTTTATTATGTGTTACTCAAGTTCGGTTTTTTTACAAGTACCAAGGTGGCTTTCCGTGAGTTTCTTGATTTCCCGCCCTGCATCTCTGCACCCTCACACTCTCTCCCTTCCCTCCTGAAGCTGTCCCAGCGTCCCCAGGTCCTGACTCACCTTCCATTGTTTATGGAGCTTTCTCACAGCCTCCTGCAGCCCCTGTTGCTCCTGCTCAGGGAGGATGTCCGTGAGCTCATCGCAGGCTTTCAGGAAAGCATTGAGGACTCTCTGATCCAGCTGACTGAAAAACTCCTGGCAGGGAAGAGCCAAAGTGGTCAAGATGCTGGGCAGAGAGACAGCTGCTGCCCTCTTCAAAAATTTGGAACATTCCCTACTTTTTTTTTTTTATTTTCCAGGAATAAACTATAAGCATCTATCATTAGAAGTCAGAAGTTTTCATATTTGAAATTTGACCATTATGTTTTACACTTTAGTAAAAACAAAATCATTGCAGCCTTCAAATTCAGTGGAATATTCTAAGAAGCCAGTGGAAAAATTCTGAAACCTTGATTCCATAGTGATAGAGCTTTTCTTCCTCTTTGGTAAAGTCAGAAGGGCAGGAAAAAAGCCAGCACTAAGTCTCTTAACCCCTCATTTCTTGACCACAGTGCATTCTGGGCCCTGGTGATTCATTATGAGCCATCCCACATTTCCCCACGTGCACACTTGAACACACACACTATGGATGGGACTGTGTCCTCAAGTTCCTGTGTTGAAGCCCTAACCCCAAATATGATGGCATTGGAGATGGGGCCTTTGCAGGGTACTGAGTTTTAGATGAGGTCATGGGGGCAGAAACTTCATAGTAGGACCAATATTTTCATTGAAGAGGACAGCAGAGAGCTTGCCAGTGTGTTTCCACAAGGACATGGAATAGGCAGCCAGAAAGAGGACCCTCGTCAGAACCCTACCATTCCAGCACCCTGATTTCACACTTCCAGTCTCTACAACTCTGAGAAGTAAATCTGTCATGTAAATCACACAGTCTATGGTATTTTGTCACGACAGTCTGAGTAGACCAATAGTGTGTACAGACATGTGACCAGGTCTCACAGTCTCAGGAGTGTGACTGCAGGGACCTTTTGAACAGTCATTCTGAACAGAGGTGCCACCTAATACAGGTATATAAACTGAATGAGATGCTTTGTGCTTTATGGTGACAGACCTTGACCCTGAGTTCAGAAAGCTGCATCCCAAACATATTTCAGAGTGTGGCTTAAATACATATCCACTGAAATTTCAGGAAAAAATGATTCAAAATACATGTTCTGAAAATGTCACTCATATCCACATGACATTTCATGTATTACTAATGTTCCCAATACAAATATAATTTAAAGAAGTAGGATAAACATGAAGATGGCCTCACAAGACTGGGACAAATTTTGTTATGAGCTACTGGCCTTCAAGTCATCTCTAACATGAATTAGCCTCTCACCTCAAATTGTCTGTTTTATAAAAAACCGGAGTTACAGAAGAATTTCTGAGCTAAATAATGAATTTGTAATTTCGAGAGGCCGAATTATCCTGACTCTTTAATATTCCAGGGGTTTAAGAATGGTCTCAGAAATGGGTGGTTATGATTTGGATGTGAGGTGTCCCCCACATTGTGTGAGACAACGCAGGGACATTTTGAACAGTCAGAAGATAAATGATTGGGTTGTGAGAGTCTGAACCTAATTAGTGAATTGATCCCCTGGTAGGGATTAACTGAGTGGTAACTGAGTGGTATAAAGTGGTAGGTGTGGTTGAAGGAGGTGGGCATTGAGGGGGTGGCTTTGGGATATATATTTGTATCTGGCAAGTGAAGACACCTCTGTGTGTGTGTGTGTGTGTGTGTGTCCTGATCACTAGATGAGCTGCTTCCCTCTGCCACACTCTTCCACTGTGATGGTCTGCTTCACCTAGAGCCCTGAGGAATGGAGCCTGAGATCTATGGATTGAGACCTCCGAAACCGTGAGCCCCTAAATAAATTTTTCCTCCTCTAAAATTTTTCTGGTTAGATCTTTTAGTCACAGCAGTAAAAAAGGTGACTAAAACACAGGTGAATCAATTGCTCTCGAAGTCCTTCTTGCCCCACATTTCTCAGGAAAGCATTGAGGACTCTCTGATCCAGTTGACTGAAAAACATTTCTCAGGTCTCATATCTAAAATGCTCCCACCTTCCCAACTCCCCCCCCCCCCCCCCCCCCCCCTCCCACCTCCCCCCCCCTCCCCCTCCCACATTCCCAACTCCCCACCCCTCCCCCTCTGCATTAGGTGGCACACTGGCTCTTTGGATATTCTCATCCAAGAGCAGGTGTCCATGCACTGGGGCCAATGCACCACGGAGGGCAGACTCACAGTGTGTTTCGGCAGCAGCTCTTCGGGATCCCCCTTCTCCTCAAGGCCCTCCTGTGCGACCCGCAGCACTTTCTCCAACTCTGCCCGAGACTCCTCGAATTTCTTCATCAAGCGACTGTTGGTTTCCGCATGCTTCTTCCAGTCCCCCGTTTTCTTTACCATATTCTTGATGTAAAAGATATAATCATCCCTTGGTATCCTTGGGGGATTGTTTCCAGGACCCCCAAAGATACCAAACCCACAGATGCTCAATTCTTTTACATAAAGTGGTGGAGTACGTACCCAGACACATTCTCCTGTATTTGAGAAATCATTTCTCAGTTACTCAAAATATCTACTATAATGTAAATGCCATGTAAATACTTACTATATTGCATTGTTGAGGAAATAATGACAAGAAAAAGAAGGCTGTACATGTTCAGTATAAATGCAACTTTTCACCCAATTATTACCACCTCCTGGTAAATCTGCAGATGTGGAATCTACAGCTAGAGAGAACTGACTCTAATCATAATAGGATGCTGCTTTCTCACTGCTGAAAGCATCATTTGGTCCGGTAGTATTATGTACTTTTTTTCTTCAAAAAACACTTGGGAGGAAGATACTTTATTATAAGAATAATTAACTCTTTTTAATTAATATTAGGGAAAGAAGAGGTAAAATGTTTGCCTTCTAAATACTGGAAGGTGAGGGATTTTGGCAAGAAGAGGAAATTACTTGTCCTTGTTCTGTATTTTTGTGGGCTCATGACTGTAGGGCAAGGAGAGCAGATTACCTGAAAAGCAACATGAACATCAGCAATCTGTCTTTGTAGCTTCGTCTGATCAAAATGCTTTAACACATTGCTCAAGGTCACAAATTTTTGAATGGTTTGACTGCCTTTCTCAACAAGCCCCAAGGTTTTCTTACAGGTTTCTTGACAAGCTAGCAGCTCCTACAAGGAAGGGAAACCCACAATAATATTATATCCAGGAGAGACTGAAAAATAAAGGAAGAAAAGGAAAATGAAAAGGGGGGAAGGATGGAGGGAGGAACGATTACAAATAACAAGAACAGCTCTAAATAGCTCTGAGGCTTTTGATCAGCAATAAGTAAAACCAAAAGTACAGAGGAACACTTTTTTCCAAAAGAGCTCAATTTTAAGCAATCACTGAAGTCAGTGCTTTTTATACAAGGCATTTAAATGTCACAAAGAGTTTTTTGAGATTTTTATATTTCATGCACATCTTATTAACATTAAGAAAATGACAAAGCATCAAAATTGTTATTCATCCAACTGGTGTATCGAGAGAACAATCATAAACACAATCTACATAATCAGGTTTTAATAAGATTAAATTAATTTAGCATCAATGAAAATCACTTTCTTGAAATAATCAGATGTAGCAGTTAATATATTATTTGTATACACTAAATTTATAACATTTGAATTTCTAAGGTTCACATGCTTTCAGCCTTATTAATGAAATAGCAAACTCTAGATCCTAATTTTTTAAAAAGGCAGCTGACCATTAGGCCTGGGGAAGACTTGCAACTGTCACACACTGCAGTGGTGACCAACAGCCTTTGCCCTCTGACTACCAGCCTGACACTGTAGCAATTTTGACAGTATAGAGTTGAAATAACCCATCCTAACAAGGTACTCATTTTTGCCTTGAATTGAAACAACATGAACTTAAAAACCCTTAACTACTTTGAAAAAATATATTTCAAACTGCTCATGTGGATGCCGTTTTTGTTCATCTATATTCACATATTAAGAGCTAGCAACTCTTAATATTTTTGTTTTGTTTTGTTTTGGCAAGGACATATTTTTTTCCTTTTGAACACTTTGGAGGTTTAAGGGATAGCTAACATAAGTTAAAAATATGTCATGAGTATTATTAATATTTATAATTAATAATAAACATTAATTATGCAAAAATTGTTTGATGGCAATTTACAGCAATATGTAGGAAATGGCACTATGTCCCCCAGTGAAAGAATCCTTACCATATGAGGAGGTGTCACTAAAATGAGGTTTGGTGATATGATGATTATGGCTTCAATACTAATGGCAATAATAATGCTACTAATAACAGAATACATTTTATTAGGTATCATCACTTTTGTTTAAGGACCAGGACCGTTAGTTAAATAAGGCTTCATAAGTTTTTGGCATCAGACCTAAGATCTAAGTATCTGGGTGACTTGTTTCAGATACTCTGCTTTTTCTAAGAAGTGAATTTGTCTCCTTCCAGGAATCCATTTCAATTAGTTCAGTGGCAACCTTTCCTACATTAGTTTTATCTTCATCTGAGATGGGCTCATTTATAATAAAGCAACTAAGCCAGTCAATTAACTGAAACACTAAGAAGGCTATGCATACAGACCTGTTCACTAAACATGAGACAAAATATCAAGGATTACACCAAAAACGTTTTCAGAGTTTGTGGTTGTATAAACAGATTGATTCCCAAGGTCAAAGAAAAGATACCACAAAATATAAGATTGTAGACACTTAATAGAAATGGAATAAATTATTTATATTGTATATGTGTTTGTGTGTGTGTGTGTGTGTGTGTGTGTGTGTATAATGTATATATAACTCCAAAGACTCAAGAGATAGAGAAACATATACTTTTTTTAAATGAAATTCTCCATTTTGTCAGTGAGGTAGCAGGTAATGACCAAAGATGATATGCAGGAAGGAGCACTAAATTACCCTCTGCCCATCAAAAAATGTCTATATAAAGATGAAAAAAAAATTAAATATATATTTTCTACCCTTTAGAAAGTACAAGGGAGAATTTATTTACACTAAACTTTTTGTGAACTTTGTCAAACATGATCCCTAGATTCATTGGTAGAAAGATAATACTAGAAAATTAAACACAAAGCAGAGAGGATAACAGAAGGTCTTTCTATCGTGGGTGCTGGTTTTGTTCCAAGAGGCAACAGTAGATTTGCTTCTACTTCAGAGATATACTCCTTGTTTCAGAGAGACAGTGTGAACTTTCATTGTCAAGCTTGGAGTTCAGAAGGCACAGCAGAGGCGTGTGAGGAGCAAATGCGCATAAATGTCTGCTGAGTATAGCCAAGTTCAAAGAAGTCAGAGGCAGGCATTCCAACACACTGGTCTTTGTAATTTTGCTCAACTCAGGAAACTTCTTAATTCAGATGATTAGAGCCCCACTCTGAGCCCCACCTGCTCTAAGCCCCTAAAAATGGGTCAAACCCCTCCACCAGCTGGGTTTTCATCTTTACACAAAATATGCATTATTGTTTTGAGTTATTAGTACTGTATTATTTTCAAAAAAATGTTTTCATTCTAATTGCACTTCTTTTACTGTAAGCAGCACTGCAATTTTATTACATGTACTTTAAAATAATTATGTTTCCCCAAAAGGAATTTTCTTACCTGATGTTTTTGTTTAAAAAGAGCACTAGATTGTGCCTCACGCTCAAGAACTGTTATAATGTCATTGATTTTTCCGAGTAAGTCATAGAAAGATGTTATCTGCTTTTCTAATTCCTCCAATGGAACCACCAGCTGCTGAGACTCATACAGAAGTGGAGAGTAGCACTCTTTGACCTTTAAAAATACAAAAACAAAAATCCCATGAAAGGTCATTAAGTCCAACACCGGCAGGGCACTATGCATAGCTTTCAGGAACATTTTATTTAACGACATAGTCATTTGGTGTTTGTGAATTTCTAAAGCCATTTCTTATTGATATTTCCTCTGTGTTGTTAAATTTTGGTGTCAGAAATCCATACTGCTGTACTACTAAGAAAAATAAATGACAATGGGGTTTTCTCATGAAAATTCATCCGAGTCCTCCATCTGGATAGCACTTTTCCATCTAAACAGTGGTTGTCAGGGAAGCAGATGGCATCAGATTCCCTTCATAAACCATGCAACTCATTTTCACTTTGAAATATGACCCAAGATAGTCACAAATTATGACATCACTTCGTGACCTGTGTCTTCCAGCTTTAATTTCAGGAACTCTCCTACTTGAACCCTGAGTTCTGACAAACTTATGCACCTGCTAACTCACGCTTCCCTGATACCCCTGCGCTTTCCTACATCCCACTAATTTAACCACGGATATTCCCAGGCCAAGGGATATCTCTCCAGGCGAAACTGGCCCAGCCTTCTTCTGTCACTTGTCTCTAAAATAACTGTTGCTAGTCTGTGCATCTGCAATACATTCATGATGAAGCCATAAGCTCCTGAAGTTCAAGAGCTCCATAGACTGTCTGCCTGCCTACCTTGATGCTGGACTCCAGGATCTGCAAATTTCCAGGAACTGCTCAACCCTTTTTATTTACCTATAGTTGCCTCCAACTATCATCATCATTATTATAATAATTATGATTCCAAGCAACTATTAATGCTTTCAGACAGGTATGGAAAAGAAATTAATCAGCATTTGTTAGTAGAATGTTTTTTTTTTTGTTTTTCATAAAATACAAAGATGAGAAGCTAAGTAAAATCAATAATATTCTAAAAATAATCCCTGAAGTAGATGAAAACATTTTGTTATAATCTTAAATACATAATAGCATAAGCTAAAATATTTTCATGTTTTAGAATATACTGCCTGAAGGATCAAAAGAAAGAAACTCTCTCTGCATCAAGACTGCTAAAACTTGCTTGAACTAAATAAACTACAAGAATCAATGAATGTGCACAAAAAGCAGTGAGCTTTATTGATTTTTCCTGGTGCAACAGAAAACCCATCAAGATGCTGCATCTGAACCAGCAATAGGAAAATGTAAAGGCTTAAATGTATCTAAAGGTACAATTTGCTCTCTCAAGTCTTGCCCTAGACCACACCTGGCTCAGGCTAATAAGTGCAAGCCCAGGAGTCAAATAACCAACTCGAAAGTGTTGACTTTGATTGATTTTTTTTGTTTTGTTTTCAAACTAGGGATCAAACCCAGGGCCTCATGCATGTCAGGCAAATGCTCTATGCTCTATCGATGAGCTACACCCCCAGCCTGAAAATGCAACTTGGAATTGCACCTACCCTTTGGCAAATTTTGCTGTCAGCCAGTACTATTTTTATCTATTACCATTAAATTATAAAAATTCGAACTTGAATGTTGAAATAAAATGAATTGAAAATCAACTTTCTAACATACATTAGACTGAACAAGTTCTTCTTTTTTCATGACCAATGTGTTCCTATTTTCATCCTCTGTCTTTCTTCCTCTTTTCAGTAATTCTCCACTACTGATTTCACTTAGGTTATTCTCTTTTTTTCCACTTTCCCTCTTCTACTTAATAGATATGTCTACTTTCTTTTCCTTTATTTTCTAATTCCTTATAATGTTCCTATTCATTTTAAAATCACTCCTTTCTCTACCTTTAAATTACCCAATCTAAGTAGATTTTACAAACAATGTTATCCTCCTAAAACTAAAATTTAGATAGATTAAAGACCCCAATGAAACTTCCTAAGCTTTTAAGGAAAATCCCCCAATTAAGTAGAAAAGGCTTATGGCTACTCTTTATAGCTATCTAGTACCTGCACAGAAGTGGCAGAAATGGAAATATGTTAAACCTACGGTGAGCTCTGTGAATGAGGGGGAAGGAATTTTATTGATTTGTGGTTATGTTAGCAGGAAAGAGCATAAGTAAGCTTAGAATGGGGGTACAGCAAATAAATCTCAATAAATTCTCATTAAAATATATGCTCTCCTCCTTTCCTCTTTTTCCTCCTCCTCTTCTTTCTGTTTTACCACATGTGACTCTTCTCCAAAAATATCTTTCTAATAAAGAATAGCTATTGCACTTGAAAGTTAACAATAGCTGATTACCAAGAGGTAATACTTGGTATCAGCATCATAGTTTTATTTTAAAAATTCACACCCAAGTTACTAAATCAGAAATCCCAATAAGAAACAAAAGCAGGGTTGCTGACAGGGAGCCAGAGGGGGCAGGGGACAAGCTGAAGGTGGCTCGGGTGCCACTCTACATGCTGTGCATGGAAGTGTTACTCTCGCACCTTGGCTAGCTGCTCTTTGAGCCTGGACATGGTTGCAAACATCTCGCTGGCTTCTTCTTGGGGGCTCTCTTTGGCAATGAGATGTGCTGTCTTTGTGATCATCTTGTACTGGGCATCCATTACAGGCACCCTCTGCTCAATATCCTGCATGAATCATTGAAACAGCTCAATTAACACATGACACATTTCCTTTTAATCTCAAGATTCCACAGAAGGCAAAACAAAAATCAATATGCACTTTATGAAATTCTATATGCGTAGAAAAGTTTTCAAGATTCTGGTCATTGCTTTTCCTTCATTACTAATATATTGTTATGGGTCAGGCTACATGGGCAATGACCAAACAGACTCCATTTTTTTCCTTGAGACCCCACATCATATAAAAAATCCTTCTCCCATGGAAAGCCCCACCTCTGTACCCATCAACAGTTGCTTAGCTAGCATGTTTGGCAACACAAAATGGTAATTCTTATACAACGTAAAAGTGTTCTCTCTTTTTTTCTTGGACAATGTACAGAGATTGATTGTCTAGATGTTAGTAACGATTCTTTAACTTTTACACAATTAGGGATGTTTTGGCCCACCCTCTTTGCTGCTTATTATTTTATATCTCATGACATTTATGGTTTTGAATCATAGCAACAGCCACTTATGCTTTAATATGGTTTTTGGACTATAAAATGTGCATTCAGATCCCAGGAAGGGGTCGAAGGTTATAGACTTGCAGCCTACCCCTTGGCCCGCCAGATGGTGGATCTGGACCACCAATTGGTGAATCAAGTTTCCATCTCCTGCTTTAAGATCAACTTGGTGATTTATTGCAATCTTGCTCTAACAATATAGGCAATATTACACAGATAAAAACTTCCCTTTAAAGGTGACCAGCTATCATTAACATAAGGACTAGGTAAATTAATCTTTATGCTTTTGATGAATATGTTAATGTAATATAGAAATACTATATCATGTAAATGTATATTACCAATGTGGGGAAATTCTGACTTTAAAACTTATTTTTTTTTCTTAAAAAATTTAAACATTGTCATTGCAGAAAACTTATAAATTAGAGATACTAAAATAATGAAAGTTTAGGGAACATATATATAGTTTTCTCACACAATAATAGCCAAAGCCACTATCTCATCATTATATTATTAATGTTTCTTTCTGGTGTGTGTGTATATACCCATTGTTTTATTTTTACAAGAACAAAAATGACAAGTTGTGGTTTGCTTTTCTCACTTAACAATATACTATAAAATATTTTCATGCTATTAAATATTCTTCCACTATTTCACTTTTGAGAGCTATAGGCTGTTCAAAGTACATAAATACCACAATTCATGTAATAAATCCTTTTTTGTTAGATGCATTTATATAGAGGTACCACCTATAGATGTCTCCTGGTTTTGACTAGTGTTTTACAATTTGATTGTAGGAAAAAAAAGATCTCCAAATTGAAAAATTATTTTGAGGTTGCTTCATATGACTAAAACTCTCTCTTTAAAAAATTCAAGGTTTTTTTTTTTTTTTTTTTTTTTTTTAATGGAAGGCATGAATCAGTATGGACCTGTCAAAATGATGCCCAGGAAAAAGAGAGACAGCTTTGATAATGATTTTGCAAACTTGCTGATCTTTATTTTCACAAGAGGATGGAGTTTTCATTTTATGACCCCAAAACCCCTCACCTCTAAGTCTTGAATTAACAACTTGATGTTAATAAAAGAGACGTCGAAGGGCTCTGAAAACTTCCTATGGGCTTCAGTTGTGAAAACAGAGAGGGTAGTAACACAGTCTGTATATTCCTTCTTCATTCTGTCCATCTCATCTGCTCGAGCATACTGTGAAGAAAGGAGGTGGAGAGCATTTGAAAGCCATTAAGCTGTAACTCGAGAAACCCTCAACCTGCATTTTGACATAATGTCTTATGCTCTTGGATTGTTATATGGTAAGAGCCTCTAATTCCTGATTCTTATTTTAGATAGGTTTGAAGTAAGTCCAATTACTTTGAAAGGAGAAAAGGAACCAGCATAGCAATGCAGAAGTATGATTTGAAAGTGAATCATTCCATACAAGTAGGCTCCATATGTTAACATAATCCTTAATCAAACTCTAGACTTCTGTGCCATTCCGCTATTACAAATGGAAAAGAAGGAATAATCAACTCTATCATGTATTGGTTCTAAACACTTCTTTATTCTGTCTTAATAAGCTCATGCTATAAAAGTAAAATTGCCTCTAAACAGATTGCTTATCACCACATTTACAACACAGACACGTTTGAAGTGAGTACAGATTTGAAACGTACTTGCTTGACTTCCATAAACAACTCCCTCCACCTCCCATTGAGCAGTAGTAATTGCTGCTTAAGGTCACGGGAAACCATCTCATCACAAGTTTCAATTAGAAAATTGCCAGCATCATTCATGGCGGTATGCTGCTGAATCCAATGAGGCAAATTTCGAAAAAAATCCTAAACAACAAAGAATGTGTTATATTGTAAGACATAAATCAAATATTAGTAACAGATATAAAAGTTACCAGACTATGAAATATCTGCATTCTAAAGTGTGTGTAAATTTTAAGCCTTAAATCTCTTTCAAAATACAAAATTTTTTTTTTAAAGAGCAAGAGTGAGAGAGAGAGAGAGAGAGAGAGAGAATTTTTCTAATATTTATTTTTTAGATTTCGGTAGACACAACATCTTTGTTTGTATGTGGTGCTGAGGATCGAACCTGGGCCGCACACCACATCCCCAGCTCCTCAAAATACAAATTTTAAATAAAATTTCAAAATATGAACTAGAAGCACCAAGTCTCTTTTATTGACTTTGGAAATTGTCTTTGGAGATAGGGTCTTGCTACTCTCGTTACTCTGGCTGGCCCTGAACTCCTGGACTCAAGAGATCCTCCTGCTTCAGCCTCCCAATTAGCTGGGACTATGGGTACATGCCACTTTTCCCTGCCTTAGTATCTTTTATAGGAATAGTTATGCTCTCTCTTTTGCTGAAAAAGAAACAGAATATGGGGATTCTTTTTTATTTCCATTTTGCAGTTGAATAAACAATGAATGAATTTCTGTAAGCATCAGAGGTTTATTATGCATAGCATTCAAACAAGGAAACACTAGTGCCAGGGAATGTAAGAAGCATAATATATAACAGGGAAATAAACAGCTTTCTTAAATTTTTTAAATATATTTTTGAATTGTTACTTTTGTTTAAAAATCTGTGTGTGTGTGTATATATATACATATATATATACACACACACACATATATATAATATTAAGATAATTAACAATTATGGGGATAAACATCAATTGAAACATTTCTAAATTAAATATTTGCATCAAGAACATTTAATACAGTAACATCCTTTGAAGCTGATTTATTGCCAAATTTGCAGCCTTAAGCAAATAAGAATGTTTCAAACTCATTTCAAATTAAATGCATGTGTTCACATATGCACACACACATACATCACAGTAAAAACCAAGGAAAATTCAAACTTCATTTCATAAGCCATGTGTGGGAGGATTTTTCTACATAAATAGATGAGAACATTTCTGTTTCTGGTGGTTACATTCTTTGGATCAAATTAACACATATGACATCTACCAGGGCACTGCTGGTCTGATCAGAAAAGTTAAAATCTGTGTGGGTACTTAGTTATGTCTTGTGTAGATATTAAAAAATGTTTAATTCATATGAATAAACATGGGAAAAACACTTAAAAACAATAGATTTACTTGTGCAAACAATAACAGATGATCCAATCTTGGGTGGCAAGCACTAATTTATTCTTTTTTTTTTTTTTTTTTTTTGAGATAGGATCTTATCACATTGCTCAGGCTGGCCTTGAACTCCTGGTTCTCCTGCCTCAGCCTCCTAATTACCTGAGATTTTTAGGCACGTGCCACTGCAACTGGTAGCATTAATTAATCTTAATGTATGTATCATATGTAAGACCAACATTTTAATCTTTTACATATACATTGATATTTCATTGAAAATATCAGGTTTCCATTTTAAGATCTATATACATAACTCAGTCCATTGATATTTATATATAAATGACATTCAAATGAAATAGTAACCCCCCCACCCCATGTGCACACATATATACACTTGTAACCAGTGAAAAAAGAAATCACTTCTATATAGATTGAGGGTTGATGAAGTCCAGAACTGAATCTCTAAAGAGTTAAAAATGTGGTGGTCCAGCTGCTTGATGGTGTATGCTACCTCACAGATTCAGTTCTATGTTATTCAGTGTTGTTTTCAACCTCTGTTAAAGATATTCCCCTCCACATACAGAGCTTGCTGAGCACAGGGCTATTGGCACTCAGGGGATCCTGCTGGACACCACCCCCATCCATTTATTGGTCATCTGAATATAAAAGTCATATGTTAAACTGACCAGGTTGGGGACTGTTTTAACTGAACTTTAATTAACCAGAATTTATTGGTCTACAATAATTTACTAACCTGAAAGTGAAACTTTTAGGGCAAAGTGAGAATTCTTGAGTCAAACTTGCAAATATATAATACTCCGTAGTGAACTATGCTACAAAAACTGTCTCTCATAGCCTGGCATAGCAGAGCACATGTGAAATCCCAGCAACTCCTGAGCTGATATAGGAGGATCACAAGTTCAAGGTCATCCTAGGCAACTTAGTGAAATCCTTATCTTCAAATAAAAAGGGCTGGGGAATCTAGCTTAGAGGTAGAGCGCTCCTGGGTTCAATTCCCAGTACCATACATAGAAAGAAGCCTTTTACTTCTAAATTCCTGTCTTTTCCTTTTGTATGAGACAGTCTTACCTTTTTGGCAGTTTCTGATTGACTTAGCATTTTTTCAGCATCCTCTAGCCAGGCTTGAAGACTAGCCACTGTGTTGCCATAGCGATCCCAGTTAGAGATCACTTCCTCCAGCATGCTCCTCACACTCCGTACTTCAACTGAGAGATTCCTCCACTGAGCTGTGGTTTCATTCATGAATTTCATCACATTCTCAGCTTCTTCCACTGCAAAGATAAAACCAGTTACAATTTTTATTTTGTATTTAAAATCCTCCATGCCTTTTTTCCCCTGTGGTCTTATATATTGGTGTGCATGCAATAGTATTAATCACCAATGCTAGAGTTCATTTCCAACAATTATGACATATTTACAAATTGAAAACAAATACATTTTACAAACTGTATCTTCACACTAACATAACCTCTCATTTCCCTGATTGTGATATTCAAATTATTCCATTTTTTTTTTTTGCTTTTAATCCTTAGAATTTAAAATAGGATGAAAATTGTGACTTAGAAAAAAAATGATGCTTATTTTGCGTTCTTAGAAGATGACTACATACAAACCACACACACAACACATGAGTATAATTGCATGGGTTAAACACTGCACAAAGTCAAGAGAAGTGAATCTAATAATGTCCTCTCCAAGGCCAATGGCATGGTCACACAAAGATTTTGCAGAGAAGAAAACTGAACTGATCACATTGAAACCTGTGGATTGTAAACGCTAATGTAGTCATCACTGCAGCAAATTCTGCAGTGTGTTTTACCTGAACCGTCTGCTTTGACGTACATCTCAGCTGTCTGTTTCAGGATCTGGTATGTCACTTCATATTGTTCAAAGAACTTGCTATTTTCTATGAAAGACTAGAAAAGAAGGAATGGTTGGTTAGGAGAAAGGAAACATGGGGCTAGTGTAGAAACGGCAGAGTCAGTTTTCTTCATTATAGATATGTGCATATTTTATCCAAATTTGCCAACCTCACTCTTCTTGAAAATATGAAATTAATTCTACTGTTCCAAATAACATAAGGTTATTCTGAGCATATAAAATGATTCTATACTCTTTCTAACTCAGCACTAGATTGAGAAAATAAGCTATTTTTTACCACCCAAGGATTTGTTCTTTGATAAGACAGAAGTTTCTCCAGAGAACCTGGGCCTAACATTTAGAAAGAACTAAATTTGGAGGAACATTTCAGTGTCCCACTGTGTTTAAGCTGTGTGAGTCTGTTGTTCTTTGAACATTAGTTCTGGTGAATGACTGATCGAGGAACTTAAGATTATAAATACATGACAGGGTATACTTAAAATAAAAACTGGAAAATTTTAAATGATCAAATATATCATCTGTGTTATTGATGGCCTCATATTTCAATTACCTAGTATAAAATTTACAAGACATGTGGTATCTATATCTGTATGTAATTTACATATGCAATAGTCAGTGTTGGCAAATAGATAAAATAAAACCAAGAACATGCAAAAACAAATTCTCAGGTTAATATTACTATTGTTTTTTGTGTTTTTTAAATTTGTTTTAATTAGTTACACATGACAGTACAATGCTCTTGATATATAATACATTTGAATCAGATGGGATATAATTTCATTTTTCTGAGTGTACAGGTTGCAGTCACGTATATACCCCTACTATTGTTAATGTTATAAAATAACTCCTGTCTCAAAGATGGTTCTTACTCCTATAAACTAGAAAATTAATGATAATATAGTTAACATATCACCAAAGTATCTTGAATTTCTTCTAAGAGTATAATGAATTCCCATGATTTTAATTCATTAAAATTCTTGATAGGTGTCACTATCATAAAATTCAAAAATTAGCCTTCACAAACTAGCTGAAGTCCTGTGTAGTTTGCTGATGTATGCTCCCTATAGAGATGCAAAAGACTGGTATGTAGATACAAAACTCAGTGTACATCAATTACATAGACATCCCTAGATTTTTACCAATTTTTCCATTTTCAAGATAAAATTTAAATATATATAATACAAATATAGTTTAAAAATATAAAATACATATATAATTTTAAAACATATATAATACACTATAGATCATTTTATAGTTACCAAGCCTTTACTTGTAAATAAACTATTCTTCAGGAATAAAGTGAATAGAAAAAGCTGTGGATTACATGGAATGAGAAGTTCCATGATCAATATTTTATTTAATAACTTTAATAGGCTATACAATTTTTCTTTGAGAATTGCATAAGACAATAGTATCTGGTTAATTCCTTATTTAGCCTTATTATCTATTTCTAATTCCCAGTTGAGAAAAGAGTAATTCACTGGAATTTAAGCCATGATTTTATCAAAAATAAACAAGTCATGATTTGATCAAAACTGGAAAACCACATCTAATGTTCAAGACACTGTTGAAGAAATTTAAGAAATAACTATATTTGACAAAGTTTAAGAAATTAGTCTCTGCAAATTTTAAAAAGAGTCACTGCAAATTTCAAAAAGCTAATGGGAAAACAATTGTTCTAAGTGTCAAAAAAGGAAAAATAGTGCCTGTAGTGGTAGGAAGACTTAAATACCTAAATAGTCTAGAACAGTTTACAAATTAACTAAAAACCAATAAAAGAAAAACCTTATTTCCGGATTCATTTTTGGTCCAAGGGGAGTGTTTAAAGAATGCTAGAAATGTAGAAATTTATTAAAGTATTTTTGAGCTCTCTTACTAAGAAAACTAGGTAATTAACTTTTAAAAGAAGATAAACTTGTTATTTTAATTTTTTGATTTATGTAATTTGGTTCCTTCTAAATATGGAGTATATGAATTATCTTGCCTATTACAACCACTTTAGAAAGAGAACTAGTATATTGCCTTTTTACTGAAAGCTGTATGGACGTATCTATTATAAGAAATGTATAAGTAAATATGAAGATGAATATTTTAAATACTAAGAAAAGGATTAGTTTACTTCTTTCAAAATTAGGCTGGAATTTGGATGTAAAATTTAACAAGTAAGCTATGTTAGTCAAGGAACTTTTAAAGTTAAAGGTATTTGAAGAAAAATAAGCTATGTCTTATGACATTAAATTGAAAATATTAGCAAAGTTTGATCCAACATAGTCTTACAAGATGAGTGTAGATATAATAAATAAAAAGCTCATTGATTTAATTCAATGGAAGCTAAGCCAGATAATTTAAGATTTTTAAAATAAATTTTGAAAAGTGGTTTCATCAGGATTCAAAATTTATATTAATAAATTAGTTACAAATAATAAAACAAATATTCACATTACTGATATTGTACCCACACAGACGACAATTCCAAGAGCTCTTTCTTTCTGTTACATGAAACGTCACAATGTATCTTATTTTTCCATGTTAGAGTTGAAGCATGTTTAATGAACATGGTCATTGCCAACAATTCTGACAACAAGGACCAAATTAAGTACCTTCAGATTACCTCACAGTATTTAATCACGTATCAATAGCATATGGCCAAGCTTATCCACCATGAGCATCTGTGAAGCATTTTCCAAGAATTTCTAAGCACTCAGCAGCCACATACCAGAGCTATGGAAGCCCATCTCTAATGCTCTTAAAAAGTATAATCTTTCTGTTTTTCAAATGATTAAGAACGAGAATTCAGACTAAGGAAAAGATAATTAGGGACTCTTCACAGCCTAAATATTATTATGACAGACACGTAGCAGCATGAGGCTCATTACGATATCTTAGTTTAAGGAGCCAAAAAAGGATAGCATTTAAGCAACTGCCTTCATGAGTTTATTGAAAACTCCTCATGATTTTTGAAATGGTCTGTTCTAAACTGAATGATTTTCTCCTAAAACTCCAGAAAGGTTGAAAGGTCTATGGGGTGTGACGTGTAAAATAGTATGCTTCAGTCTTTATTCCTTTCTAACTCCTGTTGTTCTATTATCATTATCATTGTTATTTTTATTACAAACTTACTAACCTTCTAAAACTTCTAAAAGTTGGCTTTCACAAAGTCACAGGTATTAAATGGACCAGGATTCAAACACATCTCTCTGTGACTGATGGCACAGTGTCAATAACCCCTGAGCTCTGAGCCCACACCTAGCTGCCTAGCACACACATAACAGCCCTGCTAAGGCTATAGTTTGCAAGTGTGGAACACTATGAAATCTGGACCAATACGAAACAGAACCAATGTCTAAGTGAACAACACTCTTCAGTTCACTAACATGGCAACATGTATCAATGATTTAGTCTTTTCATTAGTTTTTTTCTCATGGATTATTTAGATAGTAATATTCAGTACGCTTGCAAAGGGGAAAGATCTGGATTTAAATTTCAACTCCACATCTTACCAACTCTGCTTCCTGAAGCCTGTGTCTTGGCCTTTGAAGGCCCCAGTCCTTCTACCCTGTTTGCTGAGTACAAATCTATGTGGAAACACCCAGCCCAAAAGACCATCAAGGGGACAAAAAAATGAAACACTCAATATCCAGTTATTAAAACTGTTAAGCAAAAAAAAAAAAAAAAAAAAAAAAAAAAAGATCTTAAAACCCTTAATGAAAAGAAACAAGAGCAATAAGTAGGTATTTTTCACAAGGGAATGAAAATATTAGGGAATATTCATTAAAACATGCTGTGGATATAGGGTAATTATCAACTTCATAAATAATTGTGAAAATTACAAAGCAGTGTGCCATTAGAAGCTTAGTGAACTCTTTAACTTTATGGAGTAGGCAAGAAGTACTGACTTTTGATCATTAATAACAATTCTCTATTTATATATCTTTTGAGAAGTTCAAAGATAATTATTAATATCATTGTATTGGAACGTTAACCTGGTGAAATATTCCCATTAGATATTTAAATATGATTGGCTGTTCTAAAATAACTAGAACAAAGAATGAATCCTGTATAATTAACTACTGGGCTCAGAGTGCATCATTTGGTATGACTAAAACTGAAAATATAAATGCATATCTATATTTAATATTTAAGACATTAACAATTTCTTAAATTAAAAAAATAAAATTTTCATTAATTTCTGAAATAACTACAAATGAATAAAGAAACCTATAACAGGTTTCCCTTTTTTTTGGGGGGGGACAAATGTTTCCTAGACAATTTTAGTCTGGAGAAAAAATTTTACTGTAAACCAGTTAAATCTTTTTGTTTCAATACATGTTGTTCACACATCACTTAGAAAGTAAAATTATTATGTTGCAAAATAAATTATGGTTTTAAGATGCTTCTGTAAAGATACAATTTCCAAAAGTATTCAAGCACAAGGATTATTAATTCACTGTGACAGATTAGGTTACAGTGGGCTTATGTTTTAAACGTTGATCAATTTATCATTTGTAATTTTGTGTTTAAACATAAATGGAAGAGCACAGGACTGAGATACCCTATTAATATGAATTATATTAGCAAATTGGGGCTGCAAATAAACTGGGGGGCATGTTTAATGGACTAAGAGGAAATATTTAAATATAATGCACTAACTTCATGCAAATGGAACTGTTGGTTATAGAACAATATGATTCTTACATTAACAAAAGGCTATAATTTCAAGTAGATATAGGATTACCCCTACTAAGAGCCCCAAATATGAGATAATCTTCAAAAATTAAGTTGGTAGAGATTCATACACAAAATTTTACACTGCCTGTGTGCACACAGGAGCAAGAAGCTCAGGTAATGACCATGAAGGAGACACATGGGCCCCCACCTAAAAATAAATAGTTCCCAAGTGTACAACTGAAAATTGTTCCCAAACTACTGCCAACTGGATTTTAGAAGACATGAAGATAACCTTTATGTACTGCAATTCAGTTTCAAAGGAGCAACTGGGTTCCAATCTAAGGATTGGGTATGCAATTCAAAAATATTTTTAAGAAGTAAAGCCCAGTCACATGGTTTAATATGGTTAAAGCAGCAAACCTGCCTACAGTATGGGGTTTTAAAGAACAAATTCCAAAGAATATAAGTTTATATTTTAGATGATTTTGAAAAGCCCATAACCTTAGATCTAATCCATTTAACACACTGACACTTTATGTTTTAAATTCAAGATTACAACAATAATGTCAATTAAACTAGCAAGTGTTAAATGCTAACTCTATGAGTCCCCTGGTTTCTCTGGTAAAGCAGCAGGGACTTACAATGTAGTTTTGTAGAAGCAGCTCCACCGACTCTCGTCTCCCGTACTTGATGATCCAAGACTTTAGCTTTGACTCTGCAAGAACCAGCAGTGAGAGCAGACGGTACTTTAATTCTAGAAATTCCATTTTCATTAAGTGCAGCTCTGATGTGGAGGAAACAAAGTGAAACCTAGAAATAAAACAGGGAGATTTCACGGAATGTAACTAATAGTAACAGAACGATGCTTACTTAACCTGTTACATGGCAGCCTTAAATATCGGGCAGCTACAAGGTCCTCCAAACTCTAGCTGATCACTACTGTCTGGGGATGGGTTCCTTTTCTAACTCTGGGTTTAAAGGCAAAATATTATTGATTGAAGTCTTTGAGTTAGTTCTCTCCCCTGCCAACACATCTCTCATCTGTTTCTTTTATAAGCTGTTTTTGCAATATTACATAATGTTCCTTACAGTACTGAGTAAAAAATACAGGCTCTGAAGAAACCATGCCTGTGATTTTCAGGCTGTGGGTACATCCAGGCTGAGTCTTTTCAGTTAATAATATATTAGAATGTTGGAATTCTTAGCATATATTATAGGAGCCTACTTTTCATTTACCAAATGCAAGCATCTATGCTTTTAAAAAACAAAACAAATGATTGACTAAAAAGAAAAGAAATGTAAAAAAAATCATCTACCTAGGATTTTAAAAGAAGACTTCATTTAAAACCAGATAATTCTCTTACCTCTCGGCCATGTCCTCTAATTGATCAGGTGGCACTGGGATCCCGTTGACAGACCTGGTCCGATAGATTTCATGGAATGCTCTTTTGTGGGCATCTGTGTTTTGAAGCAGATCCTAAGATACAGTTTTAAAAAAATAAAAAATGAGGAAACATGTTCACAGGAGGCTGGGAAGCATAATTTTCAGCCTGCACAGATGACTCAATGTATTCAACAATTTGATCTTGCTGCCACATTCATAAGCAGCCTGGTGCCTACCCCAGGCTTTTACCTTGAGCAGGAGCCCGGGGCTTGTGCATAAGACACCGTGCTAGAGCTGTGTCTAATAATTATGGCATCTTTTAAACACACATGACACTTATACAGCAATGCATTCAGACATTTTAAAGGTACATGATCCAAAGGGAAATGTAATTATTGCTATAAACAACAATTTCAGTATTTTTCTCCTTCCTGAAATTTTGGATTCATTGGTTTTTACAAAGCATAAAAGTGAGCACAACATATTTAACTCTTTAATGGTAAGAAGTAACAGGCTTTCTTTTTTTAAATATTTTTTAGTTGTAGTTGGACACAATACCTTTATTTTATTTATTTTTATGTGATGCTGAGGATCGAACCCAGTGCCTTGCACATGCTAGGCGAGCGCTCTACCACTGAGCCATAGCCCCAGCCCCCTAGAAGTAATAGGCTTTCTACTGTTATTTTACTTTGAATGTGTGCAGGCTATTTTAAGTAATATTTGCTTGTCATCTCATGTAAACTGATAAGATTACAATATATTTTGAAAACATCCTTTTGGTTAGAAATTTTTCAAGTGCAGGGGATATCTTATATCATTTATTTAGGTTGGTTTGATCCTTCTTGGTTTGTTTGTGGCATTTTTTTACCATCCACAACTTATTTATAAAGAGAATATTTGTTTTACCAGAACCCCTAGCCAATCTGTCCCGCATACACAAGGAGAGAGTGAGGTGAAAAGAGATTTATGGCATATTTTCTATAGTTTTAGTTAGTTTCCCATCAACAGAATAAATACTCTATAGTGTGTCACCCATTGAAAATTAACACACATAGTCCACCAAAATGACAAACTAAAATTAATATTATTTCTCTCAAAGCAAGATTTTGTGGATCCAATGGAGAAAAAAGACACAAATATATCCCAAACCAAAAAACAGTTGAGGGAAGAAACAAGCAATGTCTTTATATTATAAATTAAAATGTTAAGGCCTGTGTGTATTTGTCCACTTAAGTGACATCTTGACATTATCAAAAACCTCAGGGCCAACCTTTGATAAACTTTGCTATGATCACATTTGACTTAAGCCTATAGATAATTGTAGATAGACTCATGAGTCTTGGTGCCAGACAGAGGATCCCATGAGCAGCCAAGACCTGACCCCAAGAGGACAGGGGCCAGAGGCCTACTCTCAGAGCAGCCCTGAGGTTAAGTAGTTAGTCACTACTCCTTTATCACACACTGACACATTTCTGTGGTTTATGATCTTGGCTAATTTCCTCAAGCGACTGCAGGGCAAACTTGGAACTGTCACTGCAGCTAGCTCTGATTTGCTATACCTGACAATTTTTAATAGCGTGTACATTGAAAAAAGTCTTTACAAGATATCAAAACAAACAAAAACATCTTCACACATAGGATAAATGAACATCTACGGCTGGCATAATGTTACAACTTCCTTTGAAAGGCTCTTTCACTCTAAAACAACTCTAGATGTTGAATGAACCTTGTGATTTTAATTCATCTTACTCAATTCATAGAAAGCAAGCAAGCAAGCAAAAAAAAAAAAAAGTCTCCCATTCTTAGTAAATCATGACACCAAATGATCACACAGCTGTGGGCAAAATAAAAGTGAAAAATGAGATTGTCTTGGGAAAGTAGCTAGACACTGCTTCATGATATTGGGTCTTGGAAAATAAACAGGGTGAGACGTTGAAACTGGATTTCCTCCATGTAACCAGAGCTCTTGACCAATGTGAATGTGCTGGTCCGGCTGCCAGGAAATACAATAAGGAGAGAAGCAAAGATCATCAACCACACGAAAAAAGCCACCATGGGTGAGAGCCAGCAGAAATAGAAAATTAATAGCACTAGAGAAATGCCAGTCATTTAATACTGGACAACACAGTATGTAAGTCAGAGGGAAAATGATCTGGCTAAAGTGTTCTTCATTCTTATACTATTTAAGAGGATGTTAAGAGATTAACTTTCAGTTTTGTCAAATATATATGGCCAAATTTTAAGGAAAATGTACTATGCAATTAAAACAAATAACTTTGCAGCCACTAGATAGACAACCATAGAATAAATAAGAAAACCAGTTAGTCAACAAACAAGACCTCCACCATAAACTTTTAAATAGCATGAATGTAGAAAAAGGAGGAGTTAGAGGAGGGTAGAAGAGGAAAAGAGGAAGAAAACAACCAGGGTAAATAGAAAGCAGAGTGAGATGATAAAAACAAATTCAAGTTCAATGTATCAATACTCAGGAATAAATATGAATGTGGTATAAACTTATGAGTTAAAAGGTAGAAATTGATACGGGTGCTATGGTGCATGCCTGTAATCCCAGCAGCTCAGGAGGTAAGGTAGGAGGTTTGCAAGTTCAAAGCCAGCTTCAGCAAAAGTGAGGTGCTAAGCAACTCAGTAAGACCCTGTCTCTAAATAAAATACAAACAGGGCTTGGAATGTGGCTCAGTGGTTGAATGCCCCAGAGTTCAATCCCTGGTATACTCCCCCTCCAAAAAAAAAGTAGAAATTGACAGTTTGTAGAAAGAAACAAAATAGATTCATTTGCCTTTTACAAAGAGAGACACATAACCATGAAGATCACGGGTAGGTTGAAATTAATAGGATGGAAAATTACATGTCAGATAAAAAGTAACTGAAAGAAAACTGGTATAAAAGTATTGACATCAGCCAAAATAGATTTTGAACCAGAAATCATTAAAAGGAGTTAATTGCTTAATGATGTAGCTTGCAACTTACTAGAAGATACATATTAATCCTGAACTTAAATTACCTAGTAAGTCTCAAAACAGATAAAGCAAAAGCTAATAGAACTACAGGGAGAGGACAGACCCACCCACTGTGGGAACTCGGATGCTGGGTCATCTCCACCATTTGATCTCTTAGTATGGTGGCTCAGTCTTTGATTCTTTTCCTCTTCCTGTCTACACTTCTGTATTTCATTTCCAGTCCCATATCTTTAAATAAACCTCTATGTGTCAAGGACTGCATTTTTATTGCCAGTCTGTGCCTCTTTCCAGAGGTCTTATCTGGTATCCCCGACTGCCTAATCCACAGGTCAAGTTGCAGGAGAAGAGACCTCATCTTGCCCCACACTGAACATGTAATCTTGCCTCCTAAACCTGCATCAGTGTTTCCCCATCTCAATTGATGGAAACTCCATTTTTTCAGTTACTCAGTCTAAAAATCATAGGTTTATTTATGATTCCTCTTCCTTCACAGTCCATATTTGATGCTCAAAATATATTCTGAATCTCAGCACTTCTCACCAGCTCTACAGCTTCCAGTTTGGTTCAAAACACTCAACTTGCATTATTGAAACTGTGTCCTGGCTTCTGTCTTCCATCTATTCTATTCTGTTCTCACACAGCATCTTGTAAAAACACTGCCATTTCTATGGTAAGAAAATGGATGAGAAAGGATGGTTAGGACATGACAGAGAAAACCAAGTGCCTAAGTAGGGATAAAGGAAGAGAGAAGATACAAAGAAACGGGATTGGGAAAAAAAAAAAAAAAAAAAAAAAAAAAAAAAAAAAAAAAAGGGCATTAACTGCAGGCACAGGAAAGATCACAAAAAGAATTTTAAATGTATAATAAATTAAAATAATGAATTAGTTGATCATTTTATTTTATTTATTTATTTATTTATTTTGAGACAGGGAATCACTACACTATCCAAGCTGGCTCAGAACTTGCCATCCTCCTGCTTCAGTCTCCTGAGTAGCTGGGATTATAGGCGTTTTTCACCATGCCCAGCTTGGAAAAGTATATTTTGACCAACTTTATGCTAATACTTTTGACAATAGTCAAAGAAATAAATTCATAGAAAGTCTGAATTAGCAATATTGACTCAATTAATTTTGTAAGTCCAAATATGGGGATACAGCAACAATAACAACAACAAATCCAATAACCTTGTCCCTATGGAGTGAACACTAGAGTGCCCGAAATCCATCAGTCAATAAGCAGGTGATTAAGACAGATAACAGTTGAGATGATGGGACAAATATCAAGCAGGAAAGAGGGTTGGGGGTAGCTGTAATCTCAAAAAAGGGTAGCTATAATCTCAGAAAAGTCTGACTAAAAGAGGACCTTTTAGTGATGGTCAAAGCAGATGAGGCAGAAGGAAACAGGAATATTGGTAAGACAAGATTATTCCAGAGGGATGGTAAAGGCCAAGCCCTGCAATGTGTTTGCCTGTTTGGTGCCACCTTTCCAGTGAGGTTTCTCTGACTACCATATTTAAGATTGCAACAATACCCAATTCTCTATGCTTTTAACCTTCTAACCTAATTTTATTTATTATGCTTATTATTTTTGTTTGCATTCTCCCACTGGAAGTCAAGTTATATAAGGCAAGAGTCTTTTGTCTGTATTGCTTATGGGTATTTCACAAATGCTTAGAGCACTATTTTCATGTAACAGGTGCTCATTTAAATTTTATTGAAAATTCGGTTAAGATTAGAAAGGTGTAGCCAGGGGTATAGGTAGAAACCTGAATGAAGAAAGAATTTCATGAATGCAGAAACAACCATGTAAAGTGCTTCTGACAGGTGAGAAAAGATAAGGACTGAGAACTGACTATTATGAGGACCAAGACACATCCTGGTCAACTTGTCCTGGGTAACATGGGGAAGAAAAGCCTGTTTGGGAATAGGTTCTACAGAGAATGGGAGAAGAAGATTTTGAAACTAAAATGGGCAATTCTTTCTAAAAGCTTTTCAGTAAAAAGAGGTAAAATTGAATGGCAGTTGGAAAGGTAGAATTAAGAAAGTGACTTTTTGAGATGAGAGAAACGACATGCATTTATACGTGGATAGGAAGAATCCAACAGAGATTGAGGG